TCAGTTCCAAACGGTATGTATGATGATTATATGCCATTTTGTCCAGTATTTCGAACTGGAAAAATAGACCAGGTAGATGGATAAATTAAAATTAAACCCAACATTTTAGAAACACTAATATTTTATATTTGAATTATGTGTAAAGATAGAGAAATTAGAGAAATTAATGAAACACAACTTATTTAGTAATGAGCTTAAGAAGAAAGTGAGTTTTAACTTAATGAGTAAAATTCTGCTTGAGTTCAATAAAATTTAATAAAATGAACGATCGTTAGGTAACGTCGGAAGTTAGAAGAATATGAAAAGATCCCGAGGCCTTCGACGGTTACAGAAATAGATACGACGTTTCTTATACTTCTGAAAATTCTAACTGAACACCCACACGTCACACTTCACCTTGCTAGTGTAGATGGCGCTGACCGCTGAGTATGAGTCATTTGAGAGGTTTCAGCTAAATGTCGGCTAGATACTACCGATGATATATTACTGATCATTTGAGTCGAGTTCGTGTAATATAATAAGAACCTCCATAAAATAGATGTGATGTAAAATAGCTTCGGTACATTGAATTACAGGAGAATAGATACGGGGAAGGCTAATCACTAACTCTATAAATTAGAGTAAGTTTTAGTCATTCCTTAATCTAAGATAATTGTGGCGATTCTAGCGATAAACTATTTTATTGTTGTATCAGTTCTAAAACAAGAATAAAATGTGAAAATTTATGAAATGAATTATTTTTGACTAGAATGAAAGAATTATAAGATAACAGTACTTGTAAAGATCCAAAACTAGTTATTATTAATATTAATTGGCACCACAATGACTTGAACACATCTACATAATAGAAAAATCATATTACGATGATGTGCGTGATATATGTATAAAACATTTCGAATTTTAAATAGTCTGAAATCCTTCAGTTATTTGAACCCTAGGTATATTTTAAATAGCACTAATCGTAAACGTCTGTAGATAAATAAACTCTATATAATAAAGAATGCTTAATGCGTATAGGTAGTGGTGAAAAGTTGATAAAAAAATTTTTTTTTTCATATTTTTTAAATAAACATTTAAATCAATTATTTTATGATTTCCCATTAAAATTAATCTTATAATTTTTTATATATTTTTAAAATACTATTATTACGGTTTTGAGGTAAATCGCTTTTAATCTAAGGCTTGGGACTGGGCTTTAATCTAATTCTTTCCGAACGTTTAAAAAATATCAGCCCTTCAACGCAACTTATAATTCAAAGTTTACAAAAACTTACAAGTCAAAAGATACTTAAGTTCTAATTAAAATATTATTAGGAAGAATCTTTTGTACTTCGTTCTACAATAAAAAAAAGCGAAATACAGTTTGGTCGCTGAGAGACATAGTCAGTCGCATTCCTGACATCTATCAATTGGTCATGAATACTGATGGCAATTTTAATGTTTATTAATTACCCTTTTCAACCGACTTAGAAAAAAGTAACATAAGTTTCATTACTTGTTGCTGAATTTAACTAGCGTAAATAAAACAAAAATGTGATCGTAATATAAAATACAACATTTTTTTTTAATATTTAATAACTTCAAGAGGTACTGTGGAAAGATGGGCTTTTTGAGATCGTCTTTGCCTACCATATGTACTGTATTGAGAAATAGTATCAATTCTGATATCTTGGTTTGATGTAGCTTTAGATATCATTAACTTTGTTAGTTTATCCTATTATAACATTACATTATATTTTGTTCTAATATTATATACTGCAGATAATAATGTTATACAAAATTATTAAAGTTAAAAATAATGAAAATGAAGTAATTAAGAAAGAGCTTACTATAAGCTATAATAGCAACGTAAATCGGAACTATTTTAAATACTGAGGAAGTTATTCATAAAAAAGGCAAAGTAATCAATAAAGATAAAATAATATTCAAATGTTCAATTCTCAAATTGTATAAAAAGGTTCTCATATATTAAAAGCATCTTGTAATATTTTAATACTTTTAGAAACTTGTAATTTATACCTATATCAAGTTATATAAAATTATTTATCTAACTTTAAGAAATCCCGATGACGGCCACAATAATAACATCACTAATAGCTCTTATACTTGCAACAAAATATTGTTTTGCTTTAAACAATGAAATTAATTAAGTTTCATAGATTGCTTTATAACCTATCAAAGCACGCGGAGCCACAGGTGCTAGTTTTTGTCCATGATACGACATAAAAAGTAAAACCTATGGTTAATCGAAAACTAATATTATTTGATTCGAATTGAAGTACTTTTTAATTCTAATGACAACACCACAAGACATGACAATGGCGATGATTTTATTTCATAAACTAGCAGCTCACCCTCGTTTCGCTCGGCTTCGCCTCTAGACAAACAAAAACAAATCTATCCCACGGGAACCGTACATTTTTACGGGATAAAAAGTAGCCTATTTGTTATTCTGATGTATGAACTATATTATTGTAAAGTTTCATTAAAATCCAATCTGAAGTTTTTGTGTACTAACCTGTATAAGTTCTTATAGGTTTTTAACTATCCCACGGAAACTATTTAATTTTCCGGGATGAAAAGTATCTAAAATGTTGACTGAGGATATAAGGTACCACCATGCAGGATTGCATTTAAATCGGTCCAACAGTTTCGGAGATTAGTCCGTACAAACAGACAAACGGATAAACAGACAAACAGACAGAGAAACAAAAAAATAGAAAAAAAACTGGATTTGTTCTATTTCTCTTCTTCATCCTCCTGACTCGGAGTTTAGCATTTTTTCTCTATGTACAGACATTCGACATCTACAGTTTCATTATATGTATAGATGTGTTATCATTTTATTCTTAGGCAAGATTATGGTAGGGGAGCCCACGAAGCTAAATGGGGATTTACTCGAGCGTCGTAGAGACCTATTGGGATGCAAAGCTTAGATGATAAGAAGAAAAAAATGTTATATGATATATACCTTTACATCGGTGGGGGAAGCGGCTATAGATTTTTAAATATGTAAAAAAAAACTGTTGCATAGACATCCTCGAGCGCGTCAGATATTGATAGCATCAATGCCCTACGTATATTTAATAATGTACGTATGTTAATCTGATCGTTTGCATGATGCGGGTGGTTGTATTTAAGGGTTGAAAATGAAAAAAAAAAAATTTAATCGAGCGCGTCAGATTTTCTAAGGGAGTGTTAATTGCACCAAAAAAAAGCTCTCATTCACTAATCTGACGATTTCGATGGGACGCAAACTCGCAGCCATTTTCATAATGTGCAAAAAAAATTCGCCATTTTGAAATACTCAAGCGCGTCAGATTAAGATATATATGGTTCATCTTTATGTTCTAAACGTACTGTTTCATAATCTGACGATTATCTAGAGGGATTCGCCTGATCTGACAAAAAAAAATTAGAAAAACGGTTCACCTTAAAGGCCATACCTGCAACTTCCCGCTAATTCCATTCCTGTGCGCTTAAAATTGTACTTATGGCATTTTTGAGCTCAAAATATAATTTATGTGATATTTTGAGCTCGCAGAGTTCAAAGAAATAATATTTCTATGCATTTGAGCTCTCCCAGCTCGAAAGTCTGATAGAGGTTTCATAGAACACTTTTTTCGGTTTTCTTTCGTTCACGATATCTCTCGAATTGAAGATCCAGAGATATTTCATTAATTCGCGAATTATTCGAAAACTTTCGAATTATTCGAAATTTTTACGAATTATTCGAAATTTTTCGAATTTCGAATCGAATATTGATATTCGATTCGATTCGAACGATGTTCGCAAACCCCTAGACTCTTTATGATCAGCTGTGATGGTGTCATGGCGGCAGAAACCAGAGTGGGGACGGAGTGAGAGAGTAATAGTAGAGAAAGAGTGAGAGAGGAATAGAAACGCGGAGAAGAAAATGTAGGCATCACGCAGCTGCACGCATTTAACTTTATCGACGAATTTTTGTTATTTCGGCTTGCGGAAATCGTCAGATTATATATTTTTCATTATTCTTGCATTATTTCCTTCAAAATAAAAAAAAAATTAGCTACGCTCGAGAATGTCGAGATGACGTTTTTTTTTACAACTTTGTTGCCCTCCCCTTTTTTTACGTCACTCTCAAATTGTCAGATTAGTGGAATATACACTTTTTAGGATGTAATTAACTCACCCTACCTTAATCTGACGCGCTCTAGAATTTCTGGTGGTCAATTTTTTTTTACTAATCTGATCCTGTATCCTTCACGGGCGGCCTTATATATGGGCCTCATGTTTTGTGGAGGTACTTAACCGGGTACAAGGTATCCCCCTGTATATTAATCTGCCGCGCTCGAGTAACTACAGAAAATCCCATCTTGGGCTCCCCTACTATTAAGTGCACCTGTAAATTGTGAATGAATTAAAGCTTACTAGCACCTTGTATCTTACAAAACTTAGTGCTTGTTTCTCAATCATCAGATATTAATTATTCATAGTATAAAATACAATGTAAATTAAATATTATTTGATTTTTAATACATAGAACACTTATTTAATTGAAAATATTAAAATATTTACTTTTTTACTTTTGTATTTAATTAGTTTAAAATTAAAATATAGATTAATTTTTATCTGCTATTTGACAAATCCGGTCTAAATAGTACATTTTTACTCTTTAGTTGTCTAAGTATACTAATATTTATACTAAAATCATAAAGAGGTAAAGTTTGTAAGTTTGTGTGTTTGTGAGTTTGTGACGTTGTAGGGAGTAATATCTGGATCTACTGAACCGATTTAGACGAAATTTGGTAAAAAGATATTTTGAGGCCCTGGGAAGGACATAGGATACTTTTTATTCCGGAAATCATCCCTTAAGAGGATGAAGTGGGAAGCGAGGGTGTGTCGCTAGTTCACAATATTTCCAAAAAATGATAAAACCTTTTCTTCACAGGTCCCTAGCTCGTCCGTTTCAAGTCAACACAGCAATAATTCTCAAACAGTGATGACAAACACCTAGCAATATGGGGGTGACAGACGATTTTGCCCCGAGCTTCACGCAGAAGCCGCAGTTGCGCCAAGAGGATGACGGCAACAAGCTGATCTTCGAGTGCCAACTCTTGGCATCTCCCAAGCCTGAGATCAGCTGGTACCGCAGCGATGAACTGCTCAAGGAAGATACTAGAACACAGTTTAAGTAAGTTTCCAAAAACGTTTTAACTCTCGCTATATTTTTATTCATTCCTTTGAATAGATGTTAAATCAAAAATCTCATATTTCATTTCACTTACATTGTGTAAATTGTGAAAATTGTGTGTTGTCATCTCACAATCAGTGCCTATTTGTTAAAACGTCCAATTTACCGAAAGAGTTTTTAAAACAAAATTATTGATTAATTATTTTAAATGACAATTCTATATATTTTACTTTAGTAAATTTGAAAAAATGCATTTTATCTATATAAGTATATCAATGTTTGCTTTGTTTTTAAAATACAAAAAAATCTCTTTATTGTAAAGTACAAAAAGTATTGGTCGTTTGAACAAATAAACACTACGGCGATGATTGGTCACAGAATAAATATACATATAATATTTTACTGATGTAGAACACTGATATAAGTAGTTAGTAAATACATTTACAGAGGACCTTTAAAACCTACTACTCTCTTACTTTGTAATTGTAATTTCATGCCAACTGCATTGTGCTGTTCTTTTATTGCTGTGTTAACAATAATGAATTTATAAATATAATTCAACTAACGGAAACCGCGGCTTCACCTGCGTTTAATCTACAAAAAAACACTTTGGCTTTATGTTATACAGCTATGTATTTATGTAATACTAGCTGTGCCCCACAGTTTCACCCGCGCTAAATTTGTTTGATTATAAAACTCCGTTTTACAATAATGTATGGAAATCTGCCCGATTATTTGACACTTATGTTTACTACTCCGTCCCCTTGGGTAGTAGCATGATGATATATAGCATATAGCCTTCCCCAATAAATGGGCTATTTAATACAAAAAGAAATTTTCAAATCGGATTATTATTTCCTGAGATTAGCGCGTTCAAACAAACAAAGTCTTGCTTCTTTATAATATTACTATAGATTAATTTATTTGATGTTCTTTATACAAAATCTTTAATTATTTGTTTACTTTCATAAAGTAAGAGTAAAAGCAGGTCTTGTCAACTTGTCACAACATTGCATTAAAGTAATCTACTTAAAAGCTTGAAAATTGCGCATATATTTCAGTAACGTTTTGTTTTCCTCTCAAGGGGCAATTAAATAATTAATTTGAATAGCATTGATAGGGTCAACGACACGGTCGCCTGACTGATTGACGATTCGCTCTTAATGTTCCTTTTGATAAAGCCAAGACAATCGAAAGCTGACACAATTGGCACGGTTGGTCGTCTAGTAATAAAAAAGGACAAAAGTGAATTAGTTTTATTTGTATCATATGGTACGTAATTGTTGTGGTAGATCATCATTTAAATATAACTTAGTATATAATGAAAGCTATTCTAATATTATAAAGAGGAAAAATTAGGTGTTTGTTTGATTGTTTGTATCGAATAAGCTCCGAAACTACTGAACCGATTTAGATGATATTTGGTAAGAAGATAGTTTCAGACCCCGGGGACGACAAAGTATAGTTTTTATCCCGGAAATCATCCCTTAAGGGGGTGAAAGTGGGGGTGAAAGCTTGTACAGGCAAGCAACCTAAGGAATAATAATTTATAATTTTTGGGGGAGGCCTATGTCCAGCAGTGGACATGTTTTGGCTGTGACGACGACGATACAATAAAATATTAAGCAATGTTTTCACTTTGTCAGATTTTGTATAGTTATTTTTTTAACAGTTTGGTTCGAAATTATCGTATGAGTTTAAAATATGACTATGGTGATAACATTTTTCTTACTTTATTATATTATGTACATACACAAATGAAATACAATCTCATTGTAAATTATTATATTTATATGGCTTAAATAACTGTTTCAATTGAAATGCTTAATGGTAGCTAAGACTTATTTTTTTTTAAATATTATACTACAAATTATATCTTATTTACATCTTAAGATTTCAGGGTCATAGTAAAATGATGTATAATTTATATTTTATAGTGATCTTTTGCGTACAGAACATAAAATGATTTTTTTAACCATAGATACACAAAAAGGTAATATTATATTTGGAAAGAAAATAAATTCGATAAAATCTGTCATTATTATAGATTTTCAAACTAACATTCAGAATACCAAAAAACGATTAGTACACATTAAGATAATTTATAAATTCAGGGACTTAGTTATATTTTACCTGTTAGCTATTCCTTTACACATATTTTTTTTAATTTAATTTTTGGCTATAAGAAAAGCGTAATGCTGTATACTTCGTATATCTCTTATAATGCATTTGGACAAGCTTTATGTGATTTGTTTATTTGCCCTTCCAAAATTAAGCCACAAAGCATAATCATTTGTTCACTCACGCGGTTGTTCCACCTGACTGACTCACATAATACCTGGGTGGCCAAGCTTCGCTTTTTCAAGGCGTTTTTTCGGAAAAGATATAAAAAATGTGTTTGTTTTTAGAAAAGGCACGTATATTATCTAAATACTAAATTTTATCTAAATCGTTAGAGCCGTTTTGAAATAGACGGACAAATATTAAATTTATATTATAGACATATATTATATAATAGAATTGCTGATTTAATATTATAGAATGAACCAGAAAACCTTTATTTAATGTTGTAAATTCAAACAAAAGATTGTGTGATAAACTAACAGACTGGTCGACGCCAAAGGTTACATCATTAGAATATAATATGCAATATTGCTGGAAATCGTGGAAAAGAAACTAACCACTTATTTTTGTAGAAAAAAAGCATTTTCATAAAATAGACTAGACAAAGAAAGACCTTTGTCATCTAATTCATGGAAATTAAAAATATCTTCAATTTTCCTTTTTAGGACGATTGAAGACATTTTGAATTGAATCTTTCCTAGCGAGTTGAGTTCTCGTGTCAATTCAAGCGCGTAGAGCGTACTCTAATCTAATCTAATACCTATAAACGAGCAATTCTTGTACATTTATTTATTTACTTCTATATACCGGTGATCTCGGAAACGGCTCTAACGATTTCGCTGAAATTTGGTATGTGGGGATTTTCGAGGGCCAAAAATTTATCTAGATTAGTCTTATGTCTGGAAAACGCGTGTTTTCGAGTTTTCATGCGGTTTTATTACGCATTATTCCACGCAAAATATAGTCTCTAATTTCGCACGGGCTTCTCGGGCATAAGCATCGTGGTTAAGCGACCAAGGCGCAAGATTAACAGTTACAGGTGTCCGGGTTCGAATCCCAATCGGTTACAAAAAAACTATTTTTGCTTTTTTTTTTAAGTTTTTAGTTTTTTTTTGTTTTTAAGCCAAATAAAATAAAAAGAATATTGAAATTTAGGGCCGAAAACTCCGAGCGAAACTCGGTCGCCCAGGTACATCGTAACTTAAGTAAGAATAATGATGACTATCATCAACTAATGAAGACAATCTTTAACAAAATGTTTAATGTTGTTATTTTAATGTAGGTATGCCAATTAATATGTTAAAGCCAATAAATATATAAGACGGGCTGATGTTCTAGTAAAAACAGTAGGAATTTTATGAAAAAGAATAAATTTACTTGAAATGAAAGTGAAACAAGCACCTATAAAAGGCAAATTTATGTTTTTAGCCAAAGATCGTATTTCAAAGCATATTTCAAAAGGTTTTCTGGGAAATATGAAATGTCTCTGCAATAAGAAGCATTACACAAGTCCTTTCTGACCGTAAGTTCTATCGTTCAAGGTGTTAACTTAAAAAGAAACATGTTTAAATATATGTATAGTAAGTCGACAATTAATGTAGGTACTACTTTAATTTACTTTAATATATTTTACAGTACTTTTAACACAGTTTATATACATTTTACAGTATATAAAAAATAAATGATATGGGAAAATCTAATGTAATAGAAATCTTAAATAAGAATCTAGATTAAAAATTCCTCACATTCAACAAACATAAAAAATGCGATAAATAACGCAAGTCTGAAATTATTTTATTACTGTTTGCATAAGTTTTATCTTTTTTACGAGACTTATGCTCTGCGAATGTAAAGATAGGAGAACAGTTAGGGAAATAATATGTATCTCCAGCACCAGAAGAACAATGCATTACCGGTTTTATAGATAGCGTCATGCTCAATAATTTTAAGACCACACAGAAGTTGAATTACACTGCTTATAATTCACTAGCGATTTATTTGCTTCGGTCATGTGGGTGTCTAATTATTTAACAGTATGCTATGTGCAAGTAGCTATGTGCTACTTCTATTTTTGTACTAAATTTGCTATTACGGGGTGAAGGAGTAATAAACATACACACATATACAAACTTTAATATGTATAATATTAGCCCAATAAATACATTATATTTAATATTAACAATTCATATTTCTATTACTAGAATCCAGCCCATCGCGAACAACAAGTTCCTGGTGGTGCTGGAACTGGACGACGTGATCGAGACCGACGCGGGGCTTTACAAAGTGAAGGCTAAGAATAAGATGGGCGAGGTGGCCGCCTCCATCAATCTTAACTTCAGTCGTAAGTGTTCAATTACTATTTATCATAATATAGGAACTACTCGTTTGACATTGTCAGAACAAATCACAAACCAACTTTAAACACAACAAGAAACATAGGTATATTTATATATAGACGCACTATTTTAAAATGATACAGAGTATCTCTCTGAGAGTTCCAATAACGATAAAATAATGGTAAAAGTATAACGTAAGTCTGTGATATATTTTAAGTTATGATTATGTCGCCTGTATATCTAAATGTGCCCGTTCTCAAACTTTAAAAGCATGCACGTAATTTAACACTAGTTTATTTAGGAATATATATAATACGAAAATACCGCTATTAGTCATAGATAAAAATAAATGTCAACAAAAATTTAACGATCGACTCTTTCCTTGATCACTGAGCCAAAATCATTGGGGCAATGAGTTTTGACGACAATCATGACAGAAACATAGGACCCAAACAGTATCGACTCTGCCAATAATTTCACTTATCTAAGTTTAATTATTTTGTTTAGTTTTGTTAAAACTATTGTTTTCCCTTGCTTATAATAGCAAATGATTTAGTATTAAATTAAGAATTGAATTTGTTATAACTGCTTTACATGAACGAATTAACCACTCGTCCATGCTGCTTTACTATAATGGTTCAACATCATCATCATCATCTCCTAATGCACGCCACTGATAAAAACTAAATCTAAAATAAAAAACTAAATCGTCACTATAATAATAGCTACTAAATATGTTAAACTACGACTCATCCTCGCTCCGCTCGGGTACGTTTTGACGTTTAGTATAGATTTCTCACAGGTGATGTATTTTTCCGCAATAAAAAGTACCCTATATGTTGACCCGGATAACCAGGTATCATCATACCAAATTTCGTCATAATCTGTCCAGTGGTTTTCTTGTGATGCGGTCACAGACGGACAGACAGACTAAAATTCTAAAAACTATAGATTCGGTTTCTGTATCGATAATAATGACTATTTCATAATATTTTATGTACAGATTCGACTCAGCTTGAATTTTATTAAATCAAAATAATCAAATAAAATATATTATTCAAATACACTTTTACATTAGATTAGATAGAGAAATTGGCTGTTTGGAAAATTATATTTCTAATTTCTGTAAATGAACCTAGGAAATGCCGTAAATTAATTTTTCGAAAGATTATTTTAAAATACTGGCACCTTTAATGACATTTGTTTTGAGCCAATTTTTAGACTGTAAAATAAAAATATAATGGCACATCCCAAAGAATTTTTGTTGTAGACGATGAGTCAGTCGTGGTCGAATATTTATATTTAGACTACGGTAATACAAACAATAGAAGCAAAAGGCCAAACTCAACTCAACTCAACAGTCAAAAACATCATTGCCAAATAATCACTGGGCTTGATATCTTTTTTTTTTTTTAACGTTGGGAAATGCATTTACGCACGAAGTGTGGGACTCACCGGCGAAGCCAGTACTACCCACTAAAACCCAACAAAACCTTCCCCCGTCTTAATGGGGCGTCGCAGGATCGCTTACGCATTCAACTACGACGAAAGCTTGATATCTACTCAAGTTCAGGACGAACCTTAATTTTAACTACACATGCCAAATTTTATTTACAAATTTAAAATCTGTATTCAAATGTTATCAGTTAAACTAAAGCGCTATAAACAATATTAATCAGTTGCATTCAGAGTGAGCTAGAAGTATAGAGCACCTGGATTTATTCTGAGATCATCTCTATTGCGATTTCGAATGTTTATGTCTGGTTGATGTTATTCAATGTAAACTTTCAACCGCAGAAACTGTTAAAACACTATTTCACGAATGTGATTTATTTAAGAGCGTCTTGCACTAAATCTTACTCAACATATAAAATGCAACATTATACTTCTAACATTCTTTCATACTGGAATATGTGCTACATATTAAAATTAATAATGATTTATTATATTTTTCAGCCGCTGATGAAGAAAAACAAAAGTAAGTGTATTGGTGATATATTTGTTATTACAATGAATATGTTATTACAAATTATTTATCTTTTTATCATGAAACATATTTTACAACAATTTCTGAATACATTATTCTTTTTACTTAAAAACTACTGTAGTTATTTTACATAATTTGAATTTTATAATATTTTAATCGTAAGGGGAAATTTTGACTAAAATATTGTTTTACAGACAAGTAGACGGTAAAGCTCCAACATTCGCGCGCAAGCCAGCCATTCGTCAAGAAGACGAGGGCAAGCGACTGATCTTCGAGTGCCGCATCGAGGCTGAGCCGGTACCCAGTGTTGCCTGGTTCCACAACACTATGGAAGTCAAACATAGTTCGAGGCATAAGGTATTATATATAAAATCGTAAAAGCCGCGCCAAGTGTTTTTGTTTTATTTGTAAAAGCAACACTCCCAAAATTGACTAAGGCTAACTTTGCCGAGCATTTGGTACATTTAAAATAGCTTAAATTTATCAATAAATCATTGAAATAAAGTAGTTTTTTTTTATAATAATAATATTTTCATCAGTATCATGCACAGTTAGATTTGAACGTGTTAAACTTTTGATGTTTTGTATTACAAGGTTAGAGCATAAATATTTCAGTTTGTGAGGAATGACCTTGACCCAAATATACCTTAATTAGAATATATCTTTAGTTTGAACAATGACCTCAATTTACTTCTAATACCAGATTAAGTAAGGAGTTAGTAGAAGTTTTTATTTAATAACTTTGATGAATCACGTTTAAAAATAATAAATTTCCATATGTATATTCCATTACAGTTAACAGTAAGCAAAGAAGGCAAATCATACTACGCATCATTAGAAATCAACAACGTGACTGTGGAAGACGCTGGCAAGTACCGAGTGACGGCCAAGAACGAGCTCGGCGAAAGTAACGCTACGATCAGCCTAAACTTCGACAGTAAGTCTGTTAATTAATAAGATTTTGGTAATGAAAAATAAAAAAATAATTATAAAAGTAATATATGTTATAAAAGCAACAAATAAAATCATAAACATTAAACTATAAGATAACAAATGTGAACACCACAAATATATTAGAATAAGAGGACAGATAATAATTTAAAAGTAACATTAAATATACGCATATATAATCTATTTAATAGAAAGTTGACTGGAATAAAATGAATAAGTATACTAAGTAAAGCATGTTACATTGTAGTTGTTGTACGAGATACTACGTAAATTCTAGTAAAATAATTGTCCAAATAAAATGCACTTACACATAGAGGTTCACATACATACATACATGCACACACAACAGCTCAAACCTATTTCATTTAAAAAATAATTTAAATGTCAAAATTTAAAAAAAAATAGAATTTCGCTTCATAGTGTTGATGCTTTTTTTGTATGTGTGATCCTAATCCTGTAAATGTAATAGATTCTCATTATTGTGAACGTAGAAGTTGCAGCACAGCTTTTTCATTAACTAATTCTAAATTTAAGATTTTATTTACGTTAAATACGTTAATTTTAGTTAAATAATTTTTTAAAGTTAAATTATTTGTTGTGTTTTTCTTTTATATAGATTTTAAGATGTTTTCTGTAAAAGACAACAAGACGTCGTAACAATTGTTACAGGTTTTAAGTAATATTTTTTTAGAATTACTTAGTTACACACTTTAAGTTAAAAAAAAAGATATTGATAAAATTTGTATTACATATACTAATTAATATTATTTTAATATATGTATTTAAATCTCATTCCTCACATGTCTCGCTAAAGCTTAACTAACATACTACACCCGAGCGTTTTATATTGTGTTTAATTTTTGAAATTTGTAATTTATTCTATGCTTGAGCGTACGCACGTATGATATAGATATTAGTAACCTTAGCAACTGTAATGCGTACTGATAAAGATATATCCTAGATTCAATTCAGAAAGGAATAATACAAATTTATTTATGTATATCTATTTTATATAATTAACTTATATTTCTCCTCGATTAACTCTTATATTTATACCTGCGTTGTTATTAATACGTACACAAGTCGTAAGAAAACATCTTAAATATTTCGCCAAATTTCAATGAATTTTAATGACAAAGCTGCAATTCTTCGTGGCAATTTAAGAGAAAACAAACTATTTACTAATATAAACACTGATATAGGCGACGAAGCGCCCGTACCTGAAGACTTTATCAAACCAACGTTTACGGAGAGACCTGTCATCAGACAATCGGAAGATGGTACCAAAATTACGTTCGAATGTCGATGTGTTGGCAAACCGAAACCAACCATCACATGGTAAGGACATTTTATAGAAGATTATTGTAAAATTAATGTCCTTATAAATTAACTTAATATCTTAACATAGAAACATGTACACAGGTACCTTGGAAAGAAATTAATAAAAGAAAGCAGTCGATATAAAATATCATTAGAAGAGGATCAAACATTATATCATATGGCGCGATTAGAAATAATAGGTGTAGAAAATTCCGACAAAGGAGAATACAGGGCTGTGGCTAAAAACAAACACGGTGAAGGCGTAGCTAAAATAAACTTAAATTTCCAGGGTGGTGATAAACCTAAGTAAGCTTTATTTTAATCATTTACGGATTCAAAATATGGATTAGGGCCCTTTATTAATTTTTTATCTTTTAAACAGAATACCAGATGGCAAAGCACCTAGATTTCCTAAAAAACCTACAATTAGGCAAGAAGGAGATATTTTAATAATGGAATGTATCCTAGAAGCACATCCTGTGCCAGATATTACCTGGTTTCATGGAGATAAAGAGATCAGAGACGGTGCCAAAATGAAGATGTCTAGAAAGGCTATAGGAAAAGATACTTTTAATCTCACTCTTGAAATTTTAAGTCCTACACAGGAAGATGGAGGCAATTATAGATGTAACGCTTTCAATGTGTTTGGTGAGAGCAACGCAAATATTGCTCTGAATTTTCAAGGTAATATAAGATTAAAATGTTGAAATTTAGGTTAATAGAAAAGTACGCATTCAGTAGCGTCGCATGTAGAGCCTAAAGCTTTTATGCTGCATGATACGAATTTGTTAAAATTATCAACAGCTATCAATTGTGTTTTGTTGTTTAGGTGGGGATGACGAAAATGGTTTTGCACCTTCGTTTGTGGAAAAACCACGAATCATTCCCAACGAAGATGGCACACTCATCACGATGCGTTGTGTCTGTAAAGCCAAGCCGGCGGCTGAAGTTACGTGGTACAGAGGCTCGACCGTTATTAAGGCTAGCAGTAAAATTGAAATCAAATCGTCTGTTATTAGTGAAGACCTTTATGAGTTAGTATTACTTTTATCCAACCCGACGGCAGCGGACGGTGGCGCCTACCGTTGTCATGTTCAAAATGAATTTGGAGAAAGCAATGCTAACCTTAACCTAAATATTGAAGCTGAGCCAGAACCTGAAGGTGAAGGGCCAACTTTTGTTGAAAAACCTACAATACAGTCGAAAGAAAATGGCAAATTAGTTATAATGGGATGCAAGGTCAAAGCTAGCCCTAGACCAACGATCGTCTGGTACCACGAGGGTAAAGAAATCAGAGACTCGTCGAAAATAAAAACTAGGGTCGAAGTAAAAGAAGATATTTACACTATTATCTTGGAACTCATCGACCCTGGTATTGAAGACTCCGGATTGTATAAATGCAACATTAAAAATGAACTTGGAGAGCTCAATGCAAATCTAACGCTCAATATTGAAAGTATGTATTTTGTGCCATATTTACGTCATATATTTTATGCACGTTTTTAAATGTTTGTTTCTAAATTAATCTGCGTTATTTTTTACAGTCATTCCAGTTATTAAAGAAAAACCAAAAATTATTAAGATACTTAAAAAGAAGACTGTAATCGTTGAATGTAAAGTGTTAAGTAAATTTGCGCCATCTTGTACATGGTTCAAGGAAGCCAGTGCAGTCAAAGAGGATTCGAGACATACTGTGCTTATCGAGCCTGTAAGAGAAGTAAGTAAGCCTTTAGCAAGAGGATGCGAAATGTTACGACCTTTGCATAATCATATTAGTTATTTCAATGTCACGTCATAACCTTCTTAACTCCATGCTCTTTAGACTTTTGAGCATGTTGTTTTGAACAGTCTTCCGAGATCTCCCGTTACTTTGTCTTGCACTCATATTTCCACCGTATGTTTGTGATATATATAATTCTTTATACCAAACCAACATGGTTTTATTCATTTTTACATTATTTTATTCATCATTATGGTTATGGTCTTACGGTAATTATATCTATTGGCTGAACTTTTAAAGAGTGTAAGTAATTTCAGTATACATATTTGCTTAATTATTCTACCACATGTATTACTGGCGAGGAGTATAGTTGTAATTAGCACTGTGCTGAGTACTATATAGTTGCTGACATGACCTTTCATTATTGTAGACAGTGCCGTTTACTATATTTTCAGCATACGCTTCATCACCTCTTTCATTTCTGCTAAATACACTATTTACACTAAATATCATCCACTTATTGTTATTATGTTTATTTATGTTTTATCTATATTATGTAATATTAATATATTAATTTAGTCGACGTTATTAACACATTTTTAAGTTACTTGTTTATTATGTTTAAGGGTGAATTTGCAGTCAAATTAGAAATTTCTAACGTATCACAACACGATAAAGGATCATATAAGCTTGTTGCTAAGAATGAGAAAGGTGAAGCGACATCTCAACAAGTTGAGATAACTGATATTCCTGAGGAAAAAGGAGAAAAACCGCAGATCATTAAGCACCTGAGAAGTTTGGTACGTGAAATTCGTTTTTATTTAATATATTTCTTTTTTATTTAGAATTTTTTATATTAATTTTATAATGAATAATGCTTAGTTAATAGGGAATTATGAAATATATACAATAATTATCAGAATATTTATACCGTAGGCAAGAAAAGAAAACGAAGAAGCTGAATTTGTTGCGGTTCTCAAAACGTCGGACCAATCTTGTAGATGTACATGGTACAAGAATTCTACTGTTATTAGAGATTCTTCCGAGATTAGCACATCTTTCGATGGTACTAATGCTCGACTATTCATAAAGAAAGTAACAACGAAATTTGTAGCTAACTACAGAGTTGTTATAAGAAATGAATTTGGAGAAGACGAGTCTAGTGCTGATTTAACAATTATCGAAGAAAAAGTAAGTATGAATTTTATTTAAAATCTAATTTTATCAGGAAACATGTTATGTAATTGGTTTGTTACTATAGAAAAAGAAAAAGGAGGAGGAAGAAGAAGAGACCACGGTAATTGAAGAATCAGAAGAAGAAATGTCAATTGTTGAAGAAAAATCAGTCATCGAGGAGAATCATGTCGACGAGAAAAAGGTTTGTTATAGGATAAAATGAATTAAATAAAAAAAATCATAATAATAAAATTTAGTCATAATAAGATAATAATATAAATTTATATACATCAGTATTATCTTTGATTGTTTACTATAGAAAGAAGTACAGAAACAAAAAGAAGAAGAAGAACAAACTATAATTGAAGAAAAGAAAGCAGCTGCTAAGAAAGTTACAAAGAAAGAAGAAGTTAAAATAGAATCCAAAAGAGAAGAAGTTCAAATCGAGGCTAAAAAAACCGAAGATAAAGTAGAAGCTAAAAAAGTGGAATCAAAATTACAAGAACAGAAAAAAGCTGAAGCTGAAATAGAAGAAGCTAAAAAAATACTTGAGAAAAAGACAGCTAAAACAGAAGAAGAAAAGAAAGCACTTCTGGAAAAGATTGAGAAAAAGAAAACTGAAAAGGTACCTGAAGCCGAGGCAAAATTAGAAGGTATTCCAAAACTCAAACCTGTCAAGCCAAAAGAGGAACCTAAGCCAGAAGTAGAGAAGAAAGAAACTAAAAAGACTGAGGAAAAGAAGAAAGTTGTCAAAAAGAAAGTTGTTTCTAAAAAGAAGGAACAAGATGTAAGTGATAACAACTTATTACTTTTATACATTGTATTGTATAGATGTACAAAGTTATTTTATGGAAAATTTGATTTGATTGTATCAAAATCATTCTTATATTCTTAAGTCAAAGTATTTTGTAAAACACTATGATTTATGAATTCATTATGTGTTTACAAAAGTAGTAACGCAGTTGTTTGTTGTGTGTTGTGTTAACATTTAGATGTGCTAAAAATATTTTTACTTTAGGATGAATTCGAGTTTGTTGACGATTATGAGCGTCCAGTATTGGAGAAATATGAACGAATTACACCTACACCTCTCGAAAAGAGACAGAAAGTTACTGACACACCCAAGGTAACCATTTCACGACACATATTATACTCACACGTTGATTTACGATTTATAAATACACTAATTTATTATCAATGTATTTTCTAATAATGACATTTGATTTAAATTATTCTCAATGATCTTAGACAAAACGTGCCTCCTTGTCTGAGAGCGTTAAAAGTCTGCCAGATGATAGTGATGAGGAACCTTCACTTGCTACATCTATTCCCGAGAAAAAACCTAAAGTGGAAACAAAAGAAAAGGTATAAACCTTTTTAAAAATATTATTTTATTTTTATTTTAAAAATCAAGGGGTTATCACTTTAATATATAAAAATAAAAAATATTTATATTACTGAAATTATTATTTTTTATAAATTCAAATTAATTATTAAACAAACATTAAAAATAATATATAATAACAATAAAATAGGTCGAAGAAGAACCTAGACGTCTAAGTATTAAAAAGGGTATACCTAAACCAGAGGAACCTGTAGATGAAATATCGCAGGTTAAATTATCCAAAACTCCGATAAAACCTGTTGAAGAAAAATCTGAAGAACCACAAGTAGCACAATCTAAACAACCAATGAAAAAGGTAGTTTTGAAATTATTCAATAATAATAATACAATTTGTTTGACTTATATAATTACAAATTACTTAATTTTATTATGATATGGTTACATTAAAATCAAAATATTTAACTTTAGCTTGAAGAACAAAAGGAATATGTTGATGATTACGAACGACCAGATTTAGAGAAATACGACAAAGTCACTCCAACGCCAACTGATAGGTCAAAGAAATCAAACGGAGTTCGTGAGGTATTTTATATATTTTAAAAATTAAAACAGTTTATCTGTCATTTTAAATAAAAATGCTTGAAAACAAAACCGTGCCTTAACATATCGAAATACATATCTTTTACGAGTAATAACTTGTGGGAAATGCATTTTTAGGAATCTCCAGACTTTGTAGATGATTACGAAAGACCCGCACTTGAAAAATATGAAAAAATTACACCTACTCCTAAAGATAAACGTCGTCCTAGTGACACTCAGGTATCGTGTTTATATTGCAAAATAAAAGATTTTTTTTTGTATTCAACTTATTTCATCAACTTACTTGATCTAATTATTATTTTCGAAGGATGAAACTGATATGATGACAGGCAAAATAAAACCTAAACCAAAAGAAGATGAACCTGAAATGCCTACACTTAGAAAACGATCTGTTGCCAAAGATAAGGTAGTCAGAACTTATAAAACATAACACATAAAAAATAAATGGTATATTTAACTTTTTTTATATAAAAAATACTGTTTTTATAACACTATTCTTTAATTTAGGAGGATGAGAAAAAACCAGATGGGAAACCAAAACCTAAAACTATTAAAAAAGATGAGCCTAAGGCTAAGAAACGGCCCTCTCTTAAAGAAAAAGAGGTATTAAATAAATCCTATGTTATTTTAAAATATTACCAAATAACATTGACACAATAATTTAATAATACTTAACAAATATGACAAAATCACTTTACTGGGCCGTTAATATATCTTCGCGTTTTTTGTTTCAGTTTTTGATAAATATCTATATTAAGACGCTCACATATGATAATATTTCTTTAATACGTATATTTTTAGCTATTTAATGCTTACTTATTTTAAGAGGATGTATAGCTTTGCTCGCAAGTTGCATGCTATGTGGAGCTTTGAATGTTCAAAGTGTTCAGTGGCGCAAAGAGTTGTTTATTATACATATTATATTAATAGTACTTACGCTGACTTCGCACCACACAATTTTGTTTTGCACTGTCCCTATTTCCTTCAAGTTCACAAATAATACTATCCACTTTAATAGAACATGGTTTGTTTATTACATTTTTATACACAATTAATGATTACTAATTAGTTTTAGTAATGATTACTTACTAAAACTATCTAAAAAATGAATAATACGAAAAGTAATAATCATTTTAAAGGTCGAAGAAGACGAATTTATCGACGATTATGAGAGGCCAGTTCTCGAAAAGTACGAGAAAATTACACCCACACCTATTGAGAAAAAGAAAAAGGTATACATTCAGATCCACACTATACATACAAGCTTATTAGCCTTACTCTCAATTTTAAATTTATTACGTATTTTATTTTTATTTTTTTGCTGTAAGAGCTAGGCTGCAGTAGCAAATTTAGATATAACGGTAACAGTTTTTTTTCCTATACCGTTTAATTGACTATAATAATATTTTTAATAAATATTTCTTTACTTCTCGTCACAAAAAAAACATTAGTAAAATTATAAAATATTTATTTACAAAAAATAAAATATTGCAAATATTTATTTAGGAGGATAAAAAAGTAGATGATGAAACATCTTCTACGACGGTCCAAAGACGACGATCTGTCAAAGATAAGCCAGAGGTACGGCAATTAATATATTTTTTTCTTCATTTAATAGTGTTTTTATTATGAAAGAACTCAGTTAACATACACATAATAACAATTTTATGCTGTAAGAGCTAGCTGCAGATATCTTTAGATATAACGATAATAGATTCTTTTTTTTTTTATAAATATTCCTTTACTTATCGTTACAAAAAAAACGTTAGCAAAATTATAAAATATTTATTAACAAAAAATAAAATATTGCCAATATTTATTTAGGAGGATAAAAAACTAGAAGATGAAACATCTTCTGCGACCGTACAAAGACGACGATCTGTTAAAGATAAGCCAGAGGTACGGCACTTAATATATATTATATTTTTTTCATTTAATAATATTTTATTATGACAGAACTCAATTCATATACATAATATTTCTTAATAGCCAATGGATGTTGACGAAAGTGTCAGTGTTGCTAAGCCAAAAGCTCCTGTGAAACCAGGGCAAGAACCTGAAGAAGTTTCACTTACACATAAAACCCCGGCTGAAACAAGGCCCACGGTTTGTATAAGCAAAATATTCGAATTCACGCTTAAATCAAAGGTTGCTTTTAGTCGTTTAAGTTACGAATATATTAAACACTTAATTTTATGTAGGAGGATGAGGCTGAAGCAAAACTTAAAATTAAGAAACCAGAAATTGTTGAGGAAAAGACTATTAAACGCCCATCACCTAAAGATAAGGAACAAAAGGTACTTTAAAGAATTTAAAATTAAACTTAACTTTGAAAATTATAGGAAAAATAGTTTTACTATATTGATAAATTATAAATATATTTAAAATTCAAAAATCATTCGCAGATCGGAATAAAATCTTCTAATATCTTACCTTTAACGGTATCAAACATATTAGACAGAATGTTAATTCTTGTAAAGGTAATATTATCTATGGTATCAAGTAGTTGAGCATAAAAATTAGGAGAAAAACACACAAGATTGCCACTTTTAATAATTATGTAGTTCATCATTTTAGACGAGATATTTACACTATGTTCTATTTGCTTTCTCTATTAGCCTGTATTTTAAGCACTATCTAGTTGCACATTATGGAAATGATTTTATCTTACCAGATCACAATACTTTAGACGTATTTGATGTTTTGATATTTATCACTTTTGCTTAAGTTTTTCACATCTTTTTCTATTACTTGTGGGCTTAGGGTGAGGATATTGAAGATTCGGTCAGTCTTACCAAGCCTAGAACTAAGACGAGCACAACTGCTCCGGAGGAGGCATCTTTAACACAAAAGAAACCTGCTCAGAAAAAGCCTACGGTACTTACATATCTTTCCTTATTTTCTAATTATCTCAGCATAAGAATAAAAATATTTTCTTAACAAATACAAAGTATATTAAACAATTTAAAATTTCTTAGGAGGGTTCCGAAGCGGCTCAGCTTAAAGTTAAAAAACCAGCTGTCGTCAAGAAAGATACCGAGGCTGAGGTAGAGAAATTTGAAAATACTTACAAATTAAAAAAAATAGTAGATAGCTGAGATGATTAAAAAATTATAGAATTCTTGCGATTTCAACTAAACTTTTATTAATTGCACCTTTTCGTAGATATAAGTATCGCACAATCATACTAATGTTATAGTTCCACCTGCACTAGGAAAACTGCTTTTATAATATAGTAATTCCAATTAGTTAGAATAACTTACGTGTATTGTGTACTTAGGAACCTCTGACCATAAAGGGAGGTAAATTTGAACTGCCACAACTTAAGAAAACTGTCAAGAAAATACCTGAAAAGCCCAAAAAGGCTACATCTTCTTCTTCTGAAAACAAAGAAAATATTGATGGGGTAAACATCTTGAAATACTGAAAATTGTTTGTGACGTCCCATTGTTACTTTCTTGTTATTCTCTTCATTTACTTTTTCTTACACTTTTTTCTTCCTTTACACTTATTAAGCACTACTACACTACACTATATGTTTTTTTAAAAAGGACACAACGCTTTATACACCAATACACTATATTACACTTTGCGATATTTTTAAAGTAGGTATCTGGATTGCATTTAATTAAGCTTTGCTGGATCTTCGTCGTTGTCTTTCAAAAAGTGGTTGATAATAGTCGCATGGTGCTATTAAATGTTTTTCTGTTTTATGTTTTTTTTTTCAGGTTTAGCTGTAATTATATTTTGTTTTACTGATATCGTATTTAAAAAAAAACATTTTAGTAACCTAAAATATCACTAAGTCAAATGAATTTATTCTTTAGAATGTCTTCACTAATTATCTTCTTTAGTTTAAGAATGGTGGACTCATTTTTTTTATTTTTCAGTACGAATTAGATTTCGTTGACGATTACGAGAGACCAGTTCTAGAAAAATATGAAAAAATATCACCTACTCCTACTGTCCGAGAGAAAAAAGAGAAGGAAGTCAAGGTAAGATTCATACATTGTACATACATATATAATATGTTTAACTTAGTTTAAGGAAGATTAGTAGTACTGCAAGAACGTTTATGTAACTACAGCTGAATTCGCGATCATACTTCGTACAACGAATAAAGTGTGTTCACGAATTCAGCGGCCAGTTTCATACAGTTGTTACAGTAAACCTACTGTTATTTGTGAGTATGAGAAATTTATGTAGACTTTATTCTTTAAAGTTAAAAATATTAAATGAATTTCTATATTTTATGACAATACGTCCACGGCTTAAACTATTATGTAGGCAAATTATGTTTAAATTTCTGTATCAATTACTTATATTAAATTTATTTGTTTCTCATACTTAAACGAGAAAAATCGATGAATTGGTGAAAATGATATTGAAATTATGATAATGACTACTACTACTACTTATAATTTACTTATATGTACATACTAGTGACATACCCTCGCTCCGCTCGGGTGCGTCCCTGAGTACGTGCACATAGCCTTGCTACAGTTTAATAGGAAGATCTTTTTAAGAGGAATTATTCTGTAATACATTGTTTTATATTTCAATATAATTTTATTAGTTTACACGGCGCACGCCAATAAAGCTCCCAGTCGGCAAGATTTTTTCCGACATCTTCAACAATCATCGTCATTTTTCAGGCAATTTACACAAAACCTTAATAAATTATACACTTAAACCTTCCTCATGAACCACTCCATGTATTGGTGAAAACCGTATGAAACCCCTTCGGTAGTTTTTGAGTTTATCACGTTCAAACAAACAGACAGACGAGTCGGGGGACTTTATTTTATAATATATAGTGACTAATCTCCCTGTTTTATTTGTAGGTTGATAGTAGAAGAACATCAACCCAAAGTGAGGTTAGTATGATTTATGTTTTTATTAACTTTATTCGAACTTCCTGATAAGCTTTAAATCTTCTTTACTTGACACTTTAAAACTAAAACTGATAAAAGGGTAATTTCGAAACTAACAAAATAATTTTAACACATCAGATACAAGTCGTTGGTCAACAACAACAACATCTCGCTGTAAAGGTAAAGAGTTTGGTGTGAATAATTGTTGTAACTAGGTCATTCCAGAGTAAATAGTTTACTGATTCTTTTGTGATTAATCTCCTACCATTTTCATTAATAAAATATTCCTTTAAATCCCAATCCTGTTTTTGAGATATTGTGAATAAAAAGTTGTAAAATATTCCTGTATTACGAGATTTATTTTTATATACCTTTAATTTGTTATTATTGACTTATAAATTAATGAAATTATAAAAATTGACCATATTATATGAATTTTAAAAGTTAAACTTTAAAAATAAGATCAGCGAGGGGGAAAAATATTAAAAAATACATGTATTGAAATTGATATTCATAAAATGGAATGAATAGAGTTTTGAGAAGGAAAAAAAAATAGGTTGGTTTGATACCACATCATGTACACAATTATATAAAATTCTAACTGAGGCTTTTGGAAACAACAGCCACTATTACAATTCATGTGCTAACTCATGTAATTAATGTGTTTTTTACTTCATATATCTTAGAAGGGGAATACTATATATATCATTTGTTATATATATTTACACAACGCCATATAAATGTCCATGTTTATGTAATCGTAATAAGTACTGACATATAAAAACTGAAAACATAATGTTTCGGTTTCAGACTGAAAGCAGAAGATCTTCCATTCAAAGTGAGGTGAGTGATCATTCTCCATTAATACGTCATAGGTATTATGATTTTTAAGGACATGTCCTTAGGATAGGTACAGAAAGATTCCTTACTAAATCAGTATAATATTTAGTTTAAACAATATTGTGCTTCTATCTATGATTATGTGAAAGAAAAATACAAAATCTAGATGTACCTATTTAACAACATTTTTAAGATTTTTAGGATCGTTGTAACTGTTGGGCAGAAAATATAATTTAAAGTCTAAACTCAAACTGCTTATATTAAGAGATTTCAATTTTTTTAACCTACTTCCAATCGAACATTTATTTATTTAAATTGTCTTTAATAATTCCTAATATAGTACACGTATAGCCTTTGCAATCGCTCGAATGAGGAAAGAAAATGTATGATAATCGCTCGAATGAGGAAAGAAAATATATGATAGTTCTTAAAATGTAATCGTTCTGTTGAGTGAATACAGCTTTGAAGTTCATTGTTATCGTATATTGGAGGGTATTACGTGGGTGGCGGGGAGAATTTTGCCTCGAAGAGAGTCTATAAAAGTTTGTAAATCTGGCAAGAGTTTCACTTTGCGAATGTCCGTCGTGGAGTCTAAAGTTCGATAATGCTTCGGTTTCAGAAACATACAAGCGAAACGTACGTCGAAAGTGTGGTTAGTGATCCTATGTGATGTGTTGTGGTAGTGATAGCGTAGTGTTAATGTAACAGGATTTGAAGGAAGCTGCGCTGGGAGTTTTTGTGCAATCTGCCAAGTTTATGGATTACCAATTCTTTAAATGATTTTTTTTATATGTTTACTATTTCTTTCTAGGATATTAAAAACTGTATCTTTATAAAATTAATTTTTGTTACAATAAAAAATTCTGAAAGCTAGTTTAACTTTAGAATCGTGCTTAATTAGCAAAATACCTGAATATAATTGTTAATTTTAAAAACAGTATAAATATGTAGTTACGAAACTTTTTTTTGTGTCAGTATATAGCTACAGCGACCCATAAGACTTTCATATCTTTGATAAATTCAAAATGTACTTTGAACTATCTCAAAATTTTCACATTTTTCCCTAGGTTCAGGAAGTCAGGACTGAGAGCCGACGCAGCTCTATAATCGAAAACAAAGCGCTTAAGGTAGGAATTAATATATATATGTAATCAACAATATAAATAGTCTTGAACAATAATCATTAATAAATTAAGTATATAATAAAAGAATATAGCACGCCTTGTTTTTAAATGCTAGCCAAAAGATTAAGAATTGTTAACAGTGGGTGAATTTTTTCATAACATTAATATAAACAAAGTGTATTTATATAAGTAAATTAATACTCTCTAGTGTTATTGATAGCGCAGTGTGAAAGGAATTACTGCTCTTTAGTTAAGAAAATGTAGAATAAATTCAAAGTTTTTGTTTGGTCTCGAGCACCTTTAGCTACTAAAAAAAACGCTCGCTGGCTAACTGCCACTTCGAGGGCTACTTAGCGATAGGCGAACGATATCTGCACACTGGCGAGAGACAATTGTCTGCATTTATATTAATTAATAACTTCTTATCAACTTGATTTTATCTGCTGCTATATTAAAGTAATTGGAATTTCAAACTTAAACCTGAACTATAGATACAACTAGTACTTCTATTTAATGTTATATTTTATTAACATATTTTTTTTTCATCTATATGATGCAGATGATTCTGCGGGAGACATAGAAAGAAATTTTCTCCTTCGAAGTATCTAAATATTTTCCCGATTGTAAATATTTATGATGTTTGTTTATCCTGAAATGTAAATCCTAAACAAATCTTGTGAAGAAACAGTTCAGGAATAACTAAGCGAATTTTACTATATCTGACATTTTTGGGTTACGTTGAATGCTAACTCATCTAGCATTATACTTACATATACATATTCCAAATATGAATCTAGCCTTTGCACTCTGAGCTTCGCTTTTGGATGTTGATATATTGTTAGCAAAGCGTAGGTAATATTTTTATAATATAACTTTAAGTAAGATCTACCCTCAATTGATGTTCAACTTTTACCTACAATATACCAATCATTGAGGAGTTTCATGATGGTTTTGATTATTTGTATATTAGGAAATAAATGCTAATATATAAAATTTAAATTTATGTATAAATTTATGTATACATAAATAAAGAATTTTTTAAGTCCTACAATGGGTGTAGTATCATGATCTTACTATGATCTACTGATACTGATCCTACTATAACATATAATTTCTACAGATCACAAAAGAAACTACAGAAAGCAGAAAATCATCGGTGGCATCCATTTCGGAACAAGAACAGGTTTCACAATTTAAAAAGACTGGTCTTAAGGTAAGGACTATTCAATTTGACCAAATATTTCTATACATTTGAAAGATAAAATTAAAACTTTACCAGTTATTTTTGCAAAGTTATGGTGGCAAGTCGCAATCCCACTGGCTAAATCCTTAAGTTTTGAAGTAGACGATTTTTAGTAGTTAATGAGTTCGTTTTGGCTTATTATTAATTTGGTATTAGACTCCGAATACCGCTACTGGCAGAGATGACTAATGTTTTCAATTTGATAGCTTATTGCAAATTTTCCGTGTTCCAACATTATCACTAGTAGTTTTTTGGCGCAAGTATTTTTTTTTCTTGATTTGGTAATGTATATGGCTAAGCTCTTAGAATTGATTTCGTTAACTTAAAATGTGTTTAACTATCTAAAAACCCACTTTTTAAAAGATGAATACATTACCATTTCATAATTTTTGAATTTCCAATGCCCATTATAGTTCATTGCTTATTTATTTGATATTCATTTTAGAAAATCGTAGGGGAACCAGAAGTAGTAAACGAATTAGCGCAAATAAAACTTAAGGTAAGTTTGCTTTTAGGCACTTTGCATGATATATTACGTCCTATATCAAAAAAATGTATTATACTACGTATGTTACCGCTTCTGTAAATATGTCTATATTGTTCAAATATGCGTGGTCTTTGTTTATTGTGCCGTCCTCGTGTTTATGTATTTGTACACATATTGAATTTAATACATTATATAAAAACAAAGAATATATAAGAATATGTATAAAAGAATATAATGTAGGTACCTAAGTAACTTAATTACTGTATTTTGTGAATAGGATGACAAAGATGTTAACGAATGGGTAAATCCAACAACAGATGAAACACTAAACGAAAATATATATTCATGGCGATCTACGAAATCAGACACACAGGTACACAAACACAACTTTTAACACACGCATACTATACCGTTACATATTATTTACATTTTACCTAAATTAACATTTAACTACATTCACTTTAATAGGAAACTACAATTAAAACGCAGCGTAGTACTAGTTTAGACCAGCCAAAGCTAAAAGATCTAACTCAACCTAGGAGAAGATATAGTAAAACTGAGGTATAACTTTATATTATATTTGAACATTTAATTTATCATAAATTAATTAATATTTATAATATAACTTATTTTAATTCAACACAATGACAGGATATTGAAGAGACAGAAAGGGACGAAATCGTATTTACGAGAAAAACTTCTACTGATAGTCCGAATAAAAACTTAAGGCAAACCGGCAAAATTAAAGAGGTAGTTAAAATTTTCAAAAAGTCTTATTTGACTTAATAATTATTTAAAATAGGGTGATTTTACAGTATCCATAATTTTTATAGGATATAGTAAGTCCAATGGACTTAGATGAACTCGATAATAAGACGATTAAACGTGATCAAAGCATAGCTAAAAATAAAGATGAAGCCGATGATAAGCCTACTGAATATAAAAGAGCTTCATTACGTAGATCTAGCAAGGTAAATTGTAAAACCAATAATACAATTTATAATTCAAAATCGTGCAGTATATCAAACATACCTAATTTTTCTAATTCAACAGGACACTAAGGTTTCAGAAAATAACATCGAAATTACAAATGATAAAATTGAATCTGATAAACTCTACATGCTTGATACTGATTCAAATAAACTGGATGAGGTACTTAAATTTATTTGAATGTAATAAAATCATTATAAGATTACTTTTCTAATTGAAAATTGCTAGAAAAATATACTTTATGTAACCTAAATTTAAAATTTGTTCTTTTTTTATAAATTAATGTTCCATGGTAAAGGCAAATATTGTTTTAATTGATTTTTTTGCCTCTATAGGACTTAAAAATTAGTAAAATAGATACTCCTGCGGTGATTAGCAATGTCGAAAAGTTAAAATTAGAAGAGCCTTCAGAACAAATATATCCTTGGAGGCAATCAACTAAAGTTAAAGAGGTATGAGTAAATTATCAAACTTTGTTAATATATGTTTAGGCGGTTATTTATTATATTTTGTGGATTAACGTAATGCATACTGTCTTATAGGAAATTGACAAGCCTAAAGAAAGTTTACTGAAGGTTAAAGATTCAGTAGAAAAAGAAAAGGATAAGGTAAATAATTCGTTATTAACAAATTCGATAAATATGTACTTGGCAATTTTTCTTATTTAATAATGTTATTAGGTTCCTGATAATGTGACAAACAAATCAAATGACATATCAGACAAATCTACAGAACAAACACATTATCCTTGGAGAAAACCTAAGGAGGTATAAGTAGTTCAATTTTTAAAATATACGTTATTTAACAATAAAATAGCATTTAATTAACATAAAACAATAATTCGTCAGGTACCCATACTTATTACACCAGAACCAGAATCAAAACCAAATGAAGTACCATTTTCTTGGAATGCTATTCCTGAAATCCCACAGGTATTACTAAAATCCAAAACTATGATCAATATAAAACAGTATGTTATATTTATTCTATAATATACATAATAATTAAATATTTTACTAGGCGGAACAAACACCAGAATTAGAAAATCAATACACACCTACATTACGCGAAACACCAGACATTGTGCCTTGGAGAAGATCTAGGTCTCTTCAGGTATACACAAAATACATTTTCCACCTACATTACACTCCACCTGCACTTACATCATGCAAACATATACATATATTGCAAACATATATATATATATATACATTGCAAACATATACATATATCTCGTACACACATCAGTCATTCTTGCACAATCAAAGAATATCTGAAAATGTAAGCGTACGTCAGTCAATTAGGTTATTTTTACAACGCTTACAATTTCGGATTTAACGATTCGTATGGTCGCCAATAACGTTATTTACTGCTCTCTAGGCTGATTCAGAGGGCATACACGAGAAAAAGCCGGCTTCTTTAGAAATACCACAAGCTGATATTAGCAGCAGACCTCAACCTGACGAGGTATTGAAATTGGCAAAAGATCAATAACGGCATAGAAATTTGGCACAATGCACACACTTTTTTCACAAGATTTGAATTCAACACCTGCAATGCACTCGCACTTAGTAGAAAAGCACATAATTCGTTGAAATAATTGGAATTCTCTATATTATGTAATAATAAATAAACACTAGTAGATAGAGTAGAAAATAAATTTAATAACTTTTTAGATGTAGTAGATAGGTTTAATAAAGTAGATGTAGAAAAAATAATACATAAATATAAACTGCATGTTTTAAATAAAATTAAGGCAAGTTTTTCTAAGAATGTATGTAAATATTGTAAGTGATGTTATTCTGTTACGTCTGTGGTCATATTGCCAAGTGTACTGTGACTGTATAATTTCTTCACTTTTATACATATGTGTACTTATTTTCCCAGCTTCTGCTTCAGCTTTTTACTAACTTAATATATTGTACAGTTTTTAGTTTTTCAGCTCTTTTAATATTGTATGCAGAACACAGGTAAGTCATTGTTTACATGTTTAATTAATTCAAGGTCGGGAATAAAATGAAAGAAACGAAGAATATTCTATATAATATATTTTAGGCTTATTTATAATACATTTTTTTAATTACAGAAAGTCGAAGTTAAGCAAGAAGTAGTAGAGCAAGAGGCTAAAAAGGCTAAGCTTACAACAACAAAGAAGAAGGCTGAAGAATTACCTGAAATCCCTGATTATGACAGGCCTGAACTCGAGAAATATGAAAAGATTTCACCAACACCCACTACTAGGGAAAAGCCAGAAAAAGACAAGGTTATATTGTATTTTTACGTGTAACCGCATTTACTTTTTATCAATAATTTTATACTTATCTTTCAAAATTATACATACCTAATAATATATTTTTTTCGTTTTTAAAATACTTTTGATATTTACGCAGCCGGCTGAAAAACCAAAGGTACCTGAAATTAAGGCACCAGAAGAGAAGCCAGTAACGCCTAAAATTGAAGTTGTACGTGACAAGTCTCCGAAACCGGAAGCACCAAGAAAACCATCCCTATCACCTGCACCTCCAGCTAGACGGGGATCTCTCATTCCACCTCCAGAAGAAATGGGAAGACGTCCATCGTTACTAATTAGCGATGAGGTATGTAAACTTTACGTACTTAGAATCAAGCAAATTGTGAATATTATAATAATAAGAAACAAATTGAATTACAATAATTATATCAACATTACACATTGAAGGTATGAAAATTATAACCTAGAATTACCTAGTATTGTGCTGTCTGATTGTAGCATAGAATACTCTTTGTAGGTATATTTATTATAAGAACATTTAGAGCACGCACTTATTTCAGAACACTAATATTTTATCACACTACACAGGAACACTTTCTATCTTGTGAAAATATTTTGTGTTATTAAGATTAAATAGGTGCGTGGTTATATTTTTTATTTTTGAGCCCTGTAGACCCTATTCTGTCGAGCCGAACCCGTAACATTAAAATACCCTAAGTACCTCCTTTGAACAATGCTAAACCTCGTGCTTGAGTAACGGAGATGGTTATAGTTGATTTAATTGGGTGATATGAAGCTTAGAAACCCTTATTCCTGGCTTTTTAGATCTTAGACTTTACACAGTAGGTCGTGCCGACAAGAAAAAGTCACTAGTAATCAATGTAGTTATTAAGACGGTAAAACACGTAATCCACAGGAAAATAGAAAACTAAGACCTGGTGAGGTGATCGAAGAGAAGAAGGTAATAGACAAAACGCTACGAATAATAATAATTCGTTGAATGCTATCCGTTATGATGTTGCCGTGACAAAAAATTTAACTGTTATTCTGTCAAAGAAATGATGTTATTGCATTTGCATCTGGCGCGGATTAAAGCACTATTATCAAGGAAAGCAATCTGGATAATTACATAATATTTTGACAAATAAAAGACATATTGATGGCAAAAAATCTTAAAATATGAAAGAATTTAAAGTTTTAAATCATAGTATGTAATTATTCAGTATTCGTCTTTAAGGCGTTTTCTCGTACAGAGCACCTGGCTACATTGCACAATTTTTGTGACACAGAGCACACAAGTAAACTGCACAGCTTATACGCACGTACGCACACAAATTGACAATAAATGATTCTTTATATTATTCGGGCATTAACTGAAGCACACGACGTAAGAATCTATTTAAACATCATAGGCTTAAAACGGCGACTAACAATAATAACAAAGTGGTGCATCACATAACGAAAATAACTATTGCACTACTGACAAGGTCTAGATTAAATGTTAGGGTCTAGGGTTCCCAGGTTCGGCGGCACAGATAGGCCACAATTATTTTTTCGCGGTTATTACCAGTATTTTTTTAAAAACAGGTCACCAAATTACGTCCTGGAGAAGTTTTAGACGAGAAAAAGGTGAGATTGTTTGGGTCTGGTCAATTTTAGGTGGACGCTGCTCGCTTTGCAAAGCATTTTGTTCAATTTCAATTTTTATTTATTTTTTTAATTTTCGCACATGACAATACGGACAATATATCTGTTAAACAATTTTTTATTTATTTCTCACACTCTTACTCATTTACAACAATTTACAATGTACACACCAGAAATTATATCTTGTCTTTCAACTCTTTTTACATTCTACATCTTATGTTTGATTCTTAATTCATACTTAAAGGTAGATTTATACTTTCTTATTGTCCCTCGTAGGAATCAAATCTCTCTATTATCCGACATACGAGTATCAAAAGCCGCTTTATTGACTAGCGGGGGTACTACTTCTAGAGCAATTGGCTATTTCGCAATTTAGTTGATTTTGAAATTTTGGCATTTAAGAATCATAATACTATTATTGAATACATTTTTGTTTTAAAACATAAGCTATTTAAGGTTTACAGTTTAAATTTCTATTATGATTCTTTTTCTCAAGCAAAGCTTAATAGAAAATTCTAGAATGGCTTCAATTTTACCTTAACCTGGATGACCTGGATTATATTTTTTATTAGTCAAGCTTCATTTAAAACTTTAATTTCACCAATTGTAACCTTCACTAGACTTACTTACAACTTTAAAAAAAAATATTTACAATACTACACATCTGTACAAATCGCAACTGTAATAGGTAAAAGATTAACACCTAATGTTAATTTAGCACCTACACAAATTACTTCATCATACACTGATGCATTAAGATTTTATATAATACACAAATTAACAGAGAATGTTTTACTAAAACAATTTTATTTTTCAAAAAAGAAACGCGGCAGGCCGGGCGAACTTTCGGACGAGGTATATACATGGTGTGAAAATATATGTTTAGATATCTATGTTATAAAAAATTAGATTCGTGGCTAACATAGACCTTTTTTACAGTGATTAATTTTGTTATAAAAAATATATATTAAAGAAACTGATTATAAAACGACCTTCGACGCCGTAGTATAATTTGTTTCAAAAATAAAGGGGGAAGGTTTCTGAAGAGGCAACTGAAATAGTGATAAAAGTAATTTACATTCCGATTGTAGTTTTAAAGCCGTTAACACTTCGTTCTAACATGTTTATCAACTTTTGACTAACACTTTACCGCAAACAACCTAGTACTATAAAAAATTTGATTGCATGATTTGCACATAACTAAAGTAAAATTAAGTTACGGGACAACGCAAGCCTGAGTATAAGCCATTTGTCCCGACATTTAATTGTTATTTATCATTAGCAACCCACGCTACCCTAATTAGTGTTGCTGCTTTAGCCTTGTAATGAAATTATGAGTGTTTATGTAGTAAATAATTATCTTATTATATTAAGTGTACGCCATTTGTTTGCTGGAGCAGGTAAACGAAAACGGTAAAATGCTATTAAAGTTAATAACATCCCTGAAGATGCCACAAAACATGAACGTCTAAAAATCGCAATCTAAAATCTATATGTTTATAGATTGCATTCCATAACAATGTCGTGTCTAATTATGTCGTATCTAATTTATAAATTAAATGTATTGAATATAGAAGCGGAAGCTAAACAAAGATCTTTAATTATAAACTAATGAATCTAGTTTGCAGCCAAACTGTATCTACGACGTAAGCATGTTTGTATCAAAATAAATGTTACTTAATAATCACTTCCAAGAAATCAGTTGGGTCAAAACTTAATGTTAGCTTTTTTCACCTGGTAGTCATACATTTGTAAATAATATTAAAACACGACTGTCAAGAAGTTAAAAAGGTGATGAAATAAAAGACAATTCTTGACATGAATTTGAAACTATATTTACGCGGTGACTAAAATCAGAATGGTGGGCAGTAAATATCAAGAAGATAGACACCAACCCAGTGATGCCAGCTCTTTGGCGAATTCCAATGATTGATAGTTACTCTTATAATAAAGGCTAGGAGCTAGGCCAAGGTGAATATCGGTCTGTTTAATTATTGTAACTTGCCAAAACTAATGACTTATTGAATCAGGGATATATTATTAGAAGCAATTGTTTAATAAATCGCCACAATATCGATGTAACGAATAAAATATAAAAGTAAACTTGAATGACATTAAAATTAAAGTGTTTATGTACTACGTCAATGGAGTCCAAATTGACTTGACAAAATAATTTACCATCTAAACTGAATAATATAAAATTGATTTTGTTTTTCTTAAAGCATACATGTCCAATGATCTCAAGTCTCAAACTCAAGAATAGGTATATATAATCTTACTGATATCATGTTTCATAGTAAACTTGTTCGAATCCGTACAGACAAATCTTAGATATCTATAAAGTTGATACATATATCACTAATATTGATGTTCATATCAAATCCTAATAAACAATATCACGTTACTTTAGAGTTCGATCAAAATAAATCCAACAAGATCAACATACACTCAAAAAATAACGTTGCACATTCCATAGCGCCACATAATTAGACTATGTTATTATTAAAAACAAGGACGCGCTACAAATAGAATAGAATAGATGTAAATGTGATTGACAAGTAGATATAGATATGGTTCTTACCAAGAGAGGCGCGTGGGTGGTCTGTCCTACGGCAGGTTGTTATGATATCTCGATTCTTGGCATAGCTACAGTTCTTAAAAGTATTGGCTGTGAAGTCATATTATTGATATCTATATTGACAGGTGTATCACATGGAAGAGAAATTACAAAGTAAAGTATTTGTAACTTATTTTATTGTCTAGATGATAGATTTGTGACACTTCGAGAGTACTAAGAAAATTTTATTTAATATTTCTGTTAATTTTACGACATACTAGCAACTTACCCTCGCTGCGCTCGGGTTCGTCCCTGGTTACGTTTTAACGTTTAGCTCAGAGATAAGATATTTTCCCGCAGTAAAAAGTATCCTATATGTTGACCCGGATAACCAGCTATCATCATAACAAATTTCATCAAAAGCTATCCAGTAGTTTTTTCGTGATGCGGTCACAGACAGACAGACAAAAATTCTTAAAACTCTAGATTCGGCCTCTGTATTTAATCTTTATAATATCTATTTCAATAATATTTTCCAAAAAAATATTTAATGTACAGATTCGGCTTAGTTAGAATTTTATTATACGAGTATGTATAGATTGCTATTTCAGATATAATATACCCCATGCATAATTTTTAGGACCTTAAATAAATTAAAAAGCAATTGAGTTGGTGAAAAATAAAAAGAATGAAAGTGATACACGAATCAAACAAATTTTGTTTAGATAAGAAAAAAACGTTTCTTTCTTCATGGTTTTATGGATTATCAATGAATTACATTAATTTTTATTACATTAATATAATCAGATGAAATCAGAAGTGAATTAAGAAAGAATTAAAAAATATTAATAATATTATGTAGATTCAAAAAAATATTATAAGTATAATCAATATATGTTTGCATCAATTGTAAAATAAATTTCTGAAATATGAACGCAACTACAACAATTCGTAGCGTTTTGCTACGAGATTTCATTTTCACTTTATTTTTATGTATTACTACTATTTTTGACCGTGTTTTACATTAATCTAATAAATATACCTAATTAAAAATATAAGAGGAAATAAGTAGAATAGTTACAAAAAAGGCGGCGTTATGACATTTTTTTTATAGTTAGTCAGCCATCAGGTCGGCATTGCCTTCTGTGGTATAAGGTGTTCTAATATTGACGAAAGTTCGGTTCCCACGCCGTCAATATCTATCTATTCATAATACACGTGTAATTAGGTGGAAAAGTTTCTTTATAGATTGCCCCCTATAGGTATATTTAAAGATGTATTCAGGTACTGTATGTATATGTAATAATAGTAGCAAGAATTAAATTGATCAAATCTTATACTTTAATAATTAATGCGATAACGTTTATCACATGATGCATAATCTTGATCTAGCCAGCGCTTACAACTTTAGCATCGATTTAATTTTTAATTGTAATGAGTGCTACAAGCTCTGGAACTATCGAAATGATTTAGAAGTTTAGTGACAACGATAAATGAATACAACTGTAGTTGTCGCGAATACGCTTCCTTATGTCCAAATATACCGGATAAATTACGGTTGATATCAGTTGACGACAACTCTACACACATGTTAACAGCATCGTCCAAGTACACACGGATGCTCACCTTAATCTGATAATTAATTGAATCGGTCTGCTGATTTGTGCATGTGCACAAATAGATACCGCTCTCCCGTCCCCGCCCGCTCCATAGCCAATGCGCCTACGACGACCCCTTCAGTCTTTTCAGATTCGCGCCCATTTTTACATGGAACGACACTTATCGAACTGCCCCTAATCGAAACACAGTCATACTATCACATAACTTTATCAAGTAAAATACAGTGGTTGGACATTTAATATAATTAAAATATTTAAAACTGGAAGTTTCCAATATGGGTGAAATTCTAAATATAAGCAAATTAGATGTTATACTCTTACATTCTATTTATTTTCGCGATTAAATCCGTCTATAATGGGAAATAGATATTATCCTGTGACATTGTGACTTTTTTTAAAATATATAATATTTATTTATTAGTTTTTAGTGTATTGTGGCATCTTTATTGATAATAATTAATGTGCTTAACATTATGGCATCTTTAGCCAGCAAACAACTTGCTTCATTAACTGTACCAAAACCTATTGGGGTAAGTACGCATGATTATAAATTATTTATTAGTTTCCATGTCCTGAATTCATCGAGGTATATTTGAAATTCTTATAATCCTCCATATAGATCAATGATGCATATAAAAATGTTGTTCTTAAATTTGCGCGCTTTTATTTTAATAGAATTTTTTTAAATGTAAATTTTACATCATCAGGTAATCAATAATAATATAATAAATTTATTAAAGCAAGCAAATACAATGCAGCTTAGTGCTTTTTTTTCTGGGTTCGTCAACCAATTTTCTTTTTTTTTTTGTTTATTTAGTAGCTATTGATGAGCGAGCTTTATTGTTCTCAATTTGAAAACATTTTGGAACCAGCATTTTTTTTATATAGATAGTTGAAATCAATTCATATACGTTTTCCTCTAAATAAATAGTATAGTCGAATTCCGACCACTAGACGAACACTACCAAATAAAATTTTCTCAAATGGCTACTTATAAACAGTAGATATCTAACAATTTTCTTAGACTTAAGTTTAAGTAATGACCATATAATGTAAAAATATGTAAAGATTAATAATTTAAGGCCAAATAATATTATCAATTACCTTTCTCCCCTAATATATTATAATTAGAACAACAACAGCATCGTTTTTTACCTTAGAAAGCAGAAGATACTGGTAACGCAGGTCAAAACTTATAAATTCCTTCAAAAGTACTTCTTTGATGACAATAAAATAAGTAATGACGTCATTCGTAATATCAAGAGTACAACTATAATTCACAGTTGTAATTATTTTCAAGTGATGCTTCAACACTTGCGCTACATTTATCAGGAAGTCCAGATCTTCATTGTCGGGTCATTTGGCGAACGCACATGATGCACAGCATCTGTCATAACACAACTAATGTGTCTTGTATTTAGTTACGGTATAATTTTTCAATCTAAATTTAATCAAAACCAAATCGTTTCCAATATACCTCGATGACTTAACTGGTTCAACTAATTTAGGAAATTAAAATATTGATATTAATTTCAAACTAAATAGAATAGTTACAGCAACTTCAATGTCAAATGAAAACACTGTCAGTTATTTAAATCAACACTATAAAATACGATGGTGATTAAATACTCAGAATTCTCATATATCTAATATACTGGTATATTATCTACATTCCATGATACTATAATTATTTTTACTGTTCGTTTTCTAACATTTCCATGTTACTTTTTTTATTTTTTATTGTATTAGGTTTGAAATTCCTAATACAGCGCTAAAAACTAAACTTTATTATGTTACTTCTGTGTCGATTTAAATGTGATTAACAAAATGTATAATATGAGTTTTAGTTATATTCTAATGCTCGATTGATAATATAGCGAAGAAAGTCTGGTGATGCAAGAAGACCTTCGATTCAAGATCTAGAAGATTTGATCAACAAACCCTCAGTACCTCTTAAGCCTATTGGGTCAAAAGAAGGACCTCCACAAATTGTTGATGTTCAAGAAAGCAACTCCGCTGTTGAAGGTGTGTTATTTAAAAACGAAGTCTTTGTATTTTAATTATCTTATTTAAAAATTGATGAGGGTCAAGCTAATTATAAATATGAAATTTTTTCGTTTCAAATAGATCAAACTGGATATCTTACCGTTCAAGTCGAGGGTAATCCAGCACCCACTTTCAAATTTTATAAGGGTGTTACTGAAATCATTGAGGGTGGCCGTTTCAAGTACGTAACTGATGGCGAAACTGGTCTTATTACACTTTGCATGAGAAAAGTGAAACCCAATGATGAAGGCAAATACAAAGTCGTTGTTAGCAATATCCATGGCGAAGACTCAGCGGAAATGCAGCTCTATGTGTCCGGTGAGTGAGATTTTTATTATACAACAGGTTAGATAAAATAACATTAAATTATCTTTTAAATTTAAATTCTTATTATATCAATGTTTAATTTAAAATCATGGTCTATTTCACAAAATAAAATATACATATTGTATTTAATTCTTAATTGTTATATTATATTGTTTAAATATTTTCATATGAGTCATTATGGAAGAATGTAGGTATATATAGTTGTCGTTATAACATTTCAAATGTGATACAAAGATGCCAGTGGTATGGACTTCCGTGCTCTGCTCAAGAAAAGGAAGTATGCCAAGTGGGGTGAGAAGAAGGAAGACCCCGATTGGGGTGACCTGAAAGAAACCGAAAAACCCATCCCACCGCTAAAGAAGGTCGAAAAGGTAAGATAAACGTACTAACAAATAATAATTGATAGTATCAGTTATTGAAATATAATCTTCAAGTGGTGATATAAATCATAAAATATAAATTAATAAATAAATAAACATGAATTTTAAAATAAAACAAAATGAGAGTTAATATTATTATTTTTTAAATACAGTATGGTTCTAAAAAGAATCGAACTTAAATAAAAGATATTTATAATATTAGCTCTCAATTTTAAATTAGACAGCTCCATCAGGCTATTATTCCTATCTTCTTTGATTTCTAAAAAAAACATATTATGTTCCGGGAGCATTGTAACAGTCATAATAAGTCAGCGAAACACTGTTTCACTTGTAACTTGTAAGTTATACTTATAAGCAATGTTTCAATAAATACCTAGAATTTACACATTACATTTACGGCGTATAATACACACAAAACCGCGAAATTGCGTTTTACAAACAATATTTTTAAATCAATTACTAAGTTAACTTGTAACAACAAGTTTTCGTCTTCTAATTTTACTTAGTACAATCTTAAATAATCATTTTAAAATTAAACTTGTTGCTACAAGTTACTTCCATATACAAAATTGTAGGACATCGTATGCATCATTATATTTAATTCTTAGGGGTTAGAGACTGGATATTTCGAAGAGGATGGCCACATTGTGGTCGTATCAGAAGGGATCGAGATGTGTAGATTCCCGGCTGACAAACGCAGAAACTCCTCAAATTGGTCCTGGTTCAAGGTCCTCAGTACGCCACTTATACAATATCATCGTTCATTCCATCTTACGTTTCTTTACATTTACAACAATTTCCAAATACTATACAAAATATGGTTAATGAGACACCATCTTTATTTTTAATACATACTTACCATAAAGACTCTTTAATATCAAGGACACACTAAAAGAGCCTGACAACACTAATTGTCATTATGACGCTATTATATTTACGTTGTGAAGAAGTTGATTGTATAACGATAAACAAATTGTTATAATAATAATAATTAAACAAGTACACTAATAATAATGGCTGGTTGGTTAACGAGAAAAATACTAGATATATTTCGTGTTAGTACAAAACGATATTACTCTATGCTAACAATCTCTACAACCTACCGTCGTTACTGAACATATGACTACAAGCAGCTTCACTTTGAAGTTTTACACTGCTTTTAAATAACTTTGCTTTGCATCATTGATTGAATGACAAAGATTTAAAGGCGTATCTATACCGTTTAATGTCAATTCTAGGGTATATATCAAATAAGGAGACGTATGTCTCTCCCCGAATTAATACCCGATTGGCCCGCTTTGATGGAGGCTGTCAAAATAAAGGTTCGATAAAAAGGAGACATAAAAGTACAACTTTAAAATTATAGATTCCTTTCTATTGGAACAATTAAAATCAAAACAATTAAAATCAAAACAATATCGATAACTCGAATAAAGCTAACAGAAAAAAATCTAAACTTAAACTTGTTCCAATAAAATCGAAGTCTATTATAAACATGGAATGATCTAAAATGATAAATAAAATAACTAAAATTATCCCCTTAAACTATCATTACCAAAACAACCCTTAAAAATTAAAATATTTGGAAACTGCCAATTGAATAGTAATACTTAAAATATAATTAACCATATAAATTGGTAATGGTACTTGAGGGCGATTTAAATGACAATGCATAAACAATGGATTTTAAATAACTAGCACAAGGTTTTTATCACCACTTCACTCTTTTCTATCTTAACCTTATTTTCAGGGAATGTAAGTGGAATGAAATTGATGATCATTCACTTTTGTTGGATTGTTGTCAAATAAATTTGATTTCAGGTTTCTGTGACGTCGGTTTGAGGAGCTTTTGTCACGTCATTTTGTGCTAAAAGTATTAATTTAAATCATTATTAATTTCAGTTGATGCATCCGATGTATGCAGATTTTGGAATTTTATAATAAGTAAGATAGACAATAGAGGTGCTAGTAGGAATTTTGCATCTTATAATTAATATTTTAAGTTGACCTAATAAATGATATATTACTTTGATCTACCAAAATTCTTCTTGTATGTACCTAATACCTATTTATAAGTAAAATCGATCCGTCTTATAAATAGTCCCTTGAAATAAGAAAGTACTTTTAAGAAATAATCATTAAAAGATCACTAAGGATTTGTGGATATTTTATAGAGATCCCATAATAGAAGACCGTCTCTAGCGGAACTGATTCCAGATTGGCCGGTGCTGCACTCGTTCAAAAGAAACGAGGTTTGACACCGCGTTTATCCGTCGTTAGATGACACAATGCATCTTGAATTGTATCACTAAATGCAATTTGTCGCACAAGAATATGTTTCACGTCTACACTTGAGCATAAATCTGTCCAGCAAGATTAGAATTGATCGTCTTGCACTGATATCTATAAATACCAACAAATGACCTACAAATAATAAATATCAGTCAAATAATAAATATCGGTCAATGTCAAATTAATAAGTAATAAATTTTAATTATCATCAGCGTAAAATTTTAAATCTAAATTTACACCTAACGAAAGTAAAATCAAAACAAAACTAAAAAGTTAAAAAAATATCTTATCTATTTTTCAACATTCCAATGCCTAACAGGATTCTTAGCTTAGTCGACAATATTTTTGCTTTACGTTCACAACACTTAGATACCATGGCTTAACAGGACAAGCCATGTTAGTTATCAGTGCAAGCACTGTATTACTTCGAAATCTTTAGTGGAAACCTAAGTTCACTTTCAATAGTATATAATAGCACATCTATTGTACCATCTATCTTCTTCTGTACTCTCGGCTCTTCTGCACACATATTACATTTTGCATAGCAACACTTCGCACCGGGAATTGTACAGTGTCATCGATGTTTAAAAGTATTTTCGTGTTTTTGTGACAAAAATAATGAATAAATGTACACCACAACTATAATGCTGGCTTATAGAAGAAATGTTCATTCATTATTTTTGATCGATCGTTGTATACACTGTGCAAAAAAGTCTTCGTATTCGCCCACTTTCGCACATTTCTACAATAGAAAGGAAATTCCAATTTCTGTACAAATGCATGATGTTTGAAGTGAGGGGTGGCGATGAAAAAGTGGCTGATTAATTTAACGCCTCCGTTATCACATAAATATCAATTGTTTCATCCACTTTCATGCATTTGTATTCTGTGTCACTTCTGATATTGTATAATCAATAAAATGTTAAGTTAAGGTTAAGGGTGGTCCGCACACAGCTTTTGTCTGAAGAGCACTTTTTGTTACTGCACCAATTACAATAAGAACCGAGTAAGGTATATTAATGGCTCACATACTACTTTCAGAAACCAGAGTCTTTCTTGAAGCCCCTCGTAGATCAAAATGCAAAGGAAGGTAAAGATAAGAAGGTGACGTTTGAAGCAATTTTCACGAAGCCTAATGCGAAGCCGAAATGGTTCTTCCGTAAGGATGTAAGTTTTCAGGATACTCTACAATGTGAATATTAAATACCTACTGTATATATATTCGACAAACCAATACTAATACTTTTCGTTTATAGGAGTTATTCCCTGGATCTAAATATAAAATGACTAACGAGCAAGATTCCTACAAACTGATCATCATGAACCCTAAGGTTGAAGATACAGGCAAAATTACAATTGAAATCGGTGGTATTACTAGCACCGCATTCTTACAAGTTGAAGAACCAGACCCTACCTACAATTTCACAAAACCACTTAAGAAGACCCTCACTGGATACACAAAGCATGAAGTTATCCTGGAATGTACAGTGTCAAATAGCTTGGCCATTGTCTCTTGGTGGAAGGGTGAAACAAAACTGGAAGACGGAGAAGAGTTACAGATATCAAAAGATTTATCCGGTGTATGCAGGTTAACAATAAAAAAAGCCAAATTAGAAGATGCCGGAAAGTTTACTTGTAGGATTGAAAAGCAAACAGATAAGACTGAATGTGAAGTAAAAATTATTGGTGAGTGGAGTTGAGAGAAAAATATATTATATATTAAGTTGATATTATAATTATGTATAGCTGGTTATAAATCTATTAAGGTAGTTTTATAAGTATGCTATGTTAAGTATTATAAGGATGTCGTAATTCGAAAAAATACTTATGCGATCGATTTTTTCCCCCCAGAATACCCATATAAATTCACCAAGGTACTTAAATCGCAGCAGGCAATTGAAAAGGATACTATTACACTACTTTGTGAATTAGACGATGCTGCTGGAGATGTTAAATGGTAAGTTTTATATTAAAAACTATAAACATTACATTTATGGTAATTAACATTTTTTAACAGGAAATAGAAGTCACAATTTAATTCACTATGCAAGTAAACATATGTTATGAAAATCTTTAAAACTTTATTAATTATTTTTAGGTACAAAAACGACCAACCGCTAAAGGTTGATAAACGAGTTACTATTGTAAAGGAGGGTCGCAAACGAAAGGTGGTCATCAAAGATGCGAAGGTTACTGACGCCGGCCACTTCAAGTGTGTCAGTAACGCCGATGAGACTGCTTGCGAATTAATCGTCAATTGTAAGCTATAAGCCTTTGAGCTTTTTTGTATAATATTTTAATTTATCTTCAAATGCTTCTTATAATATTTCGGTTCATAATTGTATTCGTACTATCATTTTTATAAAATTTTTACACAGTGAACATTATAATTGCCATTAATTCAATTTACCCAGAAATATTAACGAGGAGGGGCCATTGTTCATTGTTTAAAACTAGCGAACCTAGACCTAGATGGATAAGTGAAATATGATATCTCTCAAATTCAATCATAATACATTTTATTGTCAGTGTCTTTAGTGTAGTAGCCCAGTCGCTATACACTTTATAGAGTTAACATTTTTTAAAGAATTTGTTTAATAATTATTCTTGTAGACTCTAATCGCTTCAACAAGAAGTTGAAGGACACAGAAGCAATTGAGAGGGACAAGGTTGTTCTAGAAGTAGAGCTACAAGATCAAACTGCTGAAGCCGTTTGGTCCTTCAATGGAGAGCCCATCGTGCCGAATGAAAGGTAAAGGCATATATCTTATTATGATATTGCTAATTTCTATAATAATATATCACGTAATTTAGTAAAATTGTAATAAATTGAAACATACAAATTTTAAATATTTTTAATTATTTGTTTTTTAATTTTTCAAATTTGTAATATACGGTTCAACATATTTGAAAACGTTTGAGTTTCTATCTATGTAACTACGAGGTTTATGGGACTTTTCTTTTTGTACAACTAAGAATAATTTCAGTCTAAAAAAAACTAAGTATATAGCTTGACACTCTTATTATGCGTACTCTTATTTAAAGCTACTCGTATTAATTGTGTAATTATATATTTTTACATAGAATTGAAATTAAAAATTTGGGCGGTGGTAAGCACCAGTTAATTTTCAACAAAATTGAAATGGAGGATGATGGAGAAATCCTATGCGAGTCTGGTAAACTAAGCTCATCTTGCAAGTTGTCTGTGAAGAAAGGTGAATCTAAGCCTCAAATCGATTGTCCGGACGAATTCAATGGACCAGCTGGACATCAATTCGTCATCGAAGTGCCTTATAAAAGTAAGTTAAAATTTATTAGTTGATATTTAAAAAAAAAACAATAACACAGGAATTGCACATTCAAGTTGTTGGAGATTTCTTTTAACCATATAAGATGTTTGTGCCAATAAAAATATATTATGTATATATTTCATATACATAACGATATTATAATACATGCATAACGATATGATAAATATATTTCATAATGATATTATAAAAAGGTCAGACAGAAGGAAGGGACAGATAGAAAAAAATATATAAAAAAAAGTTTATTTTTCATTTTCAAATTTGTTAACACCTAAAGGTAAATTTCTAAGAAATTAATTATAATTCTAATAAATCTATTGTTAACTGATTTAACGGACGGAGGGATTAATACTTTGTTTTTTTTTACAGTTTCCGGTACCCGTCAAACACCAATTGAAGCTAAACTGCTTAAAGACGGTAAACCTTTACCTAATAAGGAAGTTGAAGCAGTTGTTGAACAAGAGAAGATTCTTTTTAAAATCAAGAAACCAACCAGAGAAGGTTCTGGCAAATACCAAATTAAACTGTCTAATGCTCAAGGAGAAGATTCCAAAGATGTTAACATTATTATGCAGACTGCACCTACACCTCCGCAAGCAGTTGAAGTTACAGAAGTCTTTCAGACGTCTTGTGTTGTTGCTTGGAAAACACCCCAAGATGATGGTGGCACACCCATTATCAAATATGTTATCGAAAGACAGGTAAATTCATCCCAAAAAAAACTAGTAATCACGTTTTGGCATTAATTATTCGTATTTTAACATTTATTACTTCCATATTTACTAAGGATTGATACATACATTTTTAATTGTGTTAAACAAAATCATTCAAAAGTTTACTTTTTTTAAATATGAATGTAACACAATTTTTTTTAATTCATTTTAGGATTTGTCCCTCAAAGCAGCTTGGGACAGTGTAGCTGAAGTTGCTTATGGTGAACCAACTAAGTATAAAGTTGAGGATCTCATTCCGAAGAAGACTTATAAATTCAGAATACGAGCTGTTAACAAGATTGGTTCCAGTGAACCCGGTCTTTTCGCCAAGCCTGTGCTTGCTAAAGATCCATGGGGTGAGTGAACAATAAATAAATATGTTGGGACATTAACACACATCACCATCTAGTTCCATGACAAGCTACGAAGCCTGTGTTATGTATATCAGATAGTAATTGATATACTACACTTTATATACATACAATAAATATAAATACCTGTGACTGGAGTACCAACATTCGTGCTTATCACACAAATGAATGCCCCCAGCGAGACTCGAACCTGCGATCGCTGGCACAGCAATTAGGGTCACTATAAACTGAGCCAAACTCGAATCTGACATTTTTTCGCTTTTCCAATGTATAATTTTACTAATATTTATATTGCCTGTGTTATTTTATAGATGAACCATCTAAGCCCAAAAATGTGGAACTTTCTGATTGGGATAAAGATCATGCCGATCTCAAGTGGCAAAAGCCCGATAACGATGGTGGAGCCCCAATTACTGGATACCTTATTGAGTACAAGGTATTACGAGTTGTGAAAATACTTTAAATTTTCTGACAAATTCGTAATTGATTGTATTATTATAATTTTTTGATAACATATGTAAGTTTCGACAAATTATTTATTCTGGTTAACTTATACATACTTTATGCATTTTAGGAGAAATTTGGCAAAGACTGGGTGAAAGGCGTGGAAGTACCTGGCGACGCGCTATCAGCGACCCAGGATGGGCTTAAGGAAGGCTGCACGTATGAGTTCAGGGTGCGCGCTATTAACAAAGCGGGTCCTGGTGAACCTAGTGATAGCACTAAACCTATTGTCGCTAAATGTAGATTCGGTGAGTCAATGACATAATATACATTTTTAAACTTCACAAAATAATAATGATTACTAAATATCAATGCTACAAGAATAAGCAAATAACATAGGTTATTATCTTCTTTACAGTTAAGCCTTACATCGTGGGCGAAGGACTTCAAAGTATGATCATAAAGAAAGGCCAAGTTATTTCATTCGATATTAAGTACGGTGGAGAACCTGAACCCGAAGTCAAATGGCTTCAAGGAGAAGAGGTACTTCAGCTTTATAAAATATTTGATTCATTAAATTTTCCCTCTACAGCGGTTAATGAGCTACGCGCAATCCAGATGTTCATGGATATAATTTTTCTAAGTGTCGATACATCATGTTCTGATCATTTATATTTTCCAAATTATTAGTTTTTGTCATCAATCATATTTTTAAAAATCAAATTATTAATATATATTATTTTGTCCAAAAAAGAAACGTGGAAAGGCGTACACAGAGAAGGTCAGATGGGTGAAAATAAATGTTGTCATAATGTTTTAAATAATTACTCTTACAATTTACTCTGTACTACACTTCTATGTGCTAACAAAATTACACTACAAATATACTGTCGCTTTATGTTCAATAGATATTATTGGCCAAAGTACTCAACAGCTAGTTAATAACTGCAATAGATAATACTTTTGACTTAAAAGAAGTTGCCAAATATTCAGACATAAAATAAAGCAGTTTAAATTAATTAACTGCAAAGAAAATAATCGCTGCCAATAAATCTGTTAAACATGATCGCATTAATCTTATCGCAAAGAATGCGATAACTTAACATGTTTATACAATGTAAAAGCTTTCGATGTCTTTAATATAAATCTGTCTAAATTATTAGGTGCATTAAGGCGAGAAATACATACAACGGAATTTGAATAATAACATTACTCTCATACCTACACACGCATGATATACTCGTACCTACATTGTTTACATCAATGTTTGTTTTACGATATTTCACTACCACATTTTATGTTATCTCGTTCGAATGCATCTTATATTATGATAAAGCAAGGTGTATGTACATATCACGAAGTATCTAACCTTTATAGCGGGCACTGAGACATGGTCATTACGCAAAAGTACCGTGAAGTATCGCTATAAGGCAGTTCTTCAATGTTTGGAGCTGCCGCCACATATTTTCTAACACAATTCAATGTATGCTCACTTAACATTTGATGTTGTGCAACGATTGTTTCATATTTTGATGGAAAACTTGCAACATAGATTGAGTGATAAAACTTTTAATAGTATTTTAATGAAGAATTATCCATCAAGATATGATTAACAAGACGAATTTATTAGATTTTCTGCTCATATGCTGAATGTGTTTAGGAAATTCATGACGATGGCGACCGTATCACGATTGACAAGTATGAAAGAAATACTGTTCTAACCGTGCGAAGGACAACCAGAATTGACAGTGGAAAATACAAACTGGTACTTACAAACTCTTCAGGCACTTGCGAGAGCATTGCTGATGTTGTAGTACTAGGTAAAATATACTTTATTTTTATTAGTCTTTAGGTACCATTTTAATATATTATGCTAAATAAATATACGTGTCGAATTGAGAACCTTCTCCTTTTTTTCGTCAGTTAAAAATTACCTTTCAAGCTACAATACTTAAAATGTTAAAAACAAAATATTGTTCTTTTAATGGTAAAAATATTATTTTCAGACAAACCTAACCGACCAAATGGCCCTCTCGAAGTCACGGAGATTCGTGCCGAGAAAGCCACAGTTAAATGGCAAAAGCCAGACGACTGGCAAGGATCCGATATTACTGGATACACGCTTGAAAAGATGGATATGGTATGTAAAAGAAATAAAAAAAATATTATATTATTTATACATATAATAAAATTCTGACTCGAATCTGTACATTAAATATTTTTTGGAACATCAATACAGGGGCCGAGTCTATAGTTTTTAGAATTTTTGTCTGTCTGTCTGTGACCGCATTACGAGAAAACCACTGGATAGATTTTTATTAGATTTAGTATGATGATAGCTGGTTATTCGGGTCAACATATAGGATATTTTTTACTGCGGGAAAATATCTCATTTTTGAGAAATCTATACTAAACGTTACAACGTAACTAGGGACTAACCCGAGCGGAGCGAGGGTGAGTCGCTAGTTGTATTATATTTCATAACATCCGTCATAGCACTTAGGTAATCATGTTTTATCATATAATGATAAATTCCAAATTTTAAATAAAAAAAAATGATTACAAATCCATAAAAAATACCATTTGATTTTTGAGCTTTATTCTTTTTGTAACATTTTTTTTCTTTGAATAACTTAACAGATTGTAAAAAATTCATGTTAACTATATAGGTATTATTTATTATAGTATTTATTTAAAGTCACTTTATTAGGACACTGGTAACTGGGTGCCATGTGGTGAATGCGGTCCCGAACCAACTGAGTTCACAGTAAAGGGACTTACACCAAACCACAAATACAAGTTCAGAGTACGTGCCGTCAACAAGGAAGGCGAATCTGAACCTTTGGAAACTGATGGAGTTATTGTCGCTAAGAATCCTTATGGTGAGTTCAAGTTTTTATAATGCTATGAATAATAATACATATTGTATATAAATAATAAGTATTAAACAGATTTCTTTTCCATTTTTAAACTATTTCTTTCTATGAAAAAGGGAACGTATTTGCCTTGTATGAATGTCAAACAAACCGCAAACGTCAGTTTCATATTTATTGACATCTGACATTTGGCGCGTATTTTTTTGTTTACAAACAAACATAAGCGCTTTTTTATCTCTTTATGAATTATTTAAGTTATATGATATGTTAAAATGTTTTAAACCATTAGTCATCGTTATTATAAGATAACAATGCAGGTACAAATAATTAATTTCCTATAAATAGAAATTAAAGATGAACAACTTATTTAATTAAATAATGCTACATTAGATTGTGCTAACTTTATATTGTAAACACAATTTAAAAAGGAACCTAATATGAATAGTATATTTATGTAGTTGTATAACCATGTATATTCAAAAAAGTTAAAGAGTTTATCCAGTAGCATCATAGAAGAAATATCAAATACGCAAATCAAAATTAAATTTTTATTTCATTTTATTGTTTACATTCAGACCCACCAAAGGCACCCAGTAAGCCTAACATCATTGACTATGACAACATGTCAGTTACTTTACAATGGGAACCACCAACTGATAATGGTGGCCGACCTATCCTTGGATATGTTATTGAGATGAAGGATAAATTCACTGCCGACTGGATAGAGGTAAATATTTTTTTTGTTAAATATTTCATAACGATATTATATTTGTTACAGAGAATATTATCTCTTATTAGAAATATAGTGAAACTGATAAAATTACTGTGTTACAAACAAAAAATTGATCTTGATCTATCAGTTTATTATCTTATTATATTAAATTACTTAATGTATTCTTTGAATTGGTGCAGGTTAAAAAGACAGAGGACATCAAAACAGAAGCAAAGGTTGAGGGATTGAAAGAAAAGATGATCTATCAGTTCCGTGTCAAAGCCTACAATAAGGCTGGTGTTGGTGACGCTTCAGAGCCAACAGCTAACCATCTTTGCAAGCATAGGAATTGTAAGTGATTGATATTATTACTCTTTATTTATTCCAGACAGAATTTCTTGCTTATGAAACACCGTTTTCTCAATGATTTTTATTATTTTCATGTTTGCTTTTCATTTTAAACTGTTAGTATTGAGTCTTTGCAAACAAAAAAGAATTAGTTCAAAAAATTAATGTCAATAGATAATGTTACATAATATACAGATTTGTTATTAAAAATATTTTAATTTAAAGAAGGATAAAGAAAGTCCCAAAAAGGTAAATTGTTGTTCTAAAAATATTCTAAGTGAATGGAAAAGATATAATGCGCCCGTAAATCAAATTTTCGTAATTTTACTGTTTATTAGCAATCAGATGATGTGTTTGTAGTGTTTATTCATAGATGGCGCTTTTTACTTTTTAAAATATTTTTTATGGTCAAAAACTGTTAAAATCACTAAATTTTATTTTATTCAAATGCAGAAGGAATTTTACAAATATTTACCATTCGTTAGTTTGCACATATTTATAAAATAAAACAGTTTTAACTATTTACGAATCAACGACATCTATTATCTATTTAAACAAACAAAAATAGCCTCAAGAATAGCCCGAATTACCGCTGTGTAATTCATATATATTTCGATAGAATTAATTGTTAATTAATGATTCTTTTAATTTTAAACCAGTGAAACCACGCATTGAACGCCTCACCTTCAAATCGGTGATCATCAAAGCTGGCCGCACTCACAAATGGTCTGTGGACGTCATTGGAGAACCACCACCAGAGTGCACATGGTAAGTGAAATTTTACTTATATGTATATATTATATAAAAAATGGTGTGTAACTTATGTGGCAAACAATTACTAATTTTGTGACATAATTTTTTTTTATATATAATTTCAAACTAAAAGAATAAGATAAATGAAGTGTGCCAATAATAATGTCAAATTCGGAAATGGTATTGTGATTGTATTATATGTCAGTATCATCTCTACCATACAAGATACTATTTTTATAAGGTAAAATAATGATGTCCTTAGTTATAGCAATTATATTATTGCTTTTATTTTGATATAATTCAAATATATATAATATACTATTTCCAAATATCATAATAATAATTTTTATATTTGGAATCGTTAAAGCTGAATTATATTAAATTGTACAAATAATTAATACAAATATTAAAAAACAAAATGTGACGCCAGATGGCGCTGATCACTTATAAGCGATTTCTGCATCGCGCTGGCAAGATGTTCTCGCGAACAGTGAGTACCGGCGGGTCGAGCGTGGTATAGCATACTTACCTGGCGTAGGGGACACCGTGATCGAGAAGGCGGTTCCCCCAGAGCGAGGCCCTTCCATTGCACTGCGGCTGGGTTGACCTCTGCGATTATCCCTAATGCGGATAACTCGGACGCGTAATTTTTGGTAGTGGGGACTGCGTACGCGCCGTCCCCCTCGTAAATTCGCATTATAATCATTGTGATAAGAACTAATCTCAGGTTTTCAATTGTCTGTAGTAAAAACTAAAAACATAAATATACAAATCATGATAATTGATTCCACTACCAAGTACCAGCCCATTTAGACTTATAGTTACAATATAGTTTAAATAATTGTAATAAAATTGAATCAAATTGAAAAAGCTAACAAAATGAAAGAATTTTTACTACCACAAAACAAATGATGTGCCAAAGAACAAGGAATAGCTTCGGATTTGCTGTAACAGAAGCTGTTAGATATATTAGATAATTAATAAATTGTATGGAAATAAAAAAGAAAACCTTTACGACTTTAATTTGACAAATTAAGATTATATAGAGGAAATTACAAGAAGTAATAGTAGTTGTTATTTAATATCAATATATTATTGACAAAGGAGTACAGGAGAGTAGTCAAAATTGATTATCACATTATTATTTGAACACCTTTATGCAAAAGTTGTGTAAATAATTTAAATTTATTAAACAATTAACTCTCTGAGACAATTCCATAATGAGTGTCAAATAAAACAATATGCAAAAAATACATATTATATTGATACAGAAAATGGCCAATATTCGATAAAATAAAAAAATCATAATACTTAATAGGAATTATTTGGCCAAAAATTAAATGTCTACATTTTTCTGAAATGTAGACATTAATAATACTATAGCAGTAATCCTCAAAGTTTTAATTTAAAATGGTGTGTTTATGTAATATTACTTTCACGTTTAATTTGTTATCTATGATTAAAATGAAATAAAAAAATAAAATTTTAAATATCCAGTATATTTATTAATCCAAAAAAATTAGTCACTGTAAAAAATTTTAGAATGTATTTTATAAGTCTGATAACAGAATTCGGAAAGGGTAGTATAATTTTGTATTTTTTCTATTATTATTTTTTACTTATACGATGCCCTCTAGTTATAAATGATGTGATCAAGATGAAAATAGTATATGAAATGTTAGATAGATGGCGTTTTACTATTTTTATTAAACATGGGAATTTTTATGTTAACTTAGAGAAATAATAAATAGATAAAGCTAAATAATAACTAACTCACATAGGATTTGCTTTTACAAAATAATGTATAAAGCTATAATTATTGTTATGTTATTAAAAAAAACTGATTTAGTTTTGAGCTCAATAGATGGCTCTGTTTGGTTTTACACAATTCCTGCATCGCGCTGTCAAGATATTCTCGCGAACAGTGAGTACCGGCGGGTCGAGCATGGCAAAGCATACTTACCTGGCGTAGGGGACACCGTGATCAAGAAGGCGGTTCCCCCAGAGCGAGGCCCTTCCATTGCACTGCGGCTGGGTTGACCTCTGCGATTATCCCTAATGCGGATAACTCGGACGCGTAATTTTTGGTAGTGGGGACTGCGTACGCGCCGTCCCCCTTGAAATCTCTTATGAATGATTATGCTACATGATGTTTTATGTAGATGACTGATAGTATATTTCGATATTATAGTCAGTATATTAAGTAATAACCTTCGTGACGCAATGTTAAGCGCTTAATAAATAGTATATTTTGATATATGGAAAATATGTATGTTTGACATAAAAAAGAAAACCACTATATCAGGTAAATACGTCACAAAGAAAAAAATATTATATATAAAGAAAATTTTATATGCCTATATAGTAATGGGGATGGCATATACGCAAGTTTCCACTACTATAAATCTTCAAACTACACCCTTAAAAATGATACACACACCATTAATAGTTATTGGGACGATAGATTATATATTGAAAAAAAAAATTAACACAAAATTTTGTTTATGCTAGAAGTTTCCGAAAGAAATTAGTTCAGATGCTTACTATAATTGTCCATAGGTCATGGCGTGAGAACGTTAAACTCGTGAATACAGAACGTATTAAGATCGAAAACGTAGACTACCACACAGACTTCACTATTGTCAACGCTGTGCGACGCGACACTGGCAAATATACACTGAGAGCAGAGAACTGCAACGGCTTCGATGAAGAGACCGTTGAGCTCACTGTTCTCAGCAAACCTAGCCCACCTAAAGGTAAGACTAAAATTCACTTATTTTATGGGACGAAGGTCCGTATCCGGTGGTAGATTCTTTACGGACTTACATACTAACATGTAATTTACATTTTAAAAATGTATAAAGTAACGATTCAAAAGTGCTTGTAAAAGTTTATTTGAGTAAAGTATATTTTAATTATTATACGGTTCGCTCAAGACATTACTTCTGTTATTTTTATTATTATGAAGAAAGACTTCAATTCCTGTTTCTAAATGCATGTATAATATATGTATAGCGGAAGGTTCACTGTCCCATGATACCTCTTGTTTATTTATTTTTTCTATTTTACAAAAGGCAAATTATATACCTAAGGATTTTTGGTTAACGTTTCATTTTTTTAATTGAGTGATGATAACCTCTTTTTTATATACTAGAACCCCGCTGATTTACCGATCCGTTGTTTTCAATTCTTCTTTTGTAGGACCTTTGGAAGTGACAGATGTTCACGCAGAAGGATGCAAAGTTAAATGGGAGAAACCAGAAGATGATGGTGGTTCCCCAGTCAAAGAATACGAATTGGAAAAAATGGACGTCGCCACTGGCAAATGGGTCCGTGTTGGCAGGTTAGTGGATACCATTTTTACTTTTATTTATAGGTATGCTAAAAATCTTATCACACGACACTCCTACTGTATGTTATTTAAATGATCATAATTTAATAGAACTTTACGGTTCTGTTAACATGAAAACCGTGAAAGTGAAAAACGTAAGATTTAATTTTTTCATTGTATCTGTTCAGATCCTTTATAAAATTGCACCATTTTAAGACCTTGTAATTCAATATTATTTTTTTATTTTATTATAGGGTGGCTGGTGACAAAAAACCCTTGGAATTAGAGGTGACTGGTCTGGAACCAGGTCATCAGTACAAGTTTAGAGTGACAGCGGTCAACGATGAGGGAGACTCAGAGCCTTTGGAGACTGAGAAAGCAGTGCTTGCCAAGAATCCATTCGGTGAGCTTTTTTATAAGAATAATGTGGTATACATATGCAAAGTTCAAGCTTTGACACTATTAATTGATACAATAAGATTTTATAGCGTCTTTTTATTATCAAATTCGTATTGATGATATAAAATGTTAAACGTATCATAACGTAGCTTAGCCATGTGTTTGCTTATCAATTTGTAACTTATTTTTTACTAGCGACTCACCCTCGCTTCGCTCGGATTCGTCCCCATCTTTAGATTGCTTCCTCATGTAATTTTCACCACCTTAAGGAATAGTTTCCGGGATGAAAACTATCCTATGTCCTTCCCAGGGTCTCAAACTTCTTACCTTTCATCTAAATCGGTTCAGTAGATGCAGAGATTACCCCCTATAACCTCACAAACTCACAAACTTTACCTCTATAATATAAGTAAATATTAATATAGATTGGACTACTATTATAAATTAAAAAATTTGGATGTGTGTATGTTTATTGCTTTTTCGCGTTAAAAGAGTTGGACGGATTTGATTGAGTATAGATAGACTACCGAAGTAACACATAGGCTAGGGACAGGAGGCACCCGAGCGAAGTGTGGGTAAGTCGCTAGTTAAAATAATAAATAAAAATATATGGGATATTAACCATACAGCACCATCTAGTTCCATGGTAAGCTACGAGGCTTGTGTATTCATAATACCAGATAGTTGATACACTACACATATATAACTTTAAATATATGCAAATTATAAATAAAAATACCCATGACTGGAGTACAAATGTTCGTGGTCATTACACAAATGAATGCCCCCAGCGGGACTCGAATACCGACTCAACCGCTGGCACAGCAAGTAGGGTCACTACAAACTGAGCCAAACGTGTCGTCAAAAAGAATATTAGAACTAAATAATATTTCATGCAGATGTCGCGGACAAGCCCGGCAGTGTGGAGGTGGCAGACCACGACAACCAAAGTGCTACCATCAAATGGGAACCTCCCAAGTCCGACGGTGGAGCTCCAATACAGAAGTATATCATCCAGAAGAGACCAAAGGGTGGCGATTGGGAGAATGCTGCGGAGGTATTTATAGCATTTATATTTTTTTTGAATAATTACTTATGTCATAGGTTCTTGTTAAATTAAAAAAAAAAGAATGAAAATCATTACTTATAGTAAATATACTTTATACAATATACTTACAGTACATATATTTTAAAGGAAAGATTTTAACCGTGTATGGAATAAATAGATTTTACATAATTTTAATTTAGTAGTTTGACATGATAAATGATACAGGAATGATTTTTATTATAGCATGGATATATGCCTCAAAAATCATTGAGACAATTTCAATAAAAACTAAAGAGACAACATAATTAGACTTTTATAAATAATTTGTCTAGCCGATAATATTGTTTTATCAATAAATAAGTAAAAACAATAACGGGAATTTAATTTGAAAAAAGAAATATCTATACATACATATCTTATTATATTTATTTGGCGACTCTAACGATTTGGATCAAATTTTGTATTTAGATTAGGTTTTGCTTTTAAGTTTATCTATAAAGATTATTCAGAAAAAAAACGAAATTTTTTACAAAAAAAGAACAAAAAAGAAACTGCCTAGCGAAGCTCGATCGTTCAGGTCTATGTACAAATGACTTTAATTTACCAGGTGCCTGGCAATGCAACGACCGGTAAAGTGGAAGGTCTGCCCGAGGGCAGTGAATACGAGTTCCGCGTAATCGCCGTCAACAAGGCTGGACCTTCGGAAGCCTCTGAGCCTACCAAGATGACAACTATTAGACACAAAGCATGTAAGATACATTTATTTTGTATTTTTTCTGATATTATTTTAAGAAGTTTTTGCATTTCGTATTCGGAGTGATGTTGGGAAAGTATATATTATGTATAAAGATATTAAGATTACAGTGTTATAATTCTTTAATAATAATCACAGCAAAGTAGAAACAATTATTTTGTTTATATAAAATGTTATTAAAATATTATTTTATGCTACGCAATATTTAATTAGACACACTTACATAGTAAGCAAAAAAAAATATCTTATATATTTTATTTAGGCACTCAAAATATATATTTTTATTTCAAATTGTGAATAATTAAATAATTTTTTCAGTGAAACCACGTATCGACCGTACGAACCTCAAGGCGGTGGCAGTAAGAGCCGGTAAGGCGATCTTCTTCGATGTCAACGTTAAGGGAGAACCCGCGCCCAAAGTGCAATGGTTCCAGAAATGGAAGAAGGAAGAGAAGGAGGTATTTTATACATAATTATTCATTATACATCTTTTCCATTTTGGTTGTTTTTTTTAAGTTTACATATTTTTGCATTTTTTTTGTATAAAGAATCCTATTAAAATATTCTAACGTTTAGCAAATTTGAGAATAAATATCAATATATTTTTGGTCTTAAATGTGATTTTTGAATACTCTACAATGGGAATTTTAAGCATATTATTAATTATAAGGTCTAAAATTTTTACATAATGAGAGCACATTTTTTTAATAATTTTTAATATCAAGTTATATGTATTATATTTCTGTAACAAAATTGTAACTAATAATATGACTTTCCTATACTACTGTTTACTATAAAAAAAAACCATGAACCAGGTAACAGAGAACGTAATCAACGTGGACTACAACACAAAGTTGGACATCAAAGAGGCGGTCCGGTCCATGACCGGCACGTATCGTATTCTCGCCACGAACGAACACGGCAAGGACGAGGCTGAGGTAGAGATCACCGTGCTCTCCGCTCCGAGCAAACCCGGTGGTCCATTGAAGGTTGCTGACGTCACCAAGAACGGCTGCAAGCTTTCATGGAAGAAGCCGGAGGATGATGGTGGTATGTATTCACCTGTGTGTTGTTTATTTGTTTTTGAGTTTAAAAAAAAATATAACGTCTAAAACAATGGTTCGTAAAAAATCATTCAAAACTAGTTTTTGGCCAAGGCTTCGCTTGTGTAGTAAGTGGGGTGGGGACCAAAGGTAGCCTCTGTTCATCCCTAGGATACATTTAACATCGTTATAATTTTATCGAAATCTGTTCAGCGGTTTAAGCGTGAAAAGGTAACAGACAGACAACATGTTTAATGAAAAATAATAGAATAATTTAAATAACTCATTATTATTACTATTATTAATGGTGATTTGATTAATAACTTAATTTTCATTATAATTTCAGGTAAGCCAGTAACCGGTTACGTGGTAGAGAAACTGAACAAGGCGACTGGTCGTTGGGTGCCGGTCGGCAAGACTGATGACACTGAGATGGAGATCAAGGGTCTGCAGGAGGGAGAGGAGTACGAGTTTAGGGTCAAGGCTGTAAATGAAGAAGGAGAGTCGGAGCCTTTGAAGACAGATCACTCTATCATTGCTAAGAATCCTTATGGTGAGTATTTGCTTGTGATTGAAACATATTGAAAGTTATTATATGTAAAGTATATACGCTTAAGAAACTCCAGGACCATGCTTGCTGTAAAGCATTCGAATTCGGCGACCAAAAACTAAATAAAACCGTGAAGTAATGTAATTAAACTTAAAACACTGTATTGTTGAAAACATTATAAACAATAAGTTGTTTTTTAATTTCTTCTTCTATTATTATATAAAGACAGGACAAACAAACAAAGACATATATGACATACTAAAATAGATATTATTTTCACTTATACGCAATGATTCTTTAAATAAATCTTGCTCTATCTATTTAGCCATTAACTAATATTATAATTAATTCTAATTTTTTTATGAACCCAGATATCCCCGGGAAGCCATCAGTGCCAACGCTGGAAGATTGGGATGTGGACCGCGTGGACCTTAAGTGGGAGGCGCCCAAGAATACTGGCGGTGCTCCCATCACTGGGTATATCATTGAGAAAAAGGAGAAGTATGGGCATTGGCAGGAGGCTCTTGTTACTACGGTACGTCTGATTGTTTGTTTTTTTCTTTATTTAGTTGTAGGTATTTGTACAAAAAAGTTTTGATAGAATTTTTTCATGATTTTGAATATTTTACGTTATATTATAGTGGGTAAATAATATTTTAAATATTGATAAAAAAAATATTATTTAATTTTGAGTTGTTGTTTTTGTACATTAAAGTTTGAATCTTTTTATGACTTCTGAATATTACATTATAAGAAAACATTGATCAATACTGATTTTAAAAAAATATGAAAAACCAACAAATATAATTGGACCGTATTATAAATTCTAAACCATCTAACAGACTCCAGAATGCAAAGCCCGCGTGCCGGACCTAAAGGAAGGCAACACTTACCAGTTCCGAGTGCGCGCCGTGAACAAGGCGGGCCCCGGCGAGCCCGGAGACGCCACGCAGCCTCACGTCGCCAAGGCTAGATTCTGTAAGTACCTATAACATAATAAGTTATTATTATAAATAACAGCATATGTAACACTTGTACATGGTATTATCACGATATAAGAATCCATAATGTAGGCGATAGCCTATTGATTTTGAAGATTTTGAAATGCAGGGGTTGTCAAAGCACTGTTGTGCCATCTTGTGGCAAGTTACAGTTATACCCGATAGACATATATATTCATATTATAAATGTGAAAGTTTGTGAGAATGGATGTTTGTTACTCTTTCACCCCAGAACGGCTGAACGGATCTGGAAGAAATTTGGCACAGAGGTAGATTATAGTCTAGAATAAAACATAGGCTACTTTTTATTCGGGAAAAATTTACGGTTCCCGTGGGATAGGTTTGTTTTTGTTTTCCTAGAGGCAAAACCCGAGCGATACCCTAGTTTGTTGGATAAGTCGTGTACGCCTCACTCGCGTCTCGATTGTCCAGATCGCCTACATTAGCCAAGTGTATAAAACAGTGTATGTAACACTGTGTGTATTATATAAAACGATAGATAATTGACATTATATGTAAAAACGTCTACTAAAAATCGTAACGTGATGTTAGATTCACTCCAAATTTCTCATATAAATAAATTATCTTTATTATCTGTAAATTATCACCTCTGACTTTATTAATCACGAAATCTCGATATTCACATTCCTGTACTTTTCTCGCCTTAAGAACATATTGCCTAAAGTTTTGAACCAGTCGTCAGTAACCAGAAACATTATTCTCAATGTTGATTAATGAAACTTTAAAATAACGGATCCCAACATGGAGTTACATGTTATAACAAATAATTTATTCCATAGTGAAACCACACATCAACCGTGACAAGATGGTGGCTGTGCGCGTACGTGCAGGCACTACGATCAAGTTGGATGTCGACATCAAGGGTGAACCTCCACCAACCAAGACCTGGACTTTCGCCAACAAGGTATAGTTTAATTTCTAGTTTATTTATTGCCAATATGTAGGATTGTGAAGAATGAAAATGAATAAAACTAAATAGTTAATGTCTATGTTAAAAAGTACAATAATATATTTAAGAAATATTTTAAGTTTAGATTTTTATAACAGTGGACAAAGAATAAAAGATAAACAGATGATCAGATGACTGAATTTGTATGCATATACTATGTGAACACTTCTCGATAAACGTTAGCGCCAATCTGCATACGGTACATCATTTTTATTTTATTTTTTCTCTACATATATTAATTATTGTGGTTAATTGCAATTAAATTCAGTTTTAACGAAATTTTGTTAAAAAAAAGTTATTAATAAATCGTTTCTTACATAATATTGGTTAAATTATTTAATTAATCATGCCAAAAGTAATACAATTACATGAAACTAATAAAGACAACCCTCCTCAGGTCATCGAGACCAGCCCAGGCTTCAAGCTGGAGAACGAGGATTATAACACCCGTCTCCAGATCTTCGAGTCTTCGTGGAAGAACACCGGCATCTACACACTGAAGGCAGAGAACGATTCTGGTGTAGATGAGGCCACCGTTGAGATTACTGTACTTGGTATGTTAGAAACGGAACTTATTTTATTTATATCGAGAGAGTATAATAATGTATACTTAAAAGTGATACATGAATGTGTCTTCTAAATTATGTATTGAATTTTATTCCACCATACAAATTAAAAATGACGATTTTTTTTTCAATATTTGTCATCGATTATTATAATTAAATATTAAGCAACTAAAAAATTAGTAAAGTTCAAAAATAAAATAAAGTTCCTTAATACATCTTACTTTTTAAAATACTAAAGTTATACTTCTTTTGGCACGTTTGGAAAAAAAATGAGAGTGAAATTTTTACGGTGCGCGCGCGCACCGACAACCAATAATCGACATGATGAAGTTAACTGCATACCTTTTACAAACAGAGAGTTGTGACAATCGAGATGAAATCTTTAGCTATTTTTGTTCTGGTACGCCAAAGAAGTATAACTTGTACGTACGTGCGTACATAAGCAGACACACCGGTTTATTTTTGTTTTTTCCTGTACATTTTGTGAACAATCTTTTTAGACATATCATATTTTATATAATCTCATCTGTATAGGACTATGCCTTTCTAACGTATAAATAATAATGTCAATATAATAAATCCATCCACAGACAAACCAGGCAAACCCGAAGGCCCACTCGAAGTGTCAGACGTGCACGCAGAACACGTGAAACTTTCATGGAACAAGCCCAAGCACACCGGGGGACTTCCCCTCAGTGCTTTCATTGTGGAGAAGATGGATACTGTGACCGGAAAATGGAGTCCCGCTGGCACTATCGACCCAGATGTCACTGAGGCCACTGTTACTGGTGAGTGGGTGTTGTGGGTAGTATTTTAGGGTTGTGAGAAATAAGATAGGTTTATTTTTGAAATATGTTGTGTACTGTATATATATATAATTTAAAAAAATAATTAAATTGTATTCTTTTGTTAACATAAATAATTAATTTATAATGCTTAAAATTTCCATTATAGGTCTAGAACCAGGTCACACATACCAATTCCGTGTAAAGGCATTGAATGAAGAGGGCGAATCAGAGCCCTTGGAAACCGATCATGGTATCCTGGCCAAGAACCCATACGATGTACCAGCCCCACCTGGTCTCCCAGATATTGTGGACTGGGACGAAAAGTCGGCCAAGTTAAAATGGGAACCTCCCATCAGAGACAATGGAGCACCCATCACTGGATATATTATCGAAGTCATGGATAGGGATAGAGGCGAATTTGTTAAGGTTAGTTGTTGAAAGTAATGGCTTATAACAAAAAGAATTTTTGGGGTTTTGTATATATTTATAGTTTTTCGTGGATTAGAGAAATGTTTGTGTAGATTTGTAGCTCATATTACTTAATTGGCTAATTCAATTTTTTATAATTATTGATTATTAAAATCTCAAGACAAAGTTCGACTTGTAGTTCTATACTTTCCCACACTAAAAGCAAGGAACCTGTTTTAAACCAAACACAGAGTTAATCTCTTGAAAATAATAAAATTAATTTAAACATATATTTGGGCGATATTCTAATAATATTATTATATTTATTAAATGTATATAATTTCTAGGCCGCAGAAGTCCACGGCAACGTATGTCAAGGCACAGTCCCCAAGTTGGAGGAAGGAAACCAATACCAGTTCCGGGTGCGCGCCGTCAACAAGGCCGGCCAGTCCGAGCCCTCTGAGAACACCCACTGGCACACTGCTAAGCCGAGATTCTGTATGTATACACTGTAATATTAAATAATAATAGGGTTCCGTAGCTAAATGGCTAAAATTAAATTATAATTATTAAGTCAATAATATAATCTTAAGTATCAAAGTATTTATCACTCATATGCGTCTTACTTTTAGTTTTAGAGAATCTATGTTTTTAACCGGTTCTAACATTTTTTTTATAAATTTTAAAGCATTCTTCTAAATAGTAAAAACATAATTTCTTTTTTTTGTATTATATTATTTTTTATAGTTATTTATGTTAATAATAATAATTAAATTGAAATTTTCCCAACAGTGAAACCAAGGATCGACCGAACAAACCTCAACCCCATCACCGTAAAAGCTGGTCTTCCAGTATCCCTGGACGTCAAGGTCTTCGGAGAACCACCAGCTACAGTCACTTGGCACTTCCAAGGCCAAGAGCTGGCTAATAGAGAGAACTTGGAGATCATCAACATCGATTATAACACCAAGTTCCTGATGACCAAGAGCAAACGCGCCAATAGTGGCAAATATGTGATTAAGGCCAAAAACGAAGTGGGTGAAGACGAGGCCGAAGTTGAAATTCTTATTGTTGGTAAGTATTAAAAATAATTGTATATATGTATAAATATTCCCTCAGTAATAAATAATTACTATTATGTAGTAATAAATAATTACTGAGGGAATAGTTCAGAAAATCTTAGAAATATAATACAACTTATTTTGCGAAAACTATAGTGAGATATTAGTAAAATAAAAATGCACGTATATTATATCCTAAACTTCAAATTATTTGTATTTAAAAAATCTATTTGTTTCTGAATAAGTTTATTCGGATTTTTTCGCCAATTTATTTTAATTTTTGATTCCCGACGTTTCGAATGCACCTACCCAAAAAAAAAAAACAATTTCAAAAAATACAAAAACGGCACCAAAGTAGATATATGATACCTTATAATATTTGTTAATTTTAAATATTTTTGATAATTTTAATAAGTTTTACAATTGAATACTAAGTATTATTTATAACATTTGTATTCAGCCCTTTTTAACGTCCCACTGCTGGGCACGGGCCTCCCTTCAGTACGAGGGGAATCAGGCCATAGTCCACCACGCTGGCCAAGTTGCGGATTGGCGGACTTCACATGTCTTTTGAAAACTTGCTAGGTTTTCTCAGACATGCAGGTTTCCTCACGATGTTTTCCTTCACCGTTAAGACAAGTAGTAATCATGTTGGAAATGATTCGCACATGAAAATATCAGAGGTGCGAGACCCGGGATTTGAACTCGCTTCACTCGGTTTCCCAAGCGAGCGCGTTACCACTGGGCTACCACTGCCTTGTTTTATATTTATAACATTTACTTCCTATTATTACAATTATCAAAATTGAAAAAAAAAACTTTATTAAATAATAATCTTATTTAGTCTAATGAGTTAATTATTATATCGATTATTTATTTTTTCAGGCAAGCCGACTAAGCCCAAGGGTCCATTGGAAGTAGCAGATGTGACTAAGAACAGTTGCAGTCTGTCGTGGCAGAAGCCCGAGGACGATGGTGGATCTCCCATCGAATACTATGAGATTGAGAAACTTGATCCACTTACTGGTAAGTCGAAAATTAAATAAAATAGTTCTTAAATTGATATATAAAAACATAGATACAAATTTCTTAACAAATATCTCTTCAAAAAGTGGCGTCGACATGTGACGTTAAGGCAAACCAAAAAATAAAATTAAAAAATCGAAATTTCTAATTATCTAAACACAAATTCGAACTTACGCACACCATATAAAGTACTTTCTTAAATGAAAACATACGTTTTAGTTTTATCATCCGAAAAGCAATGAACAAAACAGATTTGAAAAATTGACTTTTTGTATATAATATATAATAATAAGATCTTACCAAATATTTAACACTTTACAATTTTCAATAGCAGTGAGAAATGCTATTGCTAATACTTTAGTTACCATGGTAACTCATAAATAAATTAATCACTAAAATACTTAGACGTTTAGGACGTATCTATAGTTTTAATTCTTTGGTTTTTATTATTATCTCTAATTATTCCATTTTTTAAATTATTTCTTATAATTACTAATTAAAAAAAACATAATGTGAATTATATAAGATCTATCTTTTGTCTTAACAATATAATGTGGAATAACCATTTCATGTCAATTAATAGAAACAAATATTCTCCCGTGTATTGAATTCATAAATATAGAATTATTTGAAATTCGTGTAAATACTAAATAGATGAAAAAAATAGTAACTCTACGAAAAACACGTTTAAACATCAACAATATTAGTAAGAATTTAGAACATTAACACCCCCTTTTTCATCATACCGCCTGTATTCATATAGGTGGTTATGTGGGTCTCATTGGCTAGAAAAGCCAGGTACTACCCACTAAAATCCAACAGAACCTCCCCAAAACCTATGAGTTTTAAAATAATTTTCATTGATAGCAAATTGCAATCTTCCACCAGGTCAATGGATCCCATGCGGCACGGCAAAGGACACGAAGGCGAATGTGACCGGCTTGCAGGAGGGCAAGCCGTACAAGTTCCGCGTGAAGGCCGTCAACAAGGAGGGCGAGTCTGAGGAACTGGAGACTGAAAAGCCTATCATCGCTAAGAATCCGTTCGGTAATATATTTATGTTATATTACCACTAGTCTAGTAACCATACAGTCGTCTAACGAAGGCATCTAACAAGTGATAAACTAAAAATTTAAAAAACTCTTGGACCGATTTTCATTAAACAAAGCTAAGAACACTCCCGACTAATTCAGTTTTCAAACACAGAAAAAAAACAAAATCAATCGGTTCATCCGTTCAGGAGCTACGATGCCACAGACAGACACGCACACACACGTCAAAGTTATAACATCCTGTCATTTTTGCGTTGGGGGTTAAAAAGGGAAATCGTCTGAGGGTGCGAGGTGAAACGTGGGATAAACGCTTCCGACTGTCATATGTACTTTTACAGTCGGAAAATAATCATAAATTGCCACGAGATGGCACTACAGCGTTTTAACTTCAAAATCATGCGCCATCATATTTTTTCGACAACCTTTCATTTAGCAGCTTTGCCGGTATAATCAATTGTTTACTGTATGGTTTTTTCTATGTGCTACAGATAAAATTTCTAGCTATTTAGGTCATTTATTCATTAAAATTAAATATATTTCATTTTTTTAGACGAGCCCGGCAAGCCTGGACGTCCAGAGCCACGTAACTGGGACAAAGACTTTGTCGAGTTGGAATGGTCACCACCGAAGGAAGATGGCGGCGCTCCCATCACTGGATATATCATTCAGAAGAGGGAGAAGGGAGAAAGGTATAGAGTTTTATTATTTATTTAAATATAAATTTATTGTTAATGTGTACCTAATAATCTAAACTAAAAACATCTGAACTTTATTCCAACTGTTTTATACTTCTAATGTTACAAGATGTATAATGGAATATATCGTTCAATGTTTTAATTGTAATTTGTTAAAATGTTATAATTGTAGGAATAGAAGCTACCTAAAAATATCTATCGTATAAAGGTGTACTTTTAACTTAACATTTAGCAGTTTTTATTTTTGTCGAATATACAATTAATATGATATAGCTCCGTATGGATAGACTTACGCCTGACTGACTGACTTATACTCCATATCCTGTATGAATATAAAAATAAAAAAAATATTCCAAATGTAACTTAATTTCTTTGCTTTTCTAAACAAATAATGATTTTTTTATTTATATTCATTCAATAATTATGATGATAGAAAATGGCAAGACTGTCTGCGCACGTCGGGCGAGCGTCCCACGGGGCGCGTGACGGACGTGGAGGAGGGCCACGAGTACCAGTTCCGCGTGATCGCCGTCAACAAGGCGGGGCAGGGCGAGCCCTCCGAGCCCAGCAAGTCTGTCACTGCCAAGCCTAGATTCTGTGAGTGTTGTTCGATTAGATTTTGTTTTTTTTTTTAACTAGATTAAGCTAAAGATTATGGTATATGACCTATCTCCATTCAGAATTTTATTCAAATCCATTGAGTAATATTTGAGTGAGTAGCATAGCATAATAATCTTTTTAAGTATAAATTAAGATACGACGATAACGAGATGGTGAAATAGTAATTTAGTATTCACTAAAAGACTTTAAAATTTGTTTATCTGCTACTTGGAAAACGTACATTCGATGCTCCCGTGTTGTAATATCTTCATTGTTTATTTACCATTTCATTGTTTATTTTGTGATGGCTACGACAAAATGCATCGCTGAGGGCCCAATTTTTCGCCCAATTCAATATCAGACACAGAGAATGTTTCACGATCTACCCCGCAAGTAAAAGTATACAAAGATGAAAAACCTCTATTCTCTTTTACTCTGAGAAATATACAAAGTATTATTTCATTAATTTAAAATTTCGTTTCTCCGCAGTGGCGCCCAAAATCGATCGCAAACATCTACAAAGCCGTAAGATCAAGGTCGGTCAAGTGTTGAAACTCGAGGCCGACGTCAAGGGTGAGCCGGAACCAACCATCACTTGGACCTTCAAAGACCAAACCCTTAAGAGCACCGATAGACTAAAGATAGAGAACGCAGACTATCATACCTCATTCTCTCTCCAAAAATTGACAAGAGAAGATGGCGGAAAGTATGTGGTGACTGCTAAGAACGACTCCGGTGTTGACTCTGTTGAGATTGAGATCACCGTTGTTAGCAAGCCGTCCAAACCAAAGGGACCGTTGAAGGTTGGTATTGAATATTTTGTTACAAAAAAATAGGTTAAAAAACAAAAAAAGTAGATTTTGAAGCTATGGTGTTTTTATATGATAAAATATAAGCTTGTTTGAAACTTATTTTGTACTATAAGTAAATGAATGTAACAAGGAGGACCTACGTACAAATTTATTTTTATTATAACTACTATCAAAAAATAATATAAATACGCCAATTTAATAGATTTGCTGTGTACAAAAATTCTTCCTTCCTATATTTGTTTTAGATCAATTTCATCAATTTCGGAATTTGTATATCGATGTTTTCTTTCTCCACCAGGTGTCCGACGTGAAGGCAGACGGCTGCAAGCTACAATGGGAACCACCAGAAGACGATGGCGGAGAACCAGTAGAGAGTTATGTCGTAGAACGTATGGACACAGACTCCGGTAGATGGGTGCCAGTATGTACGACGAAAACACCTGAAGCAGACGTCACAGGACTTAATGAGGGCAAAGATTATATGTTCAGAGTGAAGGCAGTCAATCCAGAGGGTGAGAGTGAACCCTTGGTAACGGAAACCGCTACCACTGCTAAGAATCCTTATGGTAAGTGATAGAGATTGTAAAATTGTGTGTTTAAATGTATATATAATATAATGAAGTGCAGTAGTTTTGAATCACGGGTTTCGACTCTTTAGGATTTTCATATGTGCATCTCATTTGAAATATTATTTTGACTTTTTAAACTTCATAATAAGAAACCTGCATGTTTGAGAGAACTATAAAAGTTTCGTTGTGTATATATGGACACTAAATATATAATTAATCAACAGGCGAGCCCGACGCGCCCGGCAAGCCCGACTTCAAGGACTGGTCGGCGGACCACGTGGACCTCAAGTGGGAGAAGCCCGCCAACGACGGCGGCGCCCCCATCACCGCCTACATCGTGGAGAAGAAGGATAGGGATACTGGGAAATGGGTTAAGGCTGTTGAGGTGAGATACATACATATATTGTTACTATTTCAGGGACTCGAAAATGGAGGTACTCAATACGGATGTATTTTTTTTATATATGTTGTCGATATCTTCGACAACTCAAGGTTATATTATATAATTTTCAAAATAAATCCACTCTTCAAAATAGAATAATTACTTCTAAATCATTTTAAAGAAGGTGTAATATTTAAAAAAAACATATAAATGTTTACACCGTAAGTTATTAAGATCCCACCCGCAAAATGTAGCCTTAGAGATACAATAATCTATAAAATATATTTTCGGAACCGTAACAAAATTATATAAAATAATAATTCCAAGAAATAATGGTATATCTGATTAGTTTATACGTAATGAAGAGTAATTACGATCTATAGTTAATAATAAATAAGCTAACATTACTTTATTTTTCCTAAAGGTACCCGGAAACAAGACAGAAGCTCGTATCCCGGACCTGATCGAAGGCAAGACGTACCAGTTCCGTGTGAAGGCGGTCAACAAGGCTGGCCCCGGGAAGCCCTCTGCGGCATCCGAAAGCCTTCTGGCTAAGGACCGATTTGGTGAGAAATATATTGGTTTTGTTAAATAATGATTATTAGTTGCGTACATTCAATAAAAAAATAGAACTCTTTTAGGGTATGCTTAGCTGTGACAGGTTTTTTTTACTTATTAGATTTAAACGGGTGGAATAAGTTACGTTTAAAGAGTTATAAGATAACCGATATAACACATTTTTTTTAGTACTTAAGAAATTTTACTAAGCAATTTTTAAGTAAGGAAGATTTAAACTATAGTCTGATTGATACTTAATAATGACAATCTTTTCGCATTTCATTTTGGGTGACAGAATTATAGACATTTTTATTTTTTTTAAAGTATTAAGTATATATAATTAAAAAGTCCTTTTGAAGAGTAGGTAAATTTCTAGAAATGATTTAAGTTTAAATATAATTAAATCATTTACTTCATACATTTCTTTCATATTGCAGCTCCGCCAAAGATCGACCGTACCAACATGCGCGATCTCACACTCAAAGCTGGACAGAACATTCGCTTAGACGTCAAGGTCACCGGTGAACCTCCACCGACTAAGACTTGGTTGGTACACTAAAAATATTTATGTACATATTTAATTCTATTTAAAGTATTATTCAATAATATAACAGTAATATTTTAAGTGTCATTGTTTAATATGGCTTGGGTTTCTGAGTTTTTATAGCTAATGATATATTACTTATATTATTTAACGTAACCTCTAAAAATAATTTTAAAACAATTGAATTAAATTCATTTAATTTCATTTGTCTTTTTTATTTAATATTTTTATTTTAAAATAATGGAAATACATATAAAAAAATAAATACCCAAATAACCCAAATATTTTAAATAAAACTTTTTTTTGCGGGTTTTTTCACATTACTTCTCAAAGGTCATTATGTCTGTAACTATATAATGACCTTTGAGATGAATCGGACTCTGTATCGATAATAATGTCTATTTCAATTAGATTTCCCAAAAATTATTAAATGTACAGAGTCGACTTAGTTACAATTTTATTATATGTATAGATTTAAAATATCAAATATTAAATATTCGCGTAAATCTAAGACAGTGCTAAATAATTAAATAAATACGTTTCGTCAGGTTCCACAACAAAGAGCGTCTGTCCACTCGCGATGATCTCTCAGTGGACGTAGAGGAGTACAGGACGAAGCTCTCAGTGGTGGTCGCGTCGCGCAAGCACAGCGGTACCTACGTACTGAAGGCAGAAAACAGCAGTGGGAAGGACGAGGCCACTATACAGATTAATGTCCTGGACGTGCCTGCTAAACCTGAAGGACCTCTAAAGGTATTGTGGGATACTTTATTTTTTATATATTTGGGCATATTTTTTAGTATTTGATAATTATTGTTGAATATCTATGTCATAGTGTTGGAATAGATTTGTGTCAGAATAGTTTTAAAACATATTAATGCTAGAATTTATTGGTTTGCGTGTATTGACTATACTGTATTATTAAAAGTAATAACGTTTCGTTTTTTTTTAACTTGGGCAGGTCGTATGTCTATTTTTTTTTATAAAATTCAATTTGTTCATTCGATTGATCTGAAAAACATAATATTATGTAATTATTGTGATAATACAATTTAATTTCATGAATTTAGTTCGTCTTTAAACTCATTTTTTTAAATTTACTTTTTAAAAGAATTTTTCTTATTTATTATTTCACCTCTTTCAGATATCTGACGTCCACAAAGAAGGCTGCACGCTCAAATGGAACCCACCGCTAGACGATGGTGGCGCCCCCATCGACCACTATCTAGTAGAGAAACTTGACACAGAAACCGGCAGATGGCTACCGGCTATGAAGACCAAGGACCCGAAGGCAGAGATTGAAAACCTGGTGCCTGGTCATGAATACAAGTTCAGAGTGTCTGCGGTCAATAATGAGGGTGTGTCCGAGCCTTTGGAGGGAGAGCAGTCCATTATTGCTAAGAATCCATTCGGTGAGTTGATCATTTGTGGTAGTAATGTCATCCCTATAAGTACTGATTTACTTTTAACGTGTCGATTTATTAATTATAGACAATTATGGTTTAAACATATAATATTAGTTGTTTTACGGAATTTTAATTAAATAATTTTGAAACAAATTTCTTTGTAAATAAATGTATTAAATAGATTATGATATGAATATGTATCCAGATAACATTCTACTGACCGACCGACTACCGACATTAATATCTGTACACCTCTTAAATGACGTAATGCAAATAACAAACAAAATATAATAAATAAACCAAATAATATGAGTTTTTATATATTTTCTAAAATTTTAACATTTTCATTACGTATATATAGATGAGCCCGGCAAGCCCGGAACACCAGAAGTCCTGGACTGGGACAAAGACCACGTGGACCTCAAGTGGTCCAAACCAATCAAAGATGGCGGTGCTCCCATTACTGGGTATATTATTGAGAAAAGAGAAGTTGGGTCGACCAAATGGGTGAAAGCTTGTGAGGTATGTTTATGTGTTTGGTTTGTAAATAGATACAACTAAGATTTTAGTTAGATTTTAGCAGAAATTGTCTCGCCACAAACCTCATTCAATTGCAAAATTAAAAAAAGTCCATGATTCTCGATAACAGAATCACCTATCATGTCCAACTGTAGCTAATAAACATTAAGATGACCAAAAGTAAACAAGACAATCAGGAGTAATACGACGAACATACGCAAACCAGAATTTTATATATAAAGATACAACTTAAGTTAATTGTTTTAAAATCCTAATATTGTATTATTTACAGGTCGGACCTAACGACAACGAGAAAGCAACAGTGCCCAACCTAGATGAGGGCACAGAGTACGAATTTAGAGTGAAGGCTGTGAACGAAGCCGGCCCCGGTGAACCTAGTGACGCTAGCAAGTCTGTCACTTGCAAGCCTAGGAGATGTGAGTGTTATTTAAATAATTTATATTTCTTTAATATTTTTATTTTTTTGGTTTTAGCATATTATGTCATTAGAATGTTAATATGATAGTAGGATATGTCTGCTACTAATATTATAAAGACGTGAAAATTTATGAGTCTGTATACTTATCAAATTTTGTTAACGTAATACTAATAAGAACACTTTTTTTTTGTAATTTCGCAGAAACAAGTTTTTGTTCAATAATTCAAATTACGGTGTGCATTTTAAATATTTTATTTTCGGATTTATTTTGATTTTTGAGTCACGACGTTTCGAATGCTTTACAGCAATCATAGTCACGGGAGAGACTGAGGAACTCCGTGAAGAAATCGGAAAAGATAATTGTATTTAACATGTCAAATATTCGCGTGAATCTAACAAAGTTTTAGGACTATATGCAATTCAAGTATATTATAAGTCATAAAACTATTGATAACGCTAGTTAGATTTATGCCAGTAATTTGATTTTAAATGACTTACTCCTTCACATATATCTTGAATTAAGCAAATCTAATGAAATATAATATTATAACAATATTAATTGATTATAATATTCAATTCCAGTGGCACCAAAGATCGACCGTCGCAACCTGCGGCCGATCAAGGTGCACGAGGGCGAGCCCATCGCGCTGGACGTGAAAGTGACGGGCGAGCCCGCGCCCGACGTCGCGTGGTCGCTCAACGGCAAGACCGTCAGCAGTGGCAACGGGCTTAAGTGTATGTTTGTTTGTTTTCCGATTGGATTGGATGTTATTTTTTATCTATATAAATATTTTTTATTTTATTAAAGTCTACCAGCAGTTTTACAATTATATACATTTATGACTTGCATACATATACAAGTGAAATATAGGTCAGTAATCGTAAATCTATTTAAAGGTAAGCCCAACATACTCAAAAAACAAATGTAACTGAGAAGAAATATGTAAATACAAATGTAAAAATAGTATTTTACTAAAAGCATATAAAAGCATACGTATGTATATGTAAGTATAAATACCGTATGATATTTAAAAGATTTTTGAAGTTGTAGTTATAATTCTTTTGGTAAGTTTGGAAAAAAAATATGTGAGAGAAAAGTTTTTACGATGCGCGCGCGCACCGACAGCCAAAAAGCGACATGGTGAAGTCAGCTGCATTCCTTTTACAAACGGAGAGTTATGACATACGGGATGAAATCTTCAGCTATTTTTGTTCTGTTACGCCAAAGAAGCATAACTTGTTACGTGCGTTTGCGCACTTTTTTTTATTTTAAGTTTTTGTCTGCCTGTTAGTTTCGGCTAAACTCCCGAAGGGCTGGACTGATTATTATATTACATTAAAGATAAATTAATTAGTAATTTAAGTTTCATGAAATTTAATTTAAGTTTTATATTATTTCTTTTAGTTTAATAAATGAAACAAAAAGTAACTGTTATTAATTATTATTTATTACTTAACTACAAAAAGCTTTCATAATGTCCACTTCCGTGCTCGATACAAATCCCACATTGCCTTTAAAAGTTTTCTTTTAGAAATTTTGGTTTCTAATCCTCTCGGCCCATTGTTATTGCAGGTAAAAGAGTTGCGCTCACGTTTACAACTCATGATCCGCGAGAACAAATCGTGCAAAATTATTGAAAACTTAAATTAAACATTTAATCCCTCCACGACCGCGGACACGCCGGCGTGTCTGTTAACAATAGATTTCTTAGAATTTTAATTAATGTCTTAGCAATTTACCTGGAGATGATAAAAACTCCAAATGTTTAACGAATACGTTCAAATCATTGTTTTAAAGTCATTATCTAACTATATATTTTTAGGAATATAATTTTATTATAAGATTTTTTATATTTTGGTTTGTAAAATATGAAATGTATCTGTTTTCAGTGGTGAATGTGCCATACTTGAGCAAATATCAGCACTCGAGCCCGCGCCGCAAGGACTCCGGCACCTACAAGATACAGGCCATTAACAAATACGGACAGGACACCGCTGAGGTTGACATTATTGTAGTCTGTAAGTACACTAAGCTATTATTATTTTAATATTAAATAGTCATATTCTTTTGTATTGAATGTTATATTAATTAGAAAAAAGTTTTTTTTTTAAATTATAGATATGAAAATTTGTAGTAATTATTTTTATCCATATTTTGGAATATCTGTTTGTTAAACAATGTATTAAAAAATTGTTTCGTTTAAATTATTTATTTATGTACCAAAAAATATGTCATACAAAATATAGTAACAGATTGTCGATGAAGGTTAACTTATCTCTTTAAGAGATATTTTCCAGAAAGCCTTTAGAAGTAAGAAAATAATTTAAATTAGTGTGGTGGAAACTTAATGAAATTGCCTTAATTATTACGGAACACATATGTCGCTTTATAATTTATTCTAATTTAACAATTTCTTTCCAGCCAAACCCGAGAAACCTGAAGGTCCTCTCGAAGTGTCCGACATCCACAAAGACGGCTGCACGCTCAAGTGGAAGCGGCCCAAAGACGACGGCGGTGAACCCATCGAGAACTATGTGGTTGAGAAGTATGACCCTGAAACTGGTGTATGGGTGCCCGTCGGCAAGACACTCGGCAATGTGCCTGAAATGGAGGTATGTATATTATAATACTAGCGACTCACTTTTTTGAGTGGAACCCTAATTATTTTTCTAAAATAAAAGTAGCCTATCTTACTCCCTATAACATCAGCTATCTTCCAGTGAAAGTTTCGTCAAAAGCAGTCCAGCCGTTTCAGAGATTATCCTTAACAAACAGACAGACAAATTTTTTTTAAAATGTGTTTTTCTTATAAGTACCGTATATAATATCATATGCATTTAGTAAAACGCTGTTATTTTGACATTACAAACAGACACTTCAATTTTATTTATCTGTATAGTGTACCCAACAAAGTGTTAAGTTAAGCGTTAGTTAATGTAACTTCTCATATAAGTGAGTTGTAATATTCTTTTGAGAAACAAATGGTCTAGCCTGATAATAAGCTAGCTATTTTATATGGATCTATGTATATGAGTATCTGTCTCTCTTTAAAATGTAGTTTTTTAAATATACCTTCAAGAATTTTTTAATCAGGGAATGTTCCCTTCATATAGTAAATGAAATTTAAAGACCGATAACACATTCACAACTCATTTGATTGCGGATGACTGTAGGCGGCATTAATCTGAGAAGATTGGCGGCCGTTTGGCTTCCTTAAAAAAATTAAACAGCTTATTTTCCCAAAATTAATTATACTCAGATAGTTTTCTGCATTAATGGTAATGTTGTAAATATCTGCTTTTTATTAACAGGTCGATGGCTTGATCCCCGGACACGAGTACAAGTTCCGCGTGAAGGCGGTCAACAAGGAGGGCGAGTCTGAGCCGTTGGAGACATTCGGTTCTATCGTCGCTAAAGATCCATTCAGTGAGTATATCTAGAATATATCTTTTTAATCATTCTTATGGATAATTCTAGATCAAATATGATATATAATCAGATATTTTGTGCGTATGAAAAATAAATCTTGTCATTTAGTCCAAGTCCTATATAATATAGTGTTCAAAATTACACTCAAAAACTTAACCTAACCAATTTAACACGATGATTTTCAATACATAGTATAAAACAAAGTTGCTTCCCTCTGTCTGTCTATCCCTATGTATGCTTAGAACTTTAAAACTACGCTACGGATTTTGATAGATAGAATGATTCAAGGGGAAGGTTTATATGTATAATACATGCATATTATAGTATAGAAAAGCCGAGAAATTCAAAGATTTGTATTTCATACTAACCGTAATAAAACATTATTTTATTTTGTCATGTCGCAAAAAATACACGCAAATTGCAAATAAAATCTTTAAAATCGGTTAAACTAACCACTATAATAATTCTTTCCACAGCCGTGCCCGAAGCACCATCGACACCAGTACCAGACGACTGGTCGGCCACCCACGTGGACCTCAAGTGGGAGCCGCCAGTATCAGATGGAGGGTCTCCCATCATTGGTTATATTGTTGAAAAGAAGGACAAGTACAGCCCCTTGTGGGAGAAGGCGGTGGAGACTCACACGCCTACACCAAGTGCCACTATTAATGGGTTTGTATTTTTTTTTTGAATTATTTTGAATATTATAGTGAACTTTGTACTTTTTCTATTTAGGAAATAATCTAAATGTGATCCCAGTGTCGAAAAAATATTTGTGCCGATCGTAGGATTTCTGTTTTAATGTTAAAGAATATGTTAAAATTTGTCTATTATTGTACTAAGTGCTCAGCGTATAGAAAACAGGACCGTGTATGTATATATTTTTTGTAGTTTTAATTTTTTTGTTTTTAATTATTTTTTAAGAGACCAGAAAAGAACAAATTGTCAACCTTTTCCTCCCTTACAGATTAATCGAAGGAAATGAATATCAGTTCCGAGTTATAGCAGTAAATAAAGCCGGTCAGAGCAAGCCGTCTGAGGCCAGCAAGAACTTCGTGGCCAAGCCCCGCTTCCTGGCGCCCAAGATTGACAGGAGGCACCTACGTGATGTCACCCTGTCTGCTGGCTCTACTCTGAAGCTTGAGGCTGCCATCACTGGAGAACCAGCTCCGGCTGTGGAATGGAGGTAAATTGGTATTTGTAGACAATGAATATATTTAAAAAGATTTAACATTTTTTTTTGCGGAGAAAAGTATGTAAAAAAAATTGTTAAGGGAAAGTTAATATTTTTTTTTATAATCTCAGTTTTTGTCAAACTATAATATTGGTATAGAATAATAGTTATTGCTAGAGTTTACAGATTAAATATTTTTTTAACACTACATATATTTTCAATTACTACTTCAAATAATGGAAAATATCAAAATCCATAACTAGAGGTATATCCTTTAAAATAAAATTCAAATCTCATTCATTCAAATCTCTAATATAAATTTCAACACCAGATACCAGAACATGCCGTTGCGTCCATCCAAAGCGGTCACAATCGACAGTCCCGAGTACTTCACGAAGCTGGTGGTGCGTCCCGTGCGGCGCGACGACTCCGGCGAGTACACCGTCACCGCGGTCAACTCCAGCGGGAAGGACACTGTTACCATCAATGTTGTGGTCACTGATAAGCCCGCTAAGCCTGAAGGACCATTGCAGGTAATATATCTTGAAAGTGAAAACTTCTTTAGTTAGTTTTGATAGAGGCGAAACTTATGACTTCGCATCACCGAAATGCTACGTGTGACATGTGACGTGTCGACGAACTCTGGCGCGCACTGGCGACGCGCAGCGTCACATGTTTTGATGCTTAAATAAACGATATCAAAATGTAAACAATCATTGCTCGTAATGCCAATGGTTATGAAAACAAGACTTATTATAGTAATTTCAGTTTACAAACCATGACATTTTAATTATTCATACTTTAAGTTTCCATTTCTGTTGACAGTTCCCATGACTGTTTTTTTTTTATATTTTTACATAATAATAATAACCAATTAAGTGAAGAATTTAGTGATTTCTATTATTATTATTATTTACTATCTTATTTATTATAATATATTAAATAATTATTAATGTAATACATTGCGCTAATTTACACTTTTAATTTCCATTATATAATTTGTTGAAGCATTCGCAACGAAATTGTTTTTTTTCTATTTCATTTACTTAACGTATGCCATCTTGTACTATAATACCCTTTAGATAAATAAGTAATGATTATAATCATTTTCCCTAGATCTCCGACGTGCACAAAGACGGCTGCACGCTCAAGTGGAAGCGCCCGAAGGACGACGGTGGCGCCCCCATCGAGTACTACCAAGTGGACAAACTGGACACCGAGACTGGTGTTTGGGTCCCCTGTGCTAGATCTGATGAACCTCGTGAGTTGTGAATAATAATATTTATGTACAATAACACAGGGTAATCTCAGAGAGTAAGACAGGAAGAGAAATTGTCTTTTTGTCACTATCATATTTTGTACAGAAAATCTCAGCTTAAAATACTTATTTACGGATTAGTTAATCTGTAGTTATTATAACGGCTTTAAGACTTTATTCAAGACTTACCTTTTTTGCGTTTCTTGTTGCAAGCTATAATAGAATAGTGTCGAAAAAGATAGTATAAATGATCTCCGACATTTTGTCGTTTTTTCTCTTCCAAATTTTAAAAGAAAGAATAAATAATTAAATTATTCCATCCAAATAAAATTTTATAATTATTGTAGTACCAATGAATAATAAAATTATTTTAAGAGCAGTGAGTAACGATTGTTATTTGTCAGGTTGCGAGGTGACCGGTTTGACTCCCGGCAAGGAGTACAAGTTCCGTGTGTCCGCCGTCAACTCGGAGGGCGAGTCTGAACCGCTCATTTCTGAAGAAAAGATTGTTGCTAAGAATCCATACGATGAACCTGGTAAGAGTTTTTTATATTATTGTCTGTTTTTTTTCTACTTTTCATATGCCATAAAGTATGAAGTGATTAGTATATTCTAAATACGGCAGAATAGTTTAAAACAAATAATTTGAGCAATTTAAATATCAGGAATGGGTTTGATTTACATAATTAATGAACTTACTCAATTAAATTTGACACATTTATCTGCAAAGGAGCACCCGTTAATACATACGCCATGCTATAATAGTTTAAGAATACCATGGGTATTTATGTAACAAAATTTAGCGAAGAAAAGACAGGTCTTCAGGCTTATCTATGATTCTGAATCTAATTTATTCCTTTTAATATATTCAGGAGCACCGGGAACACCCTCAGTCACGGACTGGGACAAGGACCACGTGGACCTCAAGTGGGCCCCGCCACAAGAAGATGGCGGCGCGCCCATCGAAGGCTACATCGTGGAGAAAAAGGACAAGTTTGGCAACTGGGAGAAGGCCCTAGAAGTGCCGGCGGATAAGACCACTTGCACTGTGCCGGATCTGATCGAGGGACAGACTTATGAGTTCCGGTGAGATGGATGTTTTTATTTGTTAGTTGGTACAATTGCGTCCTTTAAAGCGTGCGTCGTATAGAATAACGATTTAGCAAGTTAGAAAAGTAGGACTACGAGTGCAAAACTAATTCCTGTGTAAAATCAAGTTGAGTGATAAGAGTGCCAGTGAGTGGTAAGAGTGGTAAGTTGATCCAATAGTTAAATGGAGGTCTGTTTGGTAGAGTACAATATCTTTTTCTTTTTTAAGTTTTGCTAATGACAAAGATATTGGTTCATTTTTCCATACTTTTAGAAAAATATAAAAAACGCAAAATAGTTTTAATATAGATTGAAGGATCCATTATCAAAATTAAAGTAGTTTTTTTTATTTGAATAATATTTATATATTGTTATGTCCGTCAGAGTCCGCGCTGTGAACAAGGCCGGCCCCGGCGTGCCTAGCGACAGCACACACCCCATCGTCGCCAAGCCCAGGAACTTGGCGCCTAAGATCGATAGAACTAACCTTATTGATATCAAGATTAAGGTCGGACAGAAGTTCGGATTTGATGTTAAGGTGAGTTGTTGTCCTTATATGATAAATCTGTTACATCGCTAATAATATTTTATAATATTATAATGAAAAAATAATATTTCGACGATATTTTCACTATTTCACTTAGTCAAAATAACAAAAACTGATTTTAATAAAATAAATTTTATAAATCTTAATTATACAGGTTACTGGAGAGCCAATGCCCGAAACCAAATGGTTCCTGGGCAAACGAGAGGTAAAATCAGGTGGCGAGATGAAAGTCCAACATTCTGACTACAATACTAAACTCAACTGCAAGTCAGCGACTAGAGCAGACAGCGGCAGATACACAATTACTGCTGAGAACTGCAACGGTAAAGATGTTGCTGAAGTTGAAGTCATTGTGCTCAGTGTGCCCAGTCCGCCTGGAGGACCTCTTAAGGTGAGTTTTCGTACTTTTTAAATTGTATTTTAGGTATCTTTATAGAAAATATCTACTAAATAAAAAGTATTTTATTATGTTGTAAAAGTAAATAATATATGTATCTTTAACATATATTATTTACATTTACAAATCAATAAAATATTCTTTGTGGAAAAAATTAAAGTGTTTTTCGAATGTTAGTATAAAACAGATCGAATATATTTGGTCGTATAAACTTACTTCTTCAGGTGTCCGACGTACACGCAAACGGCGCCAAACTGTCCTGGAACCCGCCAGCCGACGACGGTGGTCAGCCCATAGAGAAGTACGTGGTGGAGCGCATGGACGAGGCCACGGGTAGATGGGTGACCGCGGGCGAGACGGACGGCCCGCAGACCAGCCTCGCCGTGGACGGCCTGCAGCCTGGACACAAGTACAAGTTCAGAGTACGCGCTGTTAATAGGTGAGACTTTGTTTTGTATGGGAAGATCGTTTTTGGTTTTGTGTTTGGTTTTAGATGTAGTCTGCAACAGAGTATATGATAGTGAATTCAATAAAAAAATAGTGTTTTTTTTTATGGAATGTTTTGAATCTACTACCACCAGTTGGAGAAGTAAAAGCGTCGGTCATTAAACTGGGGTAGATACTCTGTAGATATATTTTTTTTTATAATAAATCTTTGATAATTCTCTATTTAGTTAAATAGCCTTGACGCGAAATAGTAATAGGAAATCAATTAAAATTATTAGAAATGCTAGTGATAATATATAGTGCAATGATTTCTGACCCGAGTAGAATAAAAAATATGAGTTCAATCCATATATATCGTATAAACTATGTATATTCTCCTTAAGCCTAAAACATATGTCCTTAAACAAAAATATTTGTTTTTCAGACAAGGCAAATCAGAACCACTCACGACACCACACGCGACAGAAGCGAAGAATCCCTTCGACGTTGCGGGTAAGCCCGGAACGCCCAAGATTAGGGACTTTGACGCGGACTTTGTTGAACTGGAATGGACCAGACCAGAAACAGATGGTGGAGCTCCAATCACTGGTTATGTTATTGAAAAGAAGGACAGATTTGCACCAGATTGGGAGGAATGTGCACAGGTACGTTTAATTTTATTATGTTAATTTGTTGTGTTAATATAAATAAGAACACATACATACATATAGCCTGAATTCGTCTTAAAGAATATATTATCTCATCCCTGACATAGGGGACTTAAAAAATTACGCCACGTGGTTATCAAATATGGTCTAATATTAGTTAGAAATTATAATGAAAATTTTAGGACTTTATTTTGATTCAGGACAAATAGTATTTAAATTTATTTTCTGCTCTACAGATCGAAGGTGACGTCACATCCGGCAAAGTACCAGACCTCATTGAAGGAAACACGTATGAATTCCGCGTTCGCGCAGTTAACAAGGCCGGTAAAGGCATACCGAGTGACGGCACCGCGCCTCACTTGGCCCGGCCCAAGAACCTGCCGCCTAAGATCGACAGAAATTTCATGTTCGATATCAAGGTCAAAGTTGGGCAAAACTACGAGTTGGATGTACCAGTTGCTGGTGAACCAACTCCCACTAAGGAATGGCTTCATGGAGAGAACACCGTTCTCAATACTGACAGAATCAAGGTCGTCAATGACTCCCATAGCACGAAGATCAGGGTGATTGATGCCAAACGATCTGATTCTGGTACCTACACACTTAAAGCTAAGAACATTAATGGCACAGACACGGCTTCAGTTAAAATATTGGTTATGGATGTACCACTACCACCCGAAGGCCCATTACGTGTAGATGATATCACCAAATCAGGTTGCAGCCTTAGATGGAGGCCACCCAAGGACGATGGTGGCTGTGAAATCACACACTACGTCGTTGAAAAGATGGATCAAGAAAACCTTCGATGGATCCCGGCTGGAGAAGTCCAGGGATGTAATATCCGTATTGATCACCTCATCGAAGGACACGATTACAATTTCAGAGTTCGTGCCGTCAATAAGCAAGGTGAATCTCAGCCACTTGTCGGTCAAGAGCCAATCACTGCCAAGGACCCTTACGGAACTCCAGACAAACCTGGCACACCTGTTGTCAAGGACTGGGACAAGGATCACATGGACTTGGAATGGGTACCGCCAAAGAAAGATGGTGGCTCACCTATTACTGGATATATCATTGAGGCCAGAAAGAAATACGGTCCGTGGGAGGTTGCAGCTACAGTGCCAGGAAACAAGACTACTGGAACAGTGTCTGGTCTTCAAGAAGGAGAAGAATACGAATTTCGAGTCATTGCCGTTAACAAAGCCGGAAATGGTGAACCGTCTGACGCTTCTACACCACAAGTGGCTAAAGCCAGATTTTGCGCTCCAACATTCGATAAAACTCTCCTGGCTGATAAAACAGTTAAGGCTGGACAGAGAATCCAATACGAGATCCCGATAGAGGCATCTCCGAAACCCACAGTCGAATGGCAGATTAATGGCAAACTCGTCCACCCATCGGATAGGATTGATATCCAGATTTTGCATAACAGGGTTATCCTAGACATTCCATTTTCCGTCCGTTCTGACGGAGGCGTTTATAAATTGACCCTCAAGAATGATCTCGGAGTTTGCTCGGCGAGTGCTAACGTTACTGTTTTAGACAAACCATCTCGACCAGAGAAACCTTTGGTCGTATCCGATGTTACAAAGGATTCCTGCTCGTTGTCGTGGAAAGTACCTTTGGACGATGGTGGTTCACCAATTTTACATTATGTCATCGAAAAGATGGACTTATCTCGCGGTACTTGGTCAGATGCTGGCATGAGCACATTCTTATCTCACCAAGTGACAAGACTTATTCACATGAAGGAATACTTGTTCAGAGTTAGTGCAGTAAACGCTATCGGACAGTCTGAACCATTAGAATTAGATCGCGCTATAGTTGCAAAGAACGAATTCGATGAACCTTCGGCACCTGGCAAGCCCAAAGCTACTGACTGGAGCAAGAGCCATGTTGACTTAGAATGGACTCCACCTAAATCTGACGGTGGTGCTCCCATCACTGGATATATCATTCAAAAGAAAGAAAAGGGCAGTCCATACTGGGTTAATGCAGCTCACGTACCACCTGGGCAGACTAAAGCTACAGTACCTGACTTAATCGAAGGTCAAGACTACGAGTTTAGAGTTATCGCTGTTAACCAAGCTGGACAGTCTGAACCTAGTGAACCATCAGACATCGTCACAGCTAAGGACAGATTCGTAGCGCCTAAGATTTTGACACCACTTAAGGAAGTACGTATCAAGGCTGGTCTCATTTTCCATATCGATATCGACTTTATTGGTGAACCAATTCCTGAAGTCAAATGGACTTGTGATGACAAAGCTGTTGTAACAAACGAAAGAACAACTATTACATCGGTTGGACATCATACAATCGTTCATACAGTGAACTGCAAGAGATCAGACGCTGGTAAATACCACTTGTCTCTGAAGAACGATTCGGGATCTGATGAAGGTAGCTTCGACTTAATTGTCTTGGATGTACCTGGACCGCCGCAACCACCGTTTGAATACGAGGAGATCACTGCCCAATCTGTTACATTGTCATGGAAACCACCCAAAGACAATGGTGGCAGTGAACTGACTGGATATGTCATTGAGAAACGTGATTTGACTCACGGTGGTGGTTGGGTTCCAGCCGTTACTTATGTCAATCCTAAATATAATCACGCAACTGTACCTCGTCTTTCTGAAGGCACCAAATATGAATTCAGAGTGTTTGCTGAAAACTTGCAAGGACGATCTGAACCGTTAGTTACTGACAAACCAATTGTTGCCAAGAACCAGTACACAGTACCTGGAAAACCAGGCAAACCTGAACTGGTTTCTGCCGACAAAGACCACATCAAAATCAAATGGTCATCGCCGATTTCCAATGGTGGTTCCAACATTCTTGGCTATGATGTTGAAAGATGCGACAAAGCAACAGGAAGATGGATTAAGATGAACAGAGAACCTGTAAGATTCAATGAATATCAAGATGACAGAGTTCAAGAAGGTCATCAATATGAATACAGGGTATCAGCTGTTAACTTAGCTGGACCTGGACAACCTTCTGACCCATCTAACGTTATTATCGCTAAACCAATGAAAGAGAAGCCGAAATTATGGCTTGATGGCCTAATTGGACGCAAGATCAAGGTCAGGGCTGGTGAACCTATAAATATAAACATTCCAATAACTGGTGCACCGACACCTAAGATTTCATGGACCAAGGGAACCGTTCCAGTTGTCCCATCTCATAGAATCTCAGCTGAAACCAAAGCTGAGGAAACTAAACTTAGCATCGAAAAATCAACAAGGGAAGACGCTGGCAAGTACACAATCACAGCATCCAATGAATATGGAAAAGATTCTGCTGATATTGAAGTCATTGTGGTCGACAAACCTGGAATACCTAAAGGCCCACTTATTTGTAACCCAGTTACTCATGAGTCCATGAGCCTCTCATGGCAACCACCTCTTGACGACGGTGGTAGTGAAATCACTGGTTACGTTGTTGAGGTTGCCGAATATGGCGTCAACGACTGGCGTACTGTTGCTGGGTTCTGCCCTAAATGTTCATTTACTGTTAAGAACTTGACTGAAGGCAAAAAATATGTATTCAGAGTCCGTGCTGAAAACTTATACGGTCTATCTGAACCATTAGAAAGCAAACCAATTGTAGCTAAATTGCCATTTGATCCACCAGATGCGCCAGACACACCTAATATTACTGGTTACAGTGCAAACAGCTGCTCCTTGGAATGGAAACCACCTGCAAACTGTGGTGGCAAACCCATTACTGGTTATATCGTAGAAAAGAGAGAACGCGGTGGTGAATGGGTCAAGGTGAATAACTATCCAACTCCCAACACTTGTTACACAGTACAAGATCTGCGTGAAGGTAACCGATATGAATTCCGCGTTATAGCTGTAAATGAAGCTGGACCAGGCAAACCTAGCAAACCCACCGAACCCATTGTTGCTCAGACACAAAGACTTAAGCCTAGCGCACCTGAACCGCCCAAACCTGATAGAATTACCAGAGACTCTGTTACATTGTCGTGGAGACCACCAAAGAGCGATGGTGGAGCTAAGATTAAAGGCTATATCATTCAACAAAAGGCTAAAGGAGACAAAGACTGGAAAGACGTTAATGACGTCCCTATTCCAAGCCTTGTACACACTGTACCTAAACTTAAGGAAGGTGAAGAATATCAGTTCAGGGTCATTGCTGTTAATGACGTAGGCAAATCTGACCCAAGCAAACCGACTGGTGATATCACAATTGCTGAACAACCAAACAAACCGTGCATGGACCTCGGAGGTGTTCGGGATATTACTGTACGCGCTGGAGAAGACTTCTCTATTCACGTACCTTACACTGGATTCCCACAACCAACTGCATCTTGGTTCGCTGATGATAATCTACTCGATGTCGAGGGTGATTTAAGAATATTCCAGAAGATTACACCTGATTCCGCTTCTCTTGTTGTTAAGAATGCCAAGAGATCAGACGGTGGTCAATACCGCTTGCAGTTACGTAACCCGTCTGGTTATGATACTGCTACTATCAACGTACGCGTTCTCGACAGACCTGGTAAACCAGAAAATCTACGAGCAGACGAATTCGAGGGCGAAGCGCTCACATTATACTGGAATCCACCAAAGGACAACGGTGGTGGCGAAATCACGAATTACGTCGTTGAGAAACGCGAAGCTCGCACACCTAACTGGACTAAGGTGTCCGGTTACGTCACAACACCGTTCTTACGGGTGAAGAACTTGACTGTTGGAAAGAGCTACGAATTTAGGGTTATGGCTGAGAACCAATATGGTCAGTCAGATCCAGCGCAGACCACAGAACCAATTAGGGCGAGGCATCCATTCGATCCTCCTGGAGCACCTGGAGCGCCTCGCTCAGTGGAAACTACAGAGTCATCTATCACAGTCACATGGTCGAAGCCGCGTCACGACGGCGGATCTCCAATCACTGGCTACATTCTAGAAAAGAGGCTGATTACTGAAGATAAATGGACCAAAGCATCTCATGCACACATTCCAGACACCACATACAAAGTTACAGGACTGATTGAGAATCATGAATATGAATTCAGAGTATCCGCTGTGAACGCAGCCGGTCAAGGGCCATTCTCGCAGAGCTCAGACGCAATCCGCGCATGCGCGCCGCCCAACGCGCCTCGCATCACTAGTGACCTTAGCCTTAGGGACATCACCGTAATCGCTGGTGAAGAAATTAAGATCACCGTGCCATTTACTGGAAACCCAAGACCAAAGGTGAGAAAATTTTATTAATCTCTGTTGCTATATTATATTTAACAAATGCATATAAATGCAACAATCTTTTTATTTTTATATTCTACAAATATGTTTCGTAATATATGATGATAGTTTTATTATAAACTATAAAATATTACAAAAATTATAACAATTTCAGGTATCATGGATAATAAACAATGACGAAGTGTTTCCTGATCACCGCATCAGATTCGTGACGTCAGACATCGACACGGTGTTCATAAACTCGAGCGCCAAGCGATCCGACACCGGCTCTTACACCGTACAGCTTTTGAACAGCGAGGGCTCTGACAGTGGCACTTGCAGAGTAAGTTCCTAATGTTTTAGTTTTTTAAATAATTTTATATATGGCTTAATTTTAATAAAAGTATTTTTATTTACATATGTAATGAAAATATAGCTACTAAATAGCATTATCATTGACGTTTTCCTTTATAAATTTAAAATATATTTTATGCTAATGGCATTGATATACAAAACTCAAAATACACAATCAACGCCTCAAAAAGAAATGCAAAATTCGAAAATGAATTATGCTTTTTCAAATCTCTTTTGTGCATTGCTTTTCGGATGACAAAATTAAAACGCTCGTCGTTAAAAAAAAGTACTTTATGTGGCGTGCGTAAGACCGAATTTCTATCTAGATAATTAGAACTTCCGAATTTTGAACTTAATTCTTTTGTTTAACATAACGTTACATAACGACGCAAATTTTTGAAGATATGTGTATAAGATATTCGTTAGGAAATGTTTGTCTATGTTTTTATAAATTAATGGCTAATGATCTTACTTTTACATCAAAGATTTAAGATGATATACAAGTATCTATTTATTTTTAAATTTTAGGTTCTAGTAGTCGACAGACCATCTCCACCTGTTGGTCCGCTCGATGTATCTGACATCACTCCCGACACATGCACGTTGTCATGGAAACCTCCGCTAGATGATGGCGGCTCTCCCATCACCAACTACATTGTGGAGAAGATGGACAACGTTGGAGTGAGTAATTTAAATTATTTTTTTGTTACTTATATAAGAATAATTTAATAAAAACAAAAATATTTACAAGATTTTTTCTTAGTTCCTTCGATTGTTTATTAATTTTTTCAGTATACTCTAGCTGCTGAGCTAGTTTGTAATATTAATTCATTGTTATACTTCTTTTACTTCATAATTATACTAGCGGACCCGACAGATGTTGTCCTGTCTACACGTCTTTAATTTGAAAATTTCAAACTTTTTTCAACCGACTTCAAAAAGGAGGAGGTTCTCAATTCGCCTGTATTTTTTTTTTGTTTTTTTTTTTTTTTTTTATGTTTGTTACCTCAGAACTCCGTCATTTATTGACCGATTTGGACAATTTTTGTTTTGTTTGAAAGGGTATACTTCCAGATTGGTCCCATTTAAATTTCAAAAAAAAAATACCACCCCTAAGGGTGGAAAAACAACTAATGATGAATTTAACCTACTTCTAATTGTCATATTGACATGAAACTTTGCAAGTATTTCTATTTCTGTTGATAGTACAGTGGTTCGGTGTTGTTGACCTGATCTGATGGCAAGGCCAGAAGGTGGATAGGTGGAACTCTTCAACGGCTAATAGTAGATACTTTGAGTTTGGGCTTATTTTGTTTGATTTGACAAGCCTAACACGTTAGAATCCTTACTTTGCTACTACTGTCTACACTAAAAAGGGAAAAATAAAAACTTTTTAACAAAAAAATAAAAACCGACTTCAAACAAAGGCACTAAAAAGTAAAAAATAACTGATTGGTAGTTTTCATTTACTATACATATCTAATCAAATATTTTCGAAGTCGGTGTGCTTTGCCTAAGTAATTAAAGTCTACCTATTAAATACATACTTAATCAAATATTTTCGAAATCGGTGCCAGCCCATACAAAGCAAAGCACACCGACTTCGAAAATATTTGATTAGATATGTATAGTAAATGAAAACTACCAATCAGTTATTTTTTACTTTTTAGTGCCTTTGTTTGAAGTCGGTTTTTATTTTTTTGTTAAAAAGTTTTTATTAATAATTTTTTTGATGAAAATTATTATTCAAATTGTGAATCTAAACCATTCCCAGATCCCCTTAAACACACACAAAAAATTTCATCAAAATCGGTCCAGTCCTTTGAGAGAAGTTCAGTGACATACACACTCACAGAAGAATTATATATATAAAGATATCTTATCAAACAACACTTGAAATCTTACCAAAGCTTTTTTGACAGATATAATAATCTTAAAAATGTATTACAAGATAGATATTCATTTTACCGCGGGAGATTATTTCATTCTTACGGGAAATTACGTTAGAATACAACCAAAAATAAGTCATCATACCTATGTATATATATGTATACATAATATATACATATATAATATATTATTGTCTATCAATTCGATACCAACTGTTAGAACATACTTTCTATATAATATTTAATATCAATGTATCCACACAGGTATGGTCAAAGATCTCATCATTCGTACGCAATTGCCACTACAACGTGATGGGTCTCGAGCCCAACAAGAAATATATGTTCCGAGTACGTGCTGAGAACCAGTATGGCGTGTCGGAACCATTGGCTATGGAAGACTACATTACAGCTAAAGTAAGTGATATTTTCTCTTTGAATAGATAATGAATAAGGATATTAAGCCACATAGCTGAGGATTAAGAATCCAACAGGCATCTATTGGTTATTTGGAAGTCCAGACAAAAGGCTCAAAATTACGCTTTTATGTTATATTTTGAACAATAAATAAATCTGTTAATACGGAAACCAACTGCTAAAACAAAAAACTCCTAGCTCTTTCGAAAACTAATAAAAGATTGTCTCAGATGACGAACTTTCCTTCTTCAATATTTGTAAAGGATAACTGTACTAACAAGTGTCAATCGTGTTCAAAATGTAATTTGCTTTTAAAAATCTCAAATATGTGAAATTTAAGGTTTCCAGTAGTGAGTAAAAACGAATTTTTCTAAGCTAAATAACTATATAACAAATCCACAGTTCCCATTCACGACGCCCGACCCGCCCGGCGTGCCGCGCGTCATCGAGTGGGACGGCTCCACCGCCACGGTGGTGTGGGACCGGCCGCGCTCCGACGGCGGCGCGCGCATACAGGGATACAAGATCGAGTTCCGCGACGTGCAGGACAAAGTGTGGAACAGCGCTGATTATCTTGTTAAAGACTGCAATTATCAGGTAGGATATGCGATAAATTCGAATAAACATTTTGTTGTTTACATTATAGAGCGAAGGTTTTTGTTGGTTGACGTCTTTAGGACAGCAATGGATTGATTTCTGCAATGGATTTCTTGCACTGGAATAGTTTTTAGCTAATTCCACATTTTAGTACTTTTTTTAAGGTAAATGTTTATTTTCTCAAAAAATAACAATGTTCACAAAAACTTAGGAATGGACATGTGGAGTGAACAACATTGGTATATTATGTAATAGCTTATGATTTAAGCAGACAAGATTCCATACAAAAACTAATTTTTGGCTATTACAATAATTAAAAAACGTCTCGATTCAAATACATTCAGTAAATAACTCTAACAATATCCCACACGCAGGCTTACAACCTCGAGCCTGGTCACGAGTACGAGTTCCGCGTGCGCGCCAAGAACGCGGCGGGCTACAGCAAGTACTCGGCCAGCTCGCAGCCGTTCCGCGTGCGCGGCAAGGCCGGGCCGCCCGCGCCGCCGCGCGCGCCACGCGTGCTGCGCGTCGGCAGGAACTACGTCGACGTGGCGTGGGACCCACCGGCATCTGACGGAGGTATGACCGTTGGCTTTTGCTACGTCGTTGGGATTTTTAATTCATTAATCTATACATATAATAAAATTGTAACCAAGTCGAATCTGTACATTAAATATTTTTTGGAAAATCTTAATGAAATAGACATTATTATCGATACAGAAGCCGAATCTATAGTTTTTAGAATATTTGTCTGTCTGTCTGTTACCGCATCACAGAAAAACCACTGGAGAGGATTTGATGAAATTTAGTATGGTGATAGCTGGTTATCCGGGTCAACATATAGGATACTTTTTAACGCGGGAAAATTTCTCATTTTTAAGAAAAAAATACAAAAACTGCAATTTAAGAGTATACTCATATGTAAAACATAAGAATTTGGTTTTTGGTCATCTGAACGATAATTATGATTTCTATTTATTATACAGTATTTACGTGATTTAACACAAAACAGTCTTGTTAATGTTTTCTTTCGTTTCGTTGCTTCAGTAATTTAGTTTAGGGAGTGCATAACTGTAATATATAAGATTTATTATGTAAGTAGTATAATGAATATATAAATTTACATTTTGGAAATGCATCAGCGAATAAAACTTACTACACAAATAGATCGTGTATCACACATTGTTTAAACAAAACCTCACATTAATGCATTGTTCTGGGATATAATAAATCAATGTTAAATTAATGTTACAAAGAAAACACTCCCATGTCAGCAATACACAAGTAGTTATATTTAACGATATCCGTATCCGTTTATCCCAGGATCCCGCATCACCGGCTACATTATCGAGCGGCGCGAGCTGAGCAGCTCGGTGTGGCTCAAGTGCAACGACTACACCGTGCTCGACACCAGCTTCACCGCGCTCAACCTCAGCGAGAAGGCCGACTTCGAGTTTAGGATTATTGCTTGTAATTCTGCTGGTAAGTAAAGGTTTTTTTTCTTTTCTATGTATGTATATATTCGGCCCTTTTTAACGTCCCACTGCTGGGCACGTGCCTCCCATCAATACGAGGGGGATCAGGCCATAGTCCACCACGCTGGCCAAGTACGAGTTGGCGGACTTCACATGTCTTTCGAAAACTTGCTAGGTTCTCTCAGACATGCAGGTTTCCTCACGATGTTTGGCTTCACCGTGTTCTTTTCTATACTTGGTTTTAATGTTTATTTGAGAATATACGAGTATGTATGATGAAATTGTTTAAAATAAATATGGTATTCTAAGTGAATTTGATTATAGATTTATTTTATCTCAAATTATATAAAAATTTAAATTTTCTTGTACGAGAGCAATTCTATCAAAAATAATTTTGTGCCAATAATCGTTGTTAATATTGAGCGATAGGAAATAAGTTATCATTATTGTTATATGTTGGACATCCTCTAAATTTAAATATAAGAACTAAATATATTCCATGTTTTATATGTTTAATGTGTATATGTATACGTATGTATTTAGCCTTTTGTAACGTTGACTGCTGGGCACGGGCCTCCCTTCAATACGAGGGGCATTAGGCCATAGTTTACCATGTTAGTCAAGTGCAGGCGGACTTGCTAGGTTCTCTCAGACATACAAATTTTCTCGCGATGTTTTCTTTCACCGCGAGAGTTTCGTTGTATAGTAATTTGATAACCTATAATTTAATAACATTAATTTTGTTCCAGGTAAATCCGAGCCGTCAAGTTGCACGACTCCAGTTCGCACGGGCGAGGAAGCGGGTGGTGCTAAGCCCGAGTGGCTCAAACGTCTGCCGGCCAGCGCCTGCGCGCCGCTCGCACGCCCACACGTGCTGGAATGCGTGGCGAGTGGAAGTCCCGTACCCGTGGGCAGGTGGCTCAAGGGCGGCCGTGAGATCGTCATGGGCACCAGGTGAGCATGAAATGAAAATGAAATGAAAGCATGAAATGAGAGCTTGTTAATGCTTTCTTGGTATGTGATAGTCGTTGGCAAGTATAGCTATAGATTCTGAGGTCGGGCCAAATATGATAATTTGGTTTTTATATCAAGAAATTTAGTAAGAGCCCGGAGATTAAAAGTTGACGGTATTTCACTTATGTGCACGTAAACGGTTGAACCTACGTCTTTGTCGTTCCGTCTGAGTTTACGTGGAAACTTGTTCATTATAATAAATCTCCTGCGCATTTGGATGGTCTTAGTGGCCGCTGTAGCCTAAATCAGTCAGGAGAACAATATTACAATATATAGTGTTACTATGCGTTGTGGCTAAGCTACGGCTACCAGCGATCGTGTTCTAAACTTCTTTTAAATTGTATTTTTTGGTCTTATCGACTGAGGCAAGAGATGGTACTTGCTTATCATTATAATATGTTAAAATTGTTTCACTTATAAACTTATATGATATTATAGTAGGGGAGCCCAAGAGGGGATTTTCTGTAGTTACTCGAGCGCGGCAGATTAACATAAAAGAGGTTACCTTGCACTCTATTGAGTACTTTCACCACAATATAAGTCTTCTATATAAAGGGGCGCGTCTAGGGAAGCCGATAAAAATATTTAAAAAATGTTTTGATAAGGTAAAAATACTTGAAACCGTCAGATTAAGGTGTTGTAGGCTAGTCACATCCTGAAAAGTGTCCAATTTAATAATCTGCCGATTTGCACAAGCCGAAGAGGCAAAAATCATCATAAACTTTATAGTCGATTTTCTGCCGCGCTCGAGTAACTACAGAAAGTCCCCTCTTGGGCTCCCCTACTATTATAGAATTTTTTAGCAATATTTTAACATTTTATCAAAATACCTCTGCTTGAATCGTATACGGAAAAAACTTTACCTAACTGCCTAACGTATTATGGGTAGCTGAATTAATAAACAGTTTTTTTTTGTTATTTCATATATCCTATTATTACGATTATGTATAAAATATTTTTCAGTGCTTATTAATTATCGATTTTCTTTCAGATTCATCGCTGAATCTCGTGAGGGTACACTGAAACTGAACATTCTGGAAGCAACCGAAGCGGACGAGGGCGACTACACGTGCGAGGCTAGCAACAGTCTTGGACACATTTACTGCACAACACATCTTAAGATTGGAAGTAAGTGCACGTAACGAAATTAATCTGTATATTTATGTAAAAACAAATCATGACTAACTGATTTGTCACCGCATAGCTCACACTGCTAAACTGATTGGGTTGAAATTGGACACACAGATAATTGGTATAACGTAGGCTTCCGCTAAGAACGGATTTTTGGATCAAAATGTGTATGGAAAAGTCATATAAGAGAGATGTATCAATACTTAAATTCGCAGGATTACTTACTCCTGTCAACAAATAAATAGACACGTGTTTCGTACTTTTCTTAAAAAACCTCTTTAGAGTAGGGGTGTACAGAAGTAAACAATCTAAGTATCAAACTTGGCGCGAATGAAGCCGCGGTTAAAAGCTAGTATAAAATCTAACATAGTTCATTCACGTGATACTTCATATAAAGTGTTATAGTAGAATCTATGTTTATTTATATTACTATATTTTTTTTAGTCAAGTCCTTTATTATAAAAAAACCCTCTTTGTCTATTATGCCTGTAAGAAATCTCTACTAGTGATAAAATCCTCTTTGCACACCTGTAGTTTATTTGCAACATATTAAATGTCATAAATATAATATATTTTGTGAAATTAAATATTAAAAAAAATACAAAACTTTTTCCTTAGGCCCACCGCGCATCACACGTATGCCAGGCGACCTGCACCTCCCCGAGCACGACAATACGAAGATCAAGATCCTCTACACCGGAGACCAGCCCGCAGACGTCACCCTCACCAAGGATGGTCAGAAGGTCTCAGAATCACCACACCTCAAGTTTACTGTCTTCGATGATTATATTCTTATATTCATCAAGGACATCACTAAGGATGATATGGGTAAGTACCTAAATAAATTATAAATTTACAATTACGATAATATGTATAATTGTCATTTTTTGTTATTAATTTTTTGTTTCTTAATGAACATATTCATTATTTTAAATATCTATACTGTAGTTAATTTAGACCCACGAACAGTTTTTAGTAATAGTCCATCCAAAAAGACAAAATTGCCCATATTAAAGTATCTCAATTTCTTCACAGGAACATACAAGATAACAATCAAGAACAATTCCGGTGAAACATCAGACTCGTTCTCGGTGACCGTGACCGGTCTGCCCGGACCTCCGCAAGGACCGCTTGAAGCAACAGACATCACCAGACATACATGCACCCTAGCCTGGAAACCACCTACCTACGATGGAGGCCTACCTATCACCCATTACGTTGTTGAAAGGATAGATATATCTGGAACTACCTGGATAACTATAGCCTCGTCTGTCCGGGACACGAGGTTTACGGTCCATGGACTGACTGAGGGACAAGAGTACAACTTCAGGATACATGCGGCCAATGATAATGGTATCGGACCAGGATTGGAGGGTGTCAATCCTGTTAAGGTTGGTTTTTTATTGATATTTGTTTCTTTTTTATCTATTCTTAAAAGCTAAATAAATTCAATATAGCTGCTTGATTTATACTTCTAATTTTTGATCAGCAAAATGGCTTCTAGTAAATTTTGTTAATCTAATATATTAATAATTGTTCATTTAATCATAAAACTTACTTGTAATTTGCTTAAATTTAAAATCTCTTGAAGTTTAAACTTGGAATTTTATACTTATTAATGTTTTTTGTATTGCTAAGGCTAAACTTCCCTACGATCCACCATCTGCACCTGGCATTCCTAAGATCGTTGAAGTCGGTGGACACTTCGTCCACTTGGAATGGGACAAACCCGAGAGCGATGGAGGTGCCAGAATACAGGGTAAGAAAATATATAAAACATTCAATTTTAATGTGTGTAATGTATATGTTTAAAGTCATTTCATTTAATTTTTGTATTGATTACTATAATTGCTTGTTAAAGACTTCTTCGACTTCTTTTCGAAATGAATCCTGAATTACTTTTTTTTTTATTTACTGAAATACATGTTTGTCTACCTTTAACTATAGCCGATGAATCCATAATATATCACCACACAATAGGGTATATGTTTTTAATTTAGTTTTAATTCGCGCGTATTTTATTATTTTTATTAAATGCTCGAGATTTCATTCTTAACAGTAACAGTTGAGTTACTACTTACTGCCCTTTACGTTAGAGTAATTTAAATTTTTAAAGATTGTGATACTCTTTTACTATTTTTTATTTTCAAATTTTTTCGCGTCTTTATTTTGATTTTTGGTCCCCGAAGTATTGAATGCTTTAAACTTTACAGCAATCATGGTCACGGGGGAGACTTAAGGTTTTAGACATCTCATTAATGTTATTTATTATATAGTTGTACAATATTCTTTAATTTTAATTTTACACATTTTTTATAATTATATGGAATCAAAAATCGAAATAAACTCCCAAACAACAACGACGAGATAGTTTTATTTAAAATGTCAAATATTCGCGTAAATTTAAACAAGTGATAAATGTTGTTTATTTATTTATTTATCTAAGAAATAAAATGATATAAACCTTCTCAGGTTACTGGGTTGACAAACGCGAGGTGGGCTCGTCGAGCTGGCAGCGCGTGAACGCGGCGCTGTGCGTGCCGCCGCAGCTGAACTGCGCAAACCTCATCGAGGGTCGCCAGTACGAGTTCCGCGTGATCGCGCAGAACGAGGCCGGCCTCTCGCCGCCCAGCACCAACAGCCAGCAGGTCAAGGTCGTTGACCCTAAAGGTGAGTGGACCGGATGGACTGGATGAGATCAAAATAATATTTATTACTTTATTAGTTCAAATTCTTGTATGAGTACTTTTGAATCGTAAATTTTATATTTTTCAATTTACATATATTAAATGTCAGTATGTACCTAAGTCCGTCAGAAATCTATCATCCTAGTGGTCTTGTTTATATGGGATGTTACAGTATTACAATATTTTATTTGTTTTTTTTTTCTTCCGGAGTAACGAAAATTGAGTAATATATATTTTTTATTGAGACAAAATATGAATTAGTTTATTGATATTTGACAGAAAATTGTATTATGTCACTTTGATTTTGAAGTATATTGTGTATATACCATAATTTAAAAAAAAATGAATTTGATAGTGACTCGTTATCACTGTCTATAAATGAGTGCCTTTATTTCAATTACTTATAATGAAATAGAATGTAAGACAAATATCATATAGTTTATTATATTTTAAAATATAATTTCCAGCCGCCACTCCACCGGAAATCGTGAAACCTTTAAAGAACGCCAACTGCATCCAGTACCACAACGCCAAGTTCCAGTGCACCATCACTGGCTCACCCAAGCCCACCATCACGTGGTACAAGGGTAAGCTATTTGGCATAAGGATATTTATTTGTTTGTTTAATCAATTATTCAATAATTAGCATCGAATGCTTCACTGAAGCTTAAAGTCTGTCGTTGGATATTGCTTCATAGTACGTACGTTATTTATTTAACTCAGCGAAACCAGAAAATGAGTTTAGGACTTATTTTTCTTTACAATTCCAGTTAAAAAAATCATGTTGATGTAAAAATAATTGTTGTAGTGTACAAATTTCAATAAATCTATATATATATATAACAAAGTCGTGTTAGTTACACCATTTATAACTCAAGAACGGCTGGATCAATTTTTATGATATTTGATTTTTTGGATTTCTCTATGTCCGGATTAGGATAATAAGTATTAAAACATCAAAAAAAATGAACGAAAAAAAAACAATTAAAATTTACATAGCTAACGCTGGTTAATAACTATATCTATTTAAAACGTACCTAGCGACAAACTCGAGTGAGGTTAGTAATTTTTTCATGGAATCTTAATGCTTTTTCGCAATGAGGTTTGCCAAGAAAATGAGAAAATGTTATATATAACGTCTAATATTTAATATTTATCCTCTCATCCCAGGTGCCCGCGAGATAACGAACGGTCCGCGCCACCGCATCTGGAGCGAGGGCGACAACCACTTCCTCACGGTGATGGACGTGTTCGGCGAGGACGCGGACGAGTACGTGTGCCGCGCCGTCAACAGCGCCGGCGTCAAGAGTACTCGCGCTGAACTGCTTATTATGAGTGAGTCATATGTTATATGTCTTCTGTTGCTCTAGATGTGTTAAAATTGAACAAATTGGTCCATATTGGTCCAAATGTGTCAGCCCGCTTATGTTTCCATTAGTGGTGCATAGATAGGAATATTCTAGTACGTATTTTTGTTTGGCTAGCAAAAACACTGTGTGTGCTCGCAAATTATACGTTTTAAGTCATCATATCTAATTAGGCTTGAAAATAAATATTATCAAGTCCATTCTCTCTCTCTGTTATATCTAACATTAAGGTATACAGATTTAATACGAATTTATACTGATACTGTTATGTCGTTATCTACTTTTGCCTACCTAAGTTATACCTACAGAATAAATACATTTTTAGCCTCACAATATTATTAATCAAAATCCACAGCTGCACCAAAACTGAACGTGCCACCTCGTTTCCGGGACACGGCATACTTCGACAAGGGCGAGAATGTGGTGATCAAGATCCCGTTCACGGGACACCCCGTGCCTCGCATCACGTGGGTGCGCGAGGGCGAGACCATCGAGTCCGGCCTGCACTACCATGTGGAGAGGAAAGGTGGGTGGACCTTGTATGTGGAATTGGTCGTGGAAACGTTGCCGAGTCTTAAATCGATTTCGTTAATCCTTAAATCATTGGCACTGATCACTAAGGGTGTTTGTGTGCATGTCATGTATAAATATATAAAATTCCTCAGAAATGAGATAGATTAAATTAAATACAAATGAACTTAATTGTGAGTTTTACTATATTAATATTATTGTACGTTTTCTACTATCTCTTTATTATTCGCACCCCTTTTATCTTAGTACGAGTACAAATAGTACCCACATCCAAAAGTTGCCTGGAAGAAATCGCTCTTTTAGCGATAAGGCTGCTTCTTGTATTTGTTCTTTATTTTGTATATTTTCTTTTCTCTTTTCGGAAAGGGCTTATAGATTAATATTATATAAATATTTTTCGATTACAGAACGCCACGCTATCCTCACGATCCGTGACGCGAGCAAGATCGACTCCGGCCCGTACAGGATCACCGCTGAGAATGAGCTTGGACAGGATTCTGCTATTATTAACATTGAAATTAGCGGTATGTAGGGTTGTTTATTTTTTTCTTATGTTATATTCTTATGTATAATACGTCTAGTACATATTTACTAATATTTTTTTGTTAAGTATAACTTCATAAATCGTAAAAATTGTATTCATAATCATCATATATGGTGTGACTAGGCAGTCCAGTGGTGGGGTGCTTGCTTGGGAAACCATGAAGCGGGTACAAATCCCGGGTCTTGCAGCTCTGATATATTCTTGCGCGAATTAGTTTCAACATGATTACTACTTGTCTTACGGTGTTTAAAAGGGCTGAATTTTGGACTGGGCTGTTTTAGCTTTCTCTAAATATTTTTTGCTCCTATAATGAAACTATACACAATATTTTAACCGTAACTAAACATAATATATAATATTGACGCACAGACCGCCCCGACCCACCCCGCTTCCCGGGCGTGGACAACATCGGTGTGGACTCACTCGCACTGTCCTGGAAGGCGCCAGTATGGGACGGAGGCTCCGACATCACCAACTATCTGGTGGAGAAACGAGAACACCCCATGTCCAGCTGGATAAGAGTTGGAAATACACGGTATGCATCTTATTATGCCAATTTTTTTCGTATTATTTTATTATTTATTTTTTGTGAAAATGTTGAGCAATGAGGATATTTTACTTTTTTTTTCTACTTTATGCGGATGATGGATTTAATTACGTTTTTGTTGTTAGTGTAAAAAGTGGCTTAATCTTAAAATGATTTACATAGATATTTTGTATGATGATTTGTATTATTTAATAGTATCGTAACTGATACTGCTGAAGACTGAACTCTTGAATTGACTGACATTTGAAATAATTTTCTTGTATTTTGCCAAGACAAGATACGATAAAATGTTTTATTTACACACACAAAAACAACTTGCCCTGCCACCGATTAAAAAAAATCACGATACTCTTATATTAATTAATAATTGTATCATATTCCAACCCTAAAGGTGAATTGTATCTTATACTTAAAAAATTAAAGAATAATTGGAACTGAACCATTCAATTCCAGCTTCACAACAATGGCTGTGACCGGCCTCGCGTCGGGCAAGCAGTACGAGTTCCGCGTGTACGCCGAGAACATCTACGGACGCTCCGAGCCCAGCGAGCCCACTTCGCTGGTGCAGACCAAGGCCATTGTCAAGAAGGAGTTCAAGAAGAAGGAGTATCCTGGTATGACACATGGTTTATTTTATGAACGGAAGGTATATTAAAATAATATAATGAAATGAAAATAGAACAGTATTATTAAACAATGGCTTAAACACATAGCCTCTGATGAGGTGAAGACTTCATTCTATTTAGGCCTTCAATATTTTTTGCCATATATAGTAATGTCCTACATAAGTTGCTTAGTCGATGTCATGTGTGACTTCCAATTTGTGTATGTCCTGCATATCATATATTTTAAAATACTAAGAATAAACACGTTTTAATTTAATTTTAAGGCATAAGTGTCGTCAGAACAAATGATCTCAAACTTACAATTAGAGAGAATCTATCTCCTGACTCTATTATGAAATTAGTATGAAGTTATCTATCTATACATATATAACGATTTTAAGTTTCAAATAGATACAATATTTACAGGTAGCTTAAACTCAACTTCCAAAATATAATTAAAAATCTAGTTACAAGGGACACCAATAAAACCGTATTTTAAATCTTATACATACAAAACTAACTAAAGTGAACACCATCCCCACAGTGGACGAGACGGGCAAGCGTATCCGCACGAATGCGGACCACGGGCCCGTAAAGGACTACGACAGCTACGTGTTCGATATATACAGCAAGTACGTGCCGCAGCCCGTCGAGATACGCACATGCTCTGTCTACGACAAGTACGACATACTCGAAGAGATTGGTGAGTGTGCACATACATACATACATACATACACATATACATATACACATACCTATACTTTTGTTTAGGGGTTTGTTACAATCTTGTGAATTCCTTAGGCACTTTATACATTATACGGGTGGGGTTGCAAGTGTAATACGCTATGACTAAATATGCGACTGTTTCATGTAGATTTTGTAATCTGTTTTAAATACTAATAAAAAGGATTAAGATTCAATTTAAGATTGTTGGTTTATACGAGTATGATTCTAGTACAGTGATAGTGGGGTGGTAAGAGGGTGGGGATAACAGGTTTCTCAAAAAGATCAAAATTACATAAAAATCTGCTCAGCGGTTGGCGCCTGAATTAAATTAATTAACTAATTAACTGACAGACAGACAGACAGAGTTACTTTCACATTTACAATATTGCTACGAATGCTTTCCCTTGTGTAATTTTTTTATATTTATAAATTGACTATCGTGACGATTTTTTTTTGTTTTTACTTAATCCTTTTTACTAATTTAGACAGGTTATTTTCACATTACACATTTACAATTCACACTACACATTATTTTCCCAATAAAGTATAATCCAATTCTATATTCAAATTTTTACTGTTTATTTTAAATTATTATAATTTTAATAAATTCCAATTAAATTTTACAGACATCCTAATTACACTGTGTCATTGACATAAAATAGGTTTTATTATAATACAATTGAAAATAATGAAATAATTTTTACATTCTAATTCTAACACTTTTGTTGAGTGGTAGACTAGAATAATATTTTAATATAAATAAAAAAAAATGCATACTGTCTTTAGTGATTGATTATGAAAAATATTTTTTATAATACACTAATAGATGATTATAGAATATTAATACTTAAGAATATTGTTAGGAAAAAGTGATTATAATTATTATAGTGATGACTAGCGACTCACCCTGAGATGAGATATTTTCTCGCAGTAAAAAGTATCCTAAATGTTGACCGGATAACCAGCTATCATCATACTAAATTTCATCAAAATCTGTCCAGTGGTTTTCTCGTGATGCGTTCCCAGACAGACAGACAGACAAAAATTCTAAAAACTATAAATTCGGCCTCTGTATTTATAATAATGTCTATTTCAATAAGATTTTCCAAAAAATATTTATTGTATAGATTTGATAGTATAGATTTTATAATTTTCTATTTCATAATCTTTTTTTTTCAAAAATAATTAAAATTTTATCTCAAATATACACTTTACATGCTACATTCAGGATTCAAAAGATTTAGATAAAAGGTAAGTGTAATATTAATAGTAAATTAATAAAAATGGCATTTCAAAACGTCAGGATTAGAATTTAGGTAGCACAATAAAAAAATATAATAACGTAGAGAATATAAATATAACGTAGAATTATAATATTAGGGAAAAAACCTGCATTTTAAACAGATAAAATATATAAATAAGACACAAGCATGAAATTTAAAGCGTAGAAACTAAAATTAACTCACGAAGTTGCTTGTGACAATAGATGTTAACACTCACTAACAAATTAGATCGATTTTGAGCCTTAAGATTAAAGCTATTGAGTTCATATTATATGAAACTATAGAGTGTATCAATTTATTTACTAATAAAAAACCACAGAAAGTAGTATGATATAGCCCTTATTTAGCCGAATTTTTATTTTACGTAAAACTTCATTTCGAAGATAAATAATTTAACGTGCTTTTAGTGCCTAACTCCAACGTAGACTCTTACCCACACTCTATAGCGTATATGAACTCAATGATAAAAAATGTCGAATTTCGCAGGTGACTTCGTGAGAGCTTCTTCTAAACGGAAACCCCTTGGAGGTCTGTGTGTGAATAGATCGATGTAGTGCATCTCTGTCTGTCTGCATCTCTCTCTCACACGCATACTATATATGATATTACGTTTATTTTATACTATATTACACGCTTAGGCACGTTCAAACACAGATTAAAATAAAATAAACTTAAAAGATATTAACAGGTTTTCAACGTAGATAAAATATGAGTTTTCGACTTACATTATTGAAAGCGCTATGAAATAAATCATTAATAAATAATTTCGTTTGCTATAAAATGTTAAAATTTTATATGTACAATTTATGTATCGCATTGTTATATTCTGAATATTATATTATTTATATTTGAGTATTTTATGGTATAATAATTATTGCTTATTTATTCTTTTGTATCCGAAGTTAATGCACGGTGTGAGCTTTTTAATATATTATTTAAATATTTATTATATTATATTATTTTATTCAATATAAAATATATGTAGGTAATTCAAATAATTAAAATTAAAAGCATATATCTCAGAAACAATATTTTTTTCTATGTAAAGTCTAAAATGAAATGAATATAATATTTTAAATTGAAACTATAGGTTATATAATATATTTATCATCAATACAGTGTGCACAGTAACAAAATAACTTAGACTCTTCAAAAATGACATAGAATTGTTTAGCAATTACTATTAATAAAGATATAAAATAACCATTGATATATAAAAACGTAGATACACATTTCCTAACAAATATCTCTTAAAAAGTGGCGTCGACGTGACCTTAACATCAAACCAAAGAATAAAATTCTAAAATCGAAAGGTCTATACTGTGCTTGCCGAATGAACCAAGCACTGAGATTTTGCGCTTCCACGTGATTAGTTGCAGATAATACTCTTAGGCAGCCATCACAATACAAGTCATAATTAGTCCGTCGTTGCATTTCGTACCGTTCAGACTTCTCTCCTGTGGTCAACTAATTTATTATCAATGTAGGATATGACAGTGATACTTCGGAAAGCGAAAATTAATAAATGTATACTAATATTTAAGAATACACTTACTTTTACTTTAATGTTGATTTTATTTTATTACAAACTATTAATAATTCCGCACTAAAGCATTAGCAATATGAACGAGCCCTATGATTTCAAACCTGTTGCAAGCGTTAGTGGGCGGAGCTAGACAGTTTTCTGTCCTTATCAGTTTGTATGCTAATGTGGGATAGAAAGCGCTTTGCATGGTTCACTCCGTGAACAGAGTATAATTGTCTAAATACAAATTCGAACTTACGCACACCACATCAAGTACTTTTATAAACAAAACAACGTTTTAATTTAGTCATAAAAGCAATGAACAAGAGATTTGAAAAAAGTGTGCACTTCTTTTTGAGGACACTTTTGAGGCGCTAATTGTGTATCTTGAGTTTTTGTATATCAATGAGAATAACACTCTATATAAAAAAATAAACTATATAAATCCATATGCATGAGGTATATATAACTGTTGTAGGTACAGGCGCGTTCGGTGTGGTCCACCGTTGCAGAGAGCGCGCCACCGGCAACTACTTCGCCGCCAAGTTCATACCCGTCGCCGGTGCGATGGAGAAGGAGCTAATAAAGAAAGAGATAGACATAATGAACCAGCTACACCATCGCAAGCTGATCAATCTGCACGATGCGTTTGAAGATGACGATGAAATGGTTTTGATATTCGAGTTGTGAGTATATTTTCTTTTTATCGATTTTGATGGGAACTTATGGGATTATACGCCATAAGATTTTTAAAGTAGATAATTTGATATTTTTTTTATTGAAATTCTGAAACGTTATATAATTTTGACGTAGCAAATTTACTTCAAATCATTCTTATATTATTGGGTTTATATGTAAAGATAATGTTATTTCCTGTAAATGGCTTTATAGAAGATATCACTCCTTGGGGATGACGTGATCGACTCTGGGTTCCTATAATTTATAATGTTTATTAAAAATAATAAAAAGGAAATTTTGCTCCGATTAGTTTCTTTCGCCGCTTTTTCTTTCTAAAAAATTGTAATAATTCAATGCTAAATAAGAATATTTGAACAAATATTAAAACTAAATAAAACACTAATACTCGGTTACAGCCTGTCCGGCGGCGAGCTGTTCGAGCGCATCACGGAGCCGGGCTACAACATGAGCGAGGCGGAGGCGGCGCACTATATGCGACAGGTGTGCGAGGGCGTGCGACACATGCACGAGCAGAACATCATACACCTCGACCTGAAGCCCGAGAACGTCATGTGTACCACCAGGACTGGCACTGATGTTAAGGTATGTGGTATGGAAGTTAGGCCATGGGGTCCAGTCCCATTGAGGCTAGCCATCTGCGCAGGAGATATTATAGTGCACAAGTGAACGCGCAGACACAACGCGAACTCGACGACTACTCGAACCAATGAGAGTTTAAGCTCAGGACTGACGGCTTTACTTATTCTCCGAGAAATGAGTTTACTATTACATGCCATGTGGTCTAATGGCTAGCATATATTGTCTGATCCGAAGGTTGTGAGCTTGGACCGGGTCGGGTTAAGTGTAGTCATTGGGTTTTCCTCACTTTTAAATTTATTTTATATGAAAGTCAGAAGAATAGCAATAGGATTGAAAAACTGTTTGAAATTGGCTGCCATTACCGAAATCGGTCAAGAGGCTATGTTATAGAGATATGTTCGTTCTTTGGCCCTTTTTTTTTGTTTATTTTGTGTATTTAAAAAATCTTTATGTATGGGTTAAAGATATAATTATCTAAAATAATTTTAAAGTCCTTTGTCTTACTTTTTTTTAGGTAAAAGTAGTTATGTTAAATAATAGACTAATTTATTTAACGCCACGACTAAAAATATAAGGTTATAGTTGATCTGCCTTTTAAAGGCATAGATTTATTCTATGAAAGAACGGTTCTCGCTGTTTAGTTTTGGAGTCAATTTTTGCTATTGTCCAAAACAATATATTTGTTTGCTGGTACATTAATTACTTAATAATTAATTAAATTTTTATTTCCAGATCATAGATTTCGGTTTGGCCACAAAGTTAGATCCCAATGAAGTGGTGAAGATATCGACGGGAACCGCAGAATTCGCTGCGCCGGAAATAGTTGAGCGTGAACCTGTCGGCTTCTACACGGACATGTGGGCCGTGGGCGTGCTCGCTTACGTGCTGTGAGTATATCCTGCTATTATATGTTGTCATTCGAAAACGTGCTAGATTCTCTCAGATATGTAGGTTTCCTCACGATGTTTTCCTTCATTGTAAGACATGTGGTAATAATGTTGGAAATAATTTGCACATGACAATATCAGAGGTGCGAGATCCGAGCTTTGAACCCGCTTCACTCGGTTTCTGGGCTACCATTGCCTAAAATATAAAATAATAGAATATATATTAAAAAAAACCTGTAATGGTAAGTGAAATTATGTCTTATATGGAGTATCTACAATAATTTCATTATTAACTCAAATTATAATCTAAGCGTTCCACACTACAGCATACCCCTAAAAGTTAGAACAAAATATAATTCTAATTATTGTTTTTCTTCATACTGCATTTAACATTCTTTTTCTTAATCAATCCTTATTAACTATAATAATTACTTGAATAATTACAGTAGGTACACAATGATTATACCAAATTTTATATAAAGATATACATATAGTTTTTGAGAATTCTTGCATTAAATACATATATATTGTTTTTTTTATTTACGTATTTTGTATATTTGACATAATATATACGTACAGTATTAATATTTTTATTTTATTATAAACATAATATAAAAGGAAAAGACAAACAAATATAAAACTTAATTCTCGTTACCAGGCTATCCGGTCTATCACCATTCGCCGGTAATAACGACATAGAAACATTGAAGAACGTGAAGGCTTGCGACTGGGAGTTCGACGAGGAGGCCTTCCAGCACGTGTCTGACGATGCTAAGGACTTCATCAGGAGATTGCTGGTTAAGAATAAGGAGTAAGTACGGTTTTTATTTTAAACTAAGCGAAAAAATATGAACCCAAAGACTATCTTTTCATATCGCGGATTCATATTAATTTTTGGTTCCCGACGTTTCGAATGCTTTACAGCAATCATGGTCACGGGAGAAACTAAGGTTATAGACGCCTCAAAGGCGTTTATACTTGATACAGACAGTGCCTACCCACTTTTTAAAATATTCAATTTTGTCTTGTTAAACTCATTTATAAATAAACTAAGCTACTATTACACAATACATCCATCCAATCTATTACAAAATAACCATCCCAAATTACATGAGCAAATGAAATAACAATAGAATGAAATGAGATAACAAGAGCTGTCCCACAGGAAGCGCCTGACGGCGCACGAGTGCCTCGCGCACCGCTGGCTGGCGGGCGACGCCACGGCCGCGCGCACCGCCACCATACAGGCGCGCCGCTACGAGCAGATGAGGAACCGCCTACGGGAGAGATACGAGGTGAGACACCCTTATTCGTCTAACATTATGGTATTTTCAGTGATATTTTTTTTCTAGATAACTTATTTATTTCTAGATTACTAAAATATTATAACCTAATATTATTACGCTCTAGCCAACAAGGCTAAGAAGTAATTTAACTTTAACGTAGTTTTATAAAATAATATATGTAAGAATGTGTCCAATGGCACTTTTCTTATAGTCTCTAGTTAAGGGGACGACACTTTGTTCTTGTGTTCTATATTGGTAGCACTATAATATTATTACTTTCACTACATTACACTTTTATTTAATACTACACTAACTCGAAAGGTTTAGTTCTTTTGAGCCTTCTCACCATGTCCGTGTTTAATGATAATAATAATAATAAATATGTTGGGACATTAACATACAGCACCATCTAGTTCCATGGTAAGCTACGAGGCTTGTGTTATGGACTCCAGATAGTTGATACACTACACATATGTAACTTTAAATACATACATATTATAAATAATATAAACAGCCATGAAATGGAGTACAAATATTCGTGCTCGCCACACAAATGAATGTCCCTAGCTGAATTCGAACCCGCAACCGCTGGCACAGCAAGTAAGATCATTACAAACTGAGCCAAACGTGTCGTCAGTTGTGTTTTTTCCGGACTTGTTAATAGAAAGAAGATCATAAAAGATATTGAGTTAAATAGTTATATTTTAAATGTGAAATATTCGCGTTAATTTAACAAAGGTTGGTGAATTTCGCATGCCTTCTGGAAGTTTGGTTCTATGAAACATTCAAACTTCTCTCACGACGTCTTATTTCTCCATGCACATGGAATGAAAAACAATTTTTAAAATTGTATTTTAGACGTTCATTTGTTTTCAATAAATTTGTCAGTTTTCTGTTTTATAACTTATAAGATAAGATAATTAATAATATAATTTATGGTAATATTTTGGATCAAATATTATAGAGTTACAAATTGTACAGCCTGATAATAAATAAATAAAATATATATTTTAAATATTACTTTTATTGGCACATGGATAATGGGCAAATAGTAAATATTTGTTGTGATCACAGAACTGGTCGTCATTCGTGCTGCCTATCGGCCGGCTCAGCGAGTACAGTTCCCTGCGCAAGCTGCTTGTAGAGAAATGGAAGATCTACGACGGACAATTCGGTGAGTTTCGTTATTTAATTTTTATTATATTAGCACAATATCTTATATTGAGCTCTAAGAAGCTTTTGAAATTCATCTGAACCGTATAGAAATGATTTTTATTGATGTTTAGATTTTTAGTGGTCCTTATGAAAATCTGCCTCAATGTTAATTTTTAAGAACCACAAAAGTGTTAATAATAAGGTTTTTACCTCAAAGATGATCTGTCAGGTTATCTAACTTGAAATATAAATCAATTTTCACTTTCAAACCAATCAAAAATTACCAAAAAAAAAGTACTTTTAAATATTTTTTTTGGTCGCATTGATATATAAAACCATAGATGCACAGTTTCGTAAGTGTCGTTATGTAAAATCAAAGAGCACAACCCCAATAATCGTAAGTCCTGCTTTTACTAACACAAATTCGAACTTACGCGCGTGAAAGCCTGAAAATGACAGAAAATGAAAGAAATGCCACGTGTTTGAAGTCTTCCGAATTTTTAATTATGCGCTCTTTTTTGAGGACACTTTTGAGACGCCGACTGCGTATCTTGAGTTTTGTACATTTTGTTTTGTATGTCAATGTAAAACCCAAGTACGGTAATAGACTCATTACGTTCAGTTAAAAAATTGTAATAATTTAATGCTAAATAAAATATTTTAAATTTGATATGAATATGTACCCAGACCGCCGCCAAGCCGCGCCTAGATTCGTGATCAGGCCGCAGTCCGCGTTCTGCTACGAGGGTCAGTCCGTGAAGCTGTACTGCCGCATCATCGCCGTGGCCGCGCCCACCGTCACCTGGTCGCACAACAACCGCGAGCTGCGCCAGTCCGTCAAGTACATGAAGAGGTCAGGAATATATCTTTTCAGGGTTCTGTACTTCGAAAAGGGAAATAGGAACATTCATAAGTTCGATTCGTTCTGTCGGTCTGTCTATCAAAACAGTTTTTCTCAGGAACGCGTGGATGTTTCAAGTTCAAATTAATATAAAATATTCAGCTCCGCAATCCCTTGGAGATTTGAAAAATTCAAATTCCTAAGTCAACGCAATCAAAACATACAGCCGCACATATTTTGCAATCATTACTATTTCATTATTTTAGAATATTTCCCGTTGACCTAGAAGCATGAAATTTGGCAAGAATCAGTGTCTTTTAGCACAAGTAAAGGGAAAAGTCCGAAAACTTTCTCTCTACCTAACTCTCTATTACTTTTCAAATTTTTGGGTCAATTTTTACATACAGAGATTGGATTCCTCGTTTATATTCTTTTTGATCTATAACTAATTATGGCTGATGTTAAAAATAATAATCCCAAACAGATACGCTGGAGATGACTATTACTTCATAATCAACCGCGCGCGGCTCGAGGACCGCGGGGAGTACATCATCCGGGCGGAGAACCACTACGGCTTCAGGGAGGAGGTCGTGTTTCTGAACGTACAACGTGAGTGCTTACCGATTTGTATAGATGAGGTGTTGCTATTATGTATGTACATATGTATGTTTTCAACCTCTTTTAATGTCCAGTTAGGCACAGGCTTTCAATGGGAAGGGAATCAGGCCATAGTCCACCACACTGGCCAAGTGCGGATTGGCGAACATTTTTTGTGTACAATGTGCATATCTTGTGTGGGAAATAAAGTATTTATCTGTCTATCTATCTACGTCCATCATCTGTAATTCATGTGTTTTTTTCATTACTTTCAGCGGCATAATCTTGGGAAAGAACTGATCCTCAGTAAAAGCTCGTAACACTATATAAATCTTTAATTACTAATCCATCTTCCCTATTATAAATTAAATTAGATTCATTTCAAAGACAATCTATCATCCCGTTTAAAATGCCAGTGAATAAATATGCCAGTTCAAAAGGTTGGTATTTGTTGCTAACATCGCCACATTTATCTAAATCTGACTTAGTATTTATACGTGCGATGAGAGATTAATTCTAAACATGTTTTATTTTAATATGAATATTTTATAATGCCTCCAGTCATTATAATATGTAAAACTTGACATAAAACTGGTCACGCTTTCAGATTGAAATAGATTGGGCTCATTGTGTTGAATTTTTTTGACTGATTTTAGATCAATTTTAAATGACTATTTTTTAGCAATGAGTAGGTAAGCTTTTATCTGTTGTTATTTGTAATACCTTATAAACCGTCTTCCGTTTACTCAAACAATAATCCACTTAAATGTATATATGTAATTATACTCTGGTTTGTCTGGCGATGTATGAAATGATTTCAGTTAGTTAATATTAAAACACTTTAAGAAAGTCATAACAAAAAAAAACCACTATAAAATCAGTTAAACTAGATGCCGTAATGCTATTTGCAACACTCAGTAATAACGCATGTCTAATACAAACTACCAATGCAATTAATCGCAATGTGTCCGTAACATCTGACTCAACAAACAAAAAGATCTAACTGGGTCACGTTTATTCTTGAGCCTAGGTTCAATGCTCCGATTGTATAGATTTAATTAAATCATGTTCTACGTGATGAGTGATTTACAATTTCGCATTTAGCTACAGTCGTATTTACCAATATAGATTGTCAGATTAATAGGTCTAGATTTTTTATCGGTTTATTTATTAATATATTTTAATGTAAAAAAACTTGGTTTAGAATGTACTCCTAAAGCGCTTACAGCGTGTTTAAAATTATATTATTATAGGTATAAATAAATATGAAGATTTTTTCGTTTTCAAAGTAAAATTAAGATTTAGAAAAAAACTCCATTGGGAGATGAAAATTATCATGTTTAGTAGAAAATAGTGGAAGTCAATGCAAAAACTGCCGAGCTTTAGATTTTTTCTACGTTTCTTGACTTTATCGTATATCCATTATTTCCCAAAAAAAATTGCTCTATTGTATTTATTTTCTAATAGATTACTTTGTTACACGTTGACCTAAAACAACAAAACCTAGAGTATCCAAGTATTTATATAATTGATGACCATTTCCAGCGGTACCCAAAGTGCAGCGCACGCCGGTGTCGGAGGCGCCGCGCCGGCGCGAGGCGCTGCCCTACACGTTCTGGCAGGAGACCAGCGAGACGGCGCCGTCCTTCACGTTCCAGCTGCGGCCGCGCGTCATGCAGGCGCGGGACACCTGCAAGCTGCTGTGCTGCCTCAGCGGCAAGCCCACGCCCACCGTCAAATGGTTAGTGCTGTCGCTTTCTATCTTTGTGGTGTTGAATGAGATCGCAATATATCCGTGTACGTTTTTTGATATAATGCTTCCATGATCTAAATATTTGTATTGTGAAAATAGTATTTATTCATAGTTTGAATAATAAAACTTATGTTAAAATAACAAAATATAGGTAATATGTTTTTTTCTTAAATACTAAATGATTACGTTCTTATTTCATTTTATGTTGAATGAAATAAACATTTCCTTCAACAGCTCATGATTTGGAAAACAGTTGTAGATGTGCGAAACACCCCTTCGATCAAACAGAGCGTAAAGGACACTACTCTTGACCTGTCATCGGTTGATAGTCATCCTATAGGAATTTGAGAGTGGATGGAAAATTAAAAATGTGAATTTTAACGTCTCCTGAATAAAATACTAGTTCTCCATGAGATTTTATTATTTATATCCCTCCACCAGGTACAAGGACAAGCGTGAGCTATCTAAATACGATTACGCGATGACGCACTCTGACGGCGTGGTGACGATGGAGATCATCGACTGCCGGCCCGAGGACAGCGGCAAGTACTCGTGCGTTGCCACCAACGTGCACGGCACGGACGAGACCTCGTGCGTTGTTATTGTTGAAGGTATGCTATTTGTTTGCGTTGTTGTTTGGGATATATGTTTTTGACGACACGTTTGGCTCAGTATGTGACCTACGTGAGTACTTGCTGCCAGCTGCTTGCCAGCGGTCGCGGGTTCGAGTCCCGCTGGCGGCATTCATTTGTGTGATGAGCACGAATGTTTGTACTCCAGTCATGGGTGTCTATATTTATAATATGTATTTATTTAAAGTTATATATGTGTGTAATATATCAACTATCTGATATCCATAACACAAGTCCCAAGTTAATGTCCCAACATTAATACTTTTAAGTCAAATATATTAACGAGAAAGTGTAACTTTAAAGGTCATTATATTTTTCACCACATTACTAAATATTTGGCATTCAATTCAAAACTGTTTCAGGTTTTAGGGTTGTATCTGCTTTTGACACGTGAATCTCATTCTAAGTATTACTTCGTTTAATTTAGGACATGATTTGTTTTGTTTATCGGTTTACGCTTTGGGTAACAAGCATCTAAGCAATTATAATATAATAATAATAGTTAATAATAATTTATTTATTATAACACAACAACAATAAAAACTATAAATTAGATAACAATATACATTTACATTTGAAATAAAAATGATGACCGTGACCTTTAATGTAATTGCAAGACCATTTTTATTTACCAAGTATCGATAATAATGTCTATTTTTATTACATAATATACATATGTTTTTTTGAAGGTATACTTCTTTTGTGACGTTTGGAAAAAAATATGAGAGTAAAATTATCACGATGCGCGCGCACACCGACAGCTAAAGAGCGACATTGCTTCTTCACGCACAAGTTTTTTTTTCATTTATTAATCACAATATATGTACATTACAGGTGAGGTAGTGAGTGAGGAACAAGCCGCACTCGCACATAACTTACTCTACTCCGGCGAGAGACGATACATCGAGAAGCCACTGAAACCTGCGCCTACGCCTATCATTACCAAAACAAAGGTACATATAATTTCATTTAATTTTGTTTCATATTTTGTTAATATATTATATATTTTGTACAAAAATAAGGTTATATTTTTATTAGTGAAGAGTATATAACACAATATATTTATAACACAGTAATATCACATTATAAATATCCACTCAATAGGCGATCACTCATTGATTTTAATGCAATCAAATGCAAGCATCATCTCTAAAACCGTTTCCCGACTCTCATATAATATAGTCGGGTGCACTTTACACACATCTCTTCCCGTACGCCGCTGCGAAGCTTAGACGCCTTCGTAAGAAAACCATGGAGTAGCAGACTGTGTTAATATAGATCTAAAATGAAAAAAAAGGAATTTTAACACTCATTTACTTATATCACTTCTACATTTTAGGTGACAATCGACCCACCCTCAAAATCGTCAGGTCCCAGACCGAAGTACTCGCCACAAACCTCAATAGAGCCCGGCAAGAAGAAGTACGGCGCTAAACTAGACTCTGACGCGGCGTCTAGATCTCGAAGTGCAACAAAGGAATTAGTATGTAAGTATAATAACATGTGTAAAACGGAAGATTAGTGGGTTCGTGTTACAGTTGTTTAGTTTGACAGGTATTTTGACTTTTAATTTTATAGAAATTTTCTATGAAGCGCTATATATTATGTATGTAATACATACATAATATATTACACATACATAATACATGTATATGTGATGAATATTATAAATATTGTTATTTATAATTTTTTTTTGGAAAAGAGCAACTGTTGAATTTCTGGTCGGTTTTTCTCAGCGGAATAGTTTTTCAGCTGTTTTTCAAGAATTGACAGTAATAACTAACTGTGTAAGTAACGATTCATACGTAATCGTAAAAGATTAAATTATTATAAAAACTTTACAAACAAAATAAAATATTATAAAGACTACAAATTTTATTAATTACGTAAAAAGTATATTAGCTTAAAAGATTTATATTATTCCTTTACGCCGAAGCGGTTGGACTGGATTAATTTAAGAATGGATATTGGATGAAATTTAACACAGAGATAGGCTATCAAGAAATACTAAGTTCATATATAAATAAATAAACGAATCTCTCTCCACAGTACCAGCGTCAGACTCATCAATGTGCGCGCCGTCGTTCGCACGCGCACTACCGGACGCGTTGGCGGCACGCGACGGCGCGCCGCTGCTGCTGTCGTGTGCAGTGCGCGGGGACCCCGACCCTCGCGTCGAGTGGTACAAGGACGGCAAGCCGCTGCACTCGTCCGATGTAAGCTTCCTACTTGCTCATGATGTCCTGGTACTTGGTCTAGTGGCCGCTTATGGTGTTCTGGTATGGTGTCGAGTCACAAGATCTAAATACTAGTCTAGATCGACAGTAAGAATTAAATCGCTAAACATCTATTACAGGACATCTTAGTAATGCTTTTTGATAATTCGATTATCTTTATTTGATTATCAATTCCGGAGTAAAAACTATCCTATGCCCTTCCCAAGGTCTTGCTCGAACTATCTTCTTACCAAATTCCATCTGAATCGGTTCAGTAGTTACAGAGATTACCTCCTCCTACAAACAAACTTACAAACTTTACCTATTTATGATAGTAAGAACGACAGTTAAATATAGTACTAAATAATATCTTTATTATTTACAATAAAATGTTGTTTTTATAGGTCGTGGATCTAAAATACAAAAATGGCGTAGCATCGCTAGCCATCAACGAAGTGTTCCCCGAGGACGAGGGCGTGTACTCGCTCAAGGCCATCAACAGCCAGGGCGAGGTCGAGACCAAGTGCAATGTCTCTGTTAGAGGTAAGAACATTTTAAATACTAGTCGCCACCCCCGGCGCCGTTTGCGTAGTTGGATAAAATGTAGCCTATATGTTTTATCTAGGATATAAGGTATATTTGGAATTTTATAGAAATCGATTGAGCCGTCACAATGTGAAAAATGTAACAAAAGCACACATACAATATTTCACATTACACATAGTAATTATGATCGACAAATAAATGTTCTCCTAATAGAAAAACTATTTCTTTTTTATTTAGTTTTATATGTATTTTAATGCCGAATGATAATTAAAAATTAAATAAAAAAATTGTCCAAAATTTTTTTTTTGGGGTGGACCACCCTTATTACTTAGAGGTATGAAAAATAGTTTACGTCCTATTCTCAGACCTACTGAATATACACACAAAATTTTATAAGATCCGGTCAAGCCGTTTCCGATGAGTTTTGTTACAAACACTGTGACACGAGAATCTTTATTAATTTATTTATGTACCATAAAGTATGTTATACGAAATAAAGTATAAAATTTTGACAAAGGATAATTTATCTCTTTAAGAGATATATATATTAGAGTAAAATAAAATTATTTATTAATGGTGATAAAATTATTACTTACCTATCTAATAATGTAAATGTGTATGTCATGAATATAATATAACAAATGTGTTAGTTCTTCTATTTGACTTAAATTAGCATTATTTTTAATATTAGCACTTTTTCAAAATTGACTTTTATTTTAAATAACACGAATTTGTTTTCATTAGCGGAAGGTGCTGCAGTGGTATCACAGAAGAGCGACAAGCCGCCCAGGATCGTGGACCACGCCAAGTCACAGATTGTGGCCGACGGAGAGCCTGTCACGTTGTCTTGCAGGTTGGCGTTCTATCACACTCTTACTGTATATATTAGAGCCCTGGGGCTACGATAGGCCTTCGTTGAAATTATATTTATTTAGCTATAGTTTTAAAATCACGCTAATTGTCTCATTGTCAATCAGTTAGACTCCGCTCTGTCTTTGCCGACTTCTATGAAATTTATACTTTTAAAAAAATACTACTTTAGATCAACTGTTAGAATGGGGCTCGTCAAAACGAATCAAAAGAGCCCCAACTCGGAGATCTTACTAGTCGGCCAAGAGTCCAACCCATAAAACCCATTAAAATTTTATATAAAACAATAATAATGAAAAATCAATAAAATTAGTTTAACTATGGCAAAGATATCAACTTACACTAAATTGAGTGTTTCTTGGGTTTTTGAAGTCAGTAAATTCATTATGTATGTATATCAAATATATAATATAAAATTATGTATTTATGTAGAATCGCGAACGCGGAACGCTTCGACGTGGTGTGGCTGCACAACAACAAGGAGATCAAACCGTCCAAGGACTTCCAGTACTCGAGCGAGGCCAACATCCACAAGCTACACATCGCCGAGATATTTCCCGAGGACGCCGGTAAGGGATCTGGAATGTTTTAAAACCATCTAAAACTAATATTTGGATTTTTTTTCATCTCTTTGGTTAGATCTTTTTTTTTATATTTAGGTATATTTGTACGTTCTTACAAAAAAAAAAAAAATTTCGCTACTTTAGATAGTAATGGGTTTGATGCACGTAAAGTAAATAATTTTGGAGGTCATAAAGTCATAGTATATTTATTAAACTCTTGATGGTGAATGAGACGAAACGTTTAGTCTTTAAATATGAGGATGATGACTCGTCTTTTCATATTTTGCATTAGTTTTTGTTTCCTACTTTCCGCCATTATAAAGGACACTGCATTAAAGAAAATACACTAATACGAAGTATTACCTGAAAATATTCCGGCTCATAACCATCAACCATCTTTCACTAATCAACGAACAAACAATTCCATTTATATAATTATAATATAAGTAAAATATTAACTATTCTATATATTTCTATATCTTCCATTACCCTAAAAGTAGATATTATTATAATACATATGATAATATACAAAACTTCCAACCAGGCGTATACACATGCGAAGCGTTCAACGACCTAGGCGAGTCGTTCTCGTCGTGCACGCTGGCGGTGAGCGTGGCGGGCGAGACCCCCGCGCTGCAGTACCGCGCCTTCCCCGCCTCCGCCACCGTGGCCGCGGGCGAGCCGGCCGTGTTCACTGCTGACCTGGATAAGGTATACCCCCTGATAACCGCCTGATTACTCTCTAGTCTCCCGCGCCTCGGAAGAGCACGTAAAGTCGTCGTTCCTGCGCCTTAACTCTCACCGGTCGTGTCGAAGTATCGTCCCATAGGGCTTTGAGAGTAACAGGAATAGAGAGTGCACGTAGTGTCTGCGCGTACATCGACACACGCGATGCACTATAATATCTTCTGCGCATCTGGCTAGTCTCAATGAGATTGTCCGCCGTGGCATCATTATCCCTCTAGTAACGCCCTCCTCGAGTAAATATTCTCCTGATAACCTCCTCCTACCACTTTGTGTAGTACCTATTCCTCCATTGTTCGAACTGCCTTGAAACAACTTTCAGCATTAACTGCTGAGTTGTATAATAACTAATTACTATGATAAAGTTCTGATACCCTCTTCAGGTAAATAACCCCATGATAACTTCCTCCTACTACTTTGCTCGAACTGTCTCAAAAGAATCTGCTGTCTTTACTACTGAATTTAAGGTAATGCACCGACAACTTCCATTTGTCAAGCAATTATCCCCACGATGATCCTCTCCTCTGATAATTATCACCTCCTATACCATTGTCTAGTAACTAACTATTCCTTAACGGCTCGATTGCATCGTTAGTCTAGTCACTAGTGGCTAGCATATACGTAGATTTGAGTTCAAGTCCCAGATCAGGTCAAGTTATTATTATTATTTTTTTTAGAAATTGCAATATTTGCGTTATTTTACTCTTGTGCCTCTGAGAACGTTAAATTAACGTATCAAAATAGTAGAAAAGTATCGAATTAACATTCAATTTGACTTAAAGAATAAAAGAAAAAGAGAGAGAACATATATCGCTACACGCACTGCATTATTTGTGATTTTTAAATGTTGAATATTCATTTGAGTTTTTACGTCATAATACTTTTAAAGGGTTTAATTATTATTTAGAATTTGTGTAAATAGAAACATTCAAATAAAAATAGATTTTATGGAAAAAGTAGCTTATTTAAAAAAAAAAAACGAAAATTAATTCTTCTTCCAGCCACCACTCCAGCTCCAGTGGTTGAAGGACGGCAAGCCCATCGACGAGTCGTCGAACAGATACAAGTTCACAATGGAAGGCACGTCGGCATACCGCCTCGAGATCGTCGCCTGCAACGCGGACGACAACGGCCAGTACCTGGCCCGCGCAGTCAGCAGCAAAGGAGACACCCTAGCTGCTTTCTACCTAAATGTAGTCGATAATTAAACAAACAATATAATAAACAAAACATTAATACCACGACTGACCTATGAAACATAAAGTATGGGACCCGATATACAACCCTGCGACACACCATACTTTATATATCTGAGTTTTATTACTTTGCGAACTTTAATAACTGAAAACGATTTTTTTATACGATTCGGAGTTAATGTAAAGGAGTTTTTTTTATATATATATATATATAAATAATTATTTATTAATTTATTAAGTAATTAAGTGTTATACCCTATCGAAAGCTTACGAGAGGTCGCTACAGCAAGTTCTCTAGTCACTTATGCAATTTATCGATTGTTATTTATTTATATATATCTTATAACATTTACAGCTTCTGGATTAAAGCTTGGAATTAATGAATGTTGCTTAGGTGTCGGTTCGGCTTTTACATCTTTTGCCGCATCGCCCGTCCGCCACCACGAGCCTTGCGCCGAAAGATTGTCGAGCTGGTCGATGTCTAATATAATTTTTTGTATAATTTAACTGTATTATTTAATTGTAAATAATTTAATTTGTATCACGTGACCGCGTAATTTATAAATAAATATGTATACTTAAAAATTATAATTGTATTTTATTTTTCTTCAACCACACATTAAAAAAATAAAAGGAACGCAATACTTTTTTTAAATAGAGAATATGTAACTCCTACCACGGATATGGACTTGGTATATAACTATTAATCCTCATGTATACATATATTAACTTACTTTGTAAAATATGATAATATACAAACTATTCGCTTTATCCTCATTTAAAAATAGGTAGACATTTTGAATTGGGGATTTATAATGCAGATTTTTTAAGAGGAGAATGATATCTATAATTAATTATAAAGTCGCCCTTTAAATAATGACACTATAATAAACAAAGATTAAAATATTAAGTGTTTTTTTTAACTTATACTCACTGTACATGTAAATCGAGTTATTTTACACGTTGCGTATGAAATCCAGCCTAACTCTTATTTTTCTTCCCGAATCCGAGTATATCTAACTAGCAAACTAAAATTATTAGAAAAGTATTGAAATTTTTATGATGTTTCGTTTTGTCAAGGGCGAACCTTCCTTCGAGAAAAAGTAGGGCTTAGCTTAGTTTTCAATATTAAAGAAATATTCGGCACTTAAAATTTCAACCTACTGGAAATTTATAGTTAAACTAGCGACTCACCCTCGTTTCGTTCGTCCCTAGCTTGATTCTCCATACAAACTTTCATCCCTTTAAGGGATGATATCCGGGATAAAAAGTATCCTATGTCCTTCCCACGGTCTCAAACTATCTTCTTACCAAATTTCATCTAAATCGGTTCAGTAGATCCAGAGATTATCCCCTACAACTTCACAAACTAACAAACTTTACCTCTTCATAACATTAGTATAGATAAAGTAAAAAATGTTTGAAAGATACAGAAGTTAGGAATGCCAATTAATAGAGGCCTGAGACGCTTTATCAGTTATCACGACAAAAACGAAACTGGGTCCAGTTATGCAAAAAAACAGCCATGTGCGTAAAAGTACCAACAGAGTTATAAGCATTTTTCTGTCGATAGTTGCACTTGGGTTATGTTTTGTTTTTCTGGTTATTTTAAAATTGAACAATATTTATATAAGTATAGTTTATTTTTTTATCCTATCCAGTATTTTGAACTGTTGCTATTAAAGCAGATAATTACGTCTTAGACTTAGCTGTTTTATATAAAATAGCATATTTATTCATAAGATAATGTAACATAATTATTCATAAAAGTTTTCGAGGGGGACGGCGCGTACGCAGTCCCCACTACCAAAAATTACGCGTCCGAGTTATCCGCATTAGGGATAATCGCAGAGGTCAACCCAGCCGCAGTGCAATGGAAGGGCCTCGCTCTGGGGGAACCGCCTTCTTGATCACGGTGTCCCCTACGCCAGGTAAGTATGCTTTGCTATGCTCGAGCCGTCGGTACTCACTGTTCGCGAAAACATCTTGACAGCGCGATGCAGAAATTGCTTGAAATAGAGCAGTGCCATCTATCGGCACATCCGAGAAATAAAAAAATGGGTTCTATTTATCATCAGGCCGCTCTACATTTTTTCGAAGTACGCTAAAATTTAAAGAAGAGTCATTTCATCTCAACGTGCACTTATTTCTTATTTAATTAATCTCGCGTATACAGTCTGAGTATTCAAAGAGTCATTATTTGAAGTGAAGAAAATGAATAAACTAAAAAAGTAGTAAAAATTAAAGGATAATCTAGAGAAGTATAATCTCGACGATTAATTAATAATTATTAACACTTAAGTTTTAATTTCACGTAGTCACGATTTGAGTACTTTTATTATCCAAAGAAATTAAATAGAAATCAAAGAAATTAAGTGAGAATGTAGAGACTTAAGATGTACCACATAGCTGTCAAGGCATGTTATGGTATAAAATTGAGTCTCACACCAAACATTCAGTACGAAATTTTTATGAATTATATACAGGGTCATTTTATATTTACTGAAAACCTTTTAAGGAATATACTATTTACATCATAACAACAACATCTGTAACAAGAAAAAAATATATTTCTAAAATTTTTATTTTCATACAAAAATAAAAATATTTTTATTGCACCTTCTAAACGGTAAAGTTCTAGCATCTGGCCAAGTTTAAATGAGTAAGGGCCACTTCCTACACCCCTCCACACCTCCCCCCCTCCCCCTCCACCGGACACGCGCTTGTTTTGCTAATTGCTGGACTATTACCGTTTAGAAGGAGCAATAAAAATACTTTTATTTTTGTAAAATTTAAGAAATATTTTTTTTTTATTACAGATGTTGTCATGATGTAAACAGTATATTCACCGGAGTATGGAATAGAGAGTGCACTTGTGTCTGCGCGTACACTTGAGCACTATAATATCTCCTGCGCAGTTGGCTAATCTCAATAAGATTGGCCGCCGTAGCCGGAATCGACTAGGAGAACATCATCATCATCATCATTTTTGATAAAATACATGATGCAAAAATGCGGTAGCTGGTATGTAATCTGTTCGTATAACTTTAATACTTTGTAACGATTTAATACTGTATGATTACGTTTTTATATAATATAATTTTAACTTTTTTCGTAGGCAACGCCTACGAGTGTATTGTAGCAGGGAGTTTTCGTTTCATGTTCGTGCTAAGAGCTAAGATCATAAACTTATGTGTCATTTTTAGTAAGTTCGTAATAGTTAGTCTAAATATTTCTAGATGGCACTGTACGAAGCGAGTCACAGCTGTTATTTATTGGAACACTGCAATGTCAATGTTATTTTTATGTAATATAGTACTGAGTTATTGTATTTTATAATTTTATTTCAAAATAAAGAAAAAATATAATTTAAGTTCAGATGAATTTCTGTTGCCAAATTTCAGGACCCAAAATTATATTTCTAAAGTTGTCATAGATTTTTGACGTTTAGCATAAAATTGTACCAATTTAAAGCTGAATGAATAATTATGAGTTTGAATCGAAAAACAGTTTACAATTAATATGATAAATATAAAACTAAGAATAATATATTGCTATATTCAAAAATATTTTTCAGATTAATATAAAGTTATATTATTTCATGTACAGTATTGTGTATATAAAAGACCACGCGGACGAGACTTTTACAATATTACTGTTTACTTAATATATTTATTTTTGCTATATTTTCTCTTTCTTAATATTAACTTGTGATTGCTTGTAGAGGTTTATGTGAACTAATTATTATAGTTATTTTAATTTGTAATTACTGATACAAGTAAGATACATTTGTTGGCGAAAAAAAATAGGCATATTATTAAAATTTTACTCTTTATTTAACTCTACATCTCTATATCCATATTTATAACCATTCCCAAATGATGCTGGTAAGATTAATAAAAAAAAAGATGAACAATCTTATCGGCACTAGTTGAAACATAATTTAAATTGGTGGATCCTTATAGCAGACCATCCTTTGTAGTTAGTTCTGCTACATATGTCTAGGCGGCGATTGTATAGTTTGATTGATAACTTTTAGTTTGTTACTTTATGCCTTATAGTATAAAAGTTAATTATATTTATTATAATAGTTTTTTACTCTACAAATATTATGTAATGTTTGGCGAAGATTAGATTTATTACATGGAATGGAAATTTTATTTTAATGCGCCTTTATGTTCGATACATAGGTCATAGGCCAATTTTACAATATTATAAATATGTACACATTTATCATAGACATATAAGTTTCCGAGGGGGACGGCGCGTACGCAGTCCCCACTACCAAAAATTACGCGTCCGAGTTATCCGCATTAGGGATAATCGCAGAGGTCAACCCAGCCGCAGTGCAATGGAAGGGCCTCGCTCTGGGGGAACCGCCTTCTTGATCACGGTGTCCCCTACGCCAGGTAAGTATGCTTTGCTATGCTCGAGCCGTCGGTAGTCATTATTCGCGAGAACATCTTGCCAGCGCGATGCAGGAATCGCTTTGAACAGAACAGCGCCATCTATCAGTACATCCCTAAAACAAACAAGTTCGTACAAAGAAAGAACTCTACATATTTTCTATTTCGTAATAAATGTCATAATAGTTACTTAACAAAGGAAACTTATATTTTAATGATATCCTTGTTAATAATTGTAATATGGAAAACAAACTTTAATATCATGTAGAGCAGTAGTAAGCTTTTATATAATGTAGTAATAATTTTTAGTACCTACATAAAATTTGGCTTTCTTATTTATTTTTGTATAATCGCCTAATATAGATAATTACTGCATATTTTTTGTAATCAATAATGTTATAGACAAAGATATTTAGACTAAAAAACAATAGAAACTCTGCCATAAAACCGGCTGTTGTAAAGTTATTAAGAGTAGATAGAGTAAGACCAAAATTACAAAGACTAATAAAATAAACGAAATGGTTCTAAAGATCTTTAGTATGGTCTAATATACCTGAGATAAGCTCCGTTATTTTAATTACTTCAACGTAATGATATTCATGAAACATGAGTTCAAGTATTATAAGATTGATTAAACTTTAGATTAAACAAAACGCTATACTAAATTTGCTAAAATTAAAGCATAAATTATTATATCAGGCACTTATTAATTTTTAACGAACCTCCAAAAAAAAAGAAGGTATTATGTCCATCTATATTTTTGCAAATTAGAAATATATTTTGGTAACAGATCGATCGAAAAATTATTTATGTACATGAAAAAATTAAATTAAAGGATTAATGACGAGCATCGCCGCGGGGCAGACGCAGTTAACAGTATCAAACAATCCACATGGACGTGACTTAGCACTAAGTTATATTCAAACACTTATTTTAAAATATGAAATCCTCAAGAACGAGTTTAGGTTTTTATTACTTTTTTCAAATCGACGCTGAGTGAAATGACGCGGCAGATTGTATTTTATTTATGTAGAGTCGAATGTGTGGCTCTTGTTTCGTCTAGATCTATAATTATAATCGTTTAGTCGAAGAATACGAGTAAATCTATAGAATAAGATTTTACGGATGACTATTAATGGTTATTTACCGTCAGAAATTTATAAGTGTTCATATATTTTAATATAATATTTTATTGTTATTTTGCTTTGCCCTATTTTATATGAAGACGACGACATACCCGTACCTCAACTAAATTCGGGAGTATGTTTTTTGCGTGTTACGTGATATCGTTGCTAGTAGTGAACCGTTTTTTATAAATTCTTCTACCCTTTATTAAGTCCAAGAAAAATTCCACCAGGTATTTCAAACTCGGTGTTTTTAGATAAAAATGAATTAGGGCGTACTGATTAATGGGAAAATAGACCTATCAATTTTATGTAAATTATGTGGTACTAAAAATTTGGCGTGTTCGGTAATTTCTAAAGAACCTGGGAATGATGCAATAGGTATAAATATTTTGTTACAAACAGAAATGGAAGACACGGATTCGGGTATTTTTGATTTTAAGTTTTTATTTTATGAGTAATATTATGAAACGTAGCTTTATCAAATATAACGTAAGTCCCTTAGTCCTTTAGTCACTAAGGGAGTCTCACCAGAAAAATCAAATAGGGATGAAGACGAAAAATATGAGAAATAAAAGTAAGAAAAACTAATTTCACATAGGTAATATGAATAATGAATATAATAGTATAACATAAAACATTATGGTTGGAAATGATAACAGCATTCTATTCTAAATACTAATTCTTACCTAATACTAAAATCTTAACTCCTTTAGTTAAAAATCTCACATAAAAAAACTTTGTTAAAGTTAGTTATATAGTTGTTTTAGAAATATAGTTCACACTTTGAATCAATTCGATTAAACGATTAGTAAAAATATCAATGTTTATCGAATTGAGAAATTAGACTGTCATCATTATTTTATTTTACAACGATTTATTATTTAAGATTTCTATACGTTTAAGTCAAATCACAATAACTATTAGGCAGTAATCGAAAGCAAATTAATAAAATCATAAGAAATAAAAAGCGAGATTTGCGCATCGGTAATAAACTTACCTTTCAATATAAACGTGTGCAACGAATCGAATGAAATGAACCGATACTTTGCCATCCCGCGCTCACAACGTGTATCCGAGACTCAACACCAGCCATCATATCTCGAAATCACGTAAAAACTTCAAAAACTGGATGATTTTAAAAAAATATATTCGATACGCGCTCATTTATAATAAGAGGAACCAAACGGACAGACGAACAAAAAACCAAACCCTTTTCGATTTTGTTCGAAAAAGAACGATCTTGTGATAAATATTGAAATATGGAATGGAGATGTGATACTTTTTATTCGTTTACAGATGATGGCCTTTTTACATTTTTTGTTGGTTTTCATTTCTCGTCCTTAATGGCATATCGGACACGAGTTAATGGCCGGCCGCGCTACCGTTTTATGAACAATTAATTTTAGTGCCACTATTTAGAGAGGCGCAGACTCGAGCCAAGGTAAAATAAAAATAAATAATTTTAATTACTTATTTTTATTTATTATTTCATACTTACATGATTTTTTTTCAATTTGTGTAGGCGGATTTTAGCTGTTACTATTAAAATAATTAGCAAAAACATAAAAATATGAAAAAATAGTAAAGAAAATCTCTGCCTAATATATTAAATAAATTATATTTTGACAAAATAAATATACTACAAACATGAACGAATTTAACTCGTTCATGACTACAAACTATTATAAATAATTAAAAATCAGTACATGGCACAAATGTCAAATAAGCAATATCTAAAGAATATATTTAAATCACAGGTAAAAAAGTAATATTAAATTTTAAATATATTTTTTTTAATAAATTTAAGTCTGCGCTCAATCTAGTAGGAGACGTGACGCTCGAACTCATGAGACCTTAATAAACTTAAGCGTAACCAATCTTTAATTACCCGATCACAATTTGTTTCGACTATCCACCACATAAATAACAATTTGACCAACTGTAAAACTAGATGGCGCCACTATATAGTTTAATTGTACTATAACATTAGCTTTATACTGTAAAATAATTAATGTTAGGTTAATTTATATGGCTCGATTTTGCCTGAATAGATAAGTAATATAAAATTAATATAAAATTAAAATAGGATAATTAATGAAGTTTCTATTAAAGGAAGCTCACGGAAAATATGATATTCAATATTTATTTAATGAAATAAATTACGAAAACTGAGCTCAGTGACGTAAAAACTTATTTATTTATCTATTATCAATGCATACATATAATATAATAATTATATAAAAGATGTTTATTAAAATTTAAAGTAAGTGCTAAACATATAAAATAACCAAACAAAACAACGGAGAACAAACCATGACAACCGAACTAGTGATCCAGAGCCAAAATCATAACCCAAGGACGCTGACCCTACCATTGTCTCTTAAGAAACGTCCTTAAAAACGTAAAAATAAGAGGGCGGTAAACGTAAAAGGTAAAAAACTCCCCGTTCCGTCATTGTGATGCTGTCATTGATCATTTTTCAAAGAAACCCACAAATTCCGCTGTTTAAATTGAATATGGACCGGTGTAACTCATATTTTGTGGTTTTAAACCGATCTGTTTTTAACTTTATGCTTAATTTTATTTGTTAATAAGTGACTTTAATCGTACAGAAGGTCGTATAACTCAATGGTGGGGTATTTTATTGGTTTATACTTGTTGCTAGGTAAATTAGATGAAGCGGGTTCAATACCGGGTTGATTACCACTTGGCTTACGGTGAAGGTGAGGCATGTCTGAGAATACCTAATCAGTTTTCGAAAGACATGTGAAATCTGGAAAACCACATTTCGACAGCGAGATATTAGAACCTGATCCCCTCATATTCTTCAATTCAAAGTAAGCCTATGCCCAACAGTGGGACGTCAAAAAGAACGGATGCTAGGTAGGTTTCCATTCTTGTCCAAAGCTTTATTTGAGTTCAATCATATTTTTTTTCTTATTTTATTTGAAAGTCGATAGAAGATATTTGTTATTCTAATTTTACAAGCGTAGGTGTATTGTGATAACTTATAATTATTATCTTAATAGAGATACAGTACGATATTTCGTCGTATATATATTTGACTGTCATCACTTTATATGCCGGATATCACGGGTTCATTTATCACACCAAGTTATTGACGTTATATAACCACATTAAGTTGTATGACCGGGTAATAGTAAGGATTTATCGGGACGTTAAAAATCCCCATTGTCCCGACGAACGTTTAAATAAAAATAAAGCTTAATATGAAATCCTTATCCTTCTCACCTGGCAAGTAAAATGATTCTTATAACAAAAAATAATTTTGAATTCCATACTAGATCTTTTTTATTCCTGAATTTTATTGAAAGTTGCCCCTAAATTATTATGTAAAAATCAATGTTTTAAATGTTTCTTCTTATCATAAGGATATTACGATGTATTTCGAAATATATATGTGTATAAAATAGACAAACAAACATAACTTTTGTTTTTAAATTAGGTAAAATAAATGTTTAATATAATATTTTTTTATTTGTTAATTATATATCTACAAATCGTTGACAAGCCGTGTGAGCAGGGCATATTAAGTGCACAAGCGTGTGCGCTGACACCAGTGCAATCTATATTCCTTTCACCATCAAAGTCCTTTTGGACAACAATTTAACATAACAGGTGAGAAATAAGGCTTGATCGACAACTTTTCATGCTCTTCCATGTACGAGGGTTCAGCACCGTCAACTAACTCCAGACTGTTAATAAGAATTCCTTAACAGAGAACTCCAAAAATATAAATATTTGGCTCCACTCGGGACTTGTACCCGGGACCTCTGAATTTGCAGTCGTACATGTTGACTAAACACTAAACGAGCAGTTGACTTTTTCACAATTAAGTATTATTTTTAAAAGAAAAGTGAATACATATTTCGTTTTTCTTCTTTCTTTTCAAGCAATGCATGATGATTATTGGTAGGAACCTTTTTACCGCGCTTTTCTAACTATTCTAATAATGTCTCATTACCATTATAAGGTAAGGCTTATATGTTTTACTGTACTAAGACAGTGTAAGCCTAAATATATTTTTTCTTATTTTTTATTTGCCATATAAACTTTCTTATCAGACTAGGTATACTTATATTATAAATGCGTAAATTTTTGATTGAGTATGAGTTTGATACTTATTCTAGCCGTAGCGGCTCAACAGATTTGAGTGAAATTTAGTATAGAGATAGCTTATACCATGGATTAATACATAAGCTTGTGTTAGCAAAATTAAGAAGTACATAAAATTATCGTTCAAGTGAACGCTTTATTGTACAAAGTCATTGTTCATGTCGCGTTTTTTTATCCGTCTGAGGAAGTACTCGTACATCGTTTAAGTAACTAACACTTATTTAACACAAGATTTTATATTTTTAGAAGCTTCATAAACCTACAGATAAGTAAACCAATAAGATTAAATACATGGGTTATAAATTATATCATAATATCGATAACCGAAGGCATTGCTCTACGAATGAAAGCTCTATCCTTTTTCAACAATTTAAAGCAGTGCATCAATAGGCTCTTATAAGATAATGAATATTTAAATTGTACGTACATAAAAAAATAGAAAAATATGTACGAAACGAGAATCGAATCAGCAACCTTTTTGTAGACAACAGTAGTAACAATTTAAATTCGTTTTTAATACAAAATGGCCTTAATAGTATGCAAGCCGAAGGCGATCGTAGATAAATTAGCACATTTCGATTTTGCAGGAACGACCTATAAATACGGCGGGCAATGACAAAGGGGTACAGACGCACAGACCGACGCTACAACAATGTTCCCTTATTTATAAGTTAAATATATCGTACATCCGCGCGATCGCGATGCCTTCACCCATACATATGAATTTTATGAATCGAGCACATGACAACTGTGGATACGTCCGTAGTAATAGTTTTATTTTAATTATTTAGCTGAGGAATTAATCGTCTTCGGTCTTTGTTTATACATTTCAAATTGGTAGCTTTCTATTTATTCTCGTTAAAAAAAAAAGATAAATAACACTAAAATTGGGTAAACTTGTTGTTTACAAACCTACAGTTAAATACATGTATGTAGAGGTACTAAATAGGTAAATAATAAAAATGGTCATTTAAATTTTTTAATATATTTAAAAAACTAATATCTAATACTTATTTATGTACATAATTATGTATAAATAAATAAAAATGAAATATATAATATAATGACTTAAATGTTTAATGATTAAGAATGAGTCTTATGTAATAGGTATTTATTGGTCCTCATTAATATAATTAAATAATATTATTTATCTTATGCATATTATTGCTTTAACAAGATAAAGACAACAATATTCAACCCACTAAATTTATAGCCATTTACTAAATTAAAATCCAAAGCATTCTTTTCAGAAATTAAAATGTTTATTAGCAAAAAATATTATTCCAGACTAACTAATATTTCTAATGTTGCAAGCCTCGTCTCCACGGAGCGCGCTCACCGCGCCGCGGCGGGCCCGCGGCGACGTGCATCGATTTATGCCGATACTCGATAATTAAAAACAATCCGCCATATTGCTTTTTGTCTCTCCTTTTATTCCCGTTTTTGTGCGTCGCTCATTTGATTGTCTTACTTTTGGATTTTTTTCGCGACGTTACTTAAAGGCTCGTCGTTTTTGCATTACGCGGCTATTCGCTCGTTCGTCTCGCATTGAGACGTTTTAATTTATAATTTTTATCGTTTACGAGACGCTGCGCCCGCGCAGTTCAGCCCTTTGTTCCTTTCGTATGGGATGATCAAACTTTTATCTGTTCTGCTCTCTGAATGCATGGCAATTATTGAATTTTAAGTCGATGAAAGTTTTAATAGTCGTTTAGGATGAGAACGCATTCATTACTCATATTTTTATTAATAAAAATACGTATAAGATATAAAACATGTACCTACCTATTATTTTCTTGTCAACTTCTAAAGTGCTGCAACATCGATTCATTTTATAGAAATAGATATTTTTTTTAAATACAGAGTGAAAAGTAAAGGACATTCTTATTATTGAAGCCAGCTTTTTTATTATTTGCCAAAATAAGTCTCAAATAATACGTATTTTTTTCACTATATATTATTAAATTGACATTAACCTTTGATATAAAAATTAATGACCTCATTTAAACTACGAGATAACGAACTTCTATTGTGTTTTAGCCGTTTTTCAGCCAAAAAAAATCAATATTGACTCTCAACAAAGCGATATTTTGCACTTTTTTAAATTTTAACACAAAAAACTTTTGGATAAAAAGCCGTCCAGGTGCGGTAAAAGGGTTATTAATATCACTGTCTCTCTCTTACGTTATATAAATATCTTCTGTTTCGTTTATAAAGTTGAAAGGGTTAAGGGGTTAGGGTTTTTTTGGGTCAAATCTCGTATTTTCTCATTGATTCTTATTCAGTAATGATATTGTATTGTGCAACGCTTCATTGTTGTAGTTAAAAGCTTAAAGCTTAGAATTTAGTTTCGTTTCAATTTTTATATGGGAGTATCACAATATATTTTAGGAAATTAAAATAATTTACACTGAGTTACTTGATGCTGCATTTCTGAAAAATCTTGATTAAATCGAGGAAAGGCTTTGCCGTTGCGGAACGGTCTATGCTTAGACTGATTTCTATTTCTTTAATACTATTTAAATAGAATTTCGACCGATTTTCCGAAGTTATGTCCCAATACACATACATACCAAAATACCACATTTGTCTTGGCAGGTCTATTTGGTTCCTGTTGATAAATTAGTTAAGAAAAGGAAAAAAGTCAAATTAAATATAAATTTATAATTGCTAGAGAAAAAAAATATGATAAACAATTTTTACTTATGTATGTATGTTTATACTATGTTCATCTCATATAAAATGTAGTTATCTGTTTTGAAACTATAATAGTTAAATATTTTGCTATAATATGTTATAAAATCTTTTCAGAAGGACTGTTATTAATTTTATTTCATCCTAATTATTATATCCGCCTATTAAAGGTTCACAATGTAATAAGATATGGCAAAATGTTTTAATCATAATACTTATGGTTCAATATTCCTGTATGATATTTTCTCAACATTCGAAAATAAATAGTTTAACACTTTAATATTATGAATGTGAAAGTGTGTTTGTTTGTTTGTTTGTTTGTTTGTTTGTTTGTTTGTTTGTTTTTTTGTTTGTTTGTTTGTTTGTTTGTTTGTTTGTTTGTCCTTCTTTCACGTCGAAACGGAGTGACGGATTGGCGTGATTTTTTTTTTGTGTGGAGACAGTTGGAGGACTGGAGATTTACATAGGCTACTTTTTACCGCGGGAATTTACCTAATTCCCACGGGAAAACACTTTATAATACAATCCAAAAAATATTTATGA